AAGAAGTGTGTCACTTCTGCTCATCCTGTATATTTGTAAATAAATGCAACTATTACAAAACGCTGTAAGCCTGAAGGCACCTTCTTCCAAAGGAAGCTGAAATTAGGGAAGCAATGAACCTTTGGATCTTCTCAGTGCTTGGGGGAATACAGTGCAAAAAAGAGAAATATCTCACAGATTCCAAGAACCACAGGTTATTTTTTTTGGCAGTATGCTTAAATTGCAAAGGACTCTTCCTTTTTCCTGGCATCTCTGAGGTATTTTTTTGCACCTTATTCTTGGATGCTTCCTGGTTTTGTGGTTTTGGGAGGAATAGGACAATTGCAACAATATATTCTGTTCTGAAAGCAAATAGCTTCAAAATCTTTCTGTCCTTAAAAATGCTGATAGAAATCCCATTGCCACATATTTTTGTCTAAAGAATGCAGGGGCTCCCGAATGTTTGCATAGGAGGAATTTGGGCAGGTGTGTTTACTTACATCCCTGCATGATAATATGTTTCTCCCAAATTCCCTCCTCTGCACAATGAGTAAATATACAAGTGTCCTGGTCTCTTTTGCAGCTTGCCTTCATTATCTTATCATATCAATCTTCTTCTCCCCATTCCTTGGCCTCCATAATTTGAATTTGTGCCTTAACATTATGTCCATTCATTTTAATGACTTTATTTGTTTTGTGGGGGCAGCTTTGCAGCTGGAACCTGAAAAGGAAAAATTGTGCTGAACAATGGTGGATGCAGTGCCTCAACAGACAAGTTTCAGGCTTTCCTAAGACTCAACTTCTGCAATCAAAATCAGAATAGGTCCTCAGGTAGAATTGATATATTGTACTGCTGTCTCTTTTAAGCATAGCAATTGTATGTAAGAACTTGCTTTCAGTTCACATCTATGTTGTTTTGAGGCATAAAAGCTTCTGCAAAGAAACTCATTCATTGTGGGTGAATCATAGACTTATAGAATTGTAGAGCTGGGGGGAACCCCAACAGTCTCCTTGCAATGCAGGAATCTCAGCTAAAGCATCCATGGCAGATGGCCATCCAGCCTCTGCTTAAAAACCTCCAGGGAAGGAGAGTCCACAACCGCCCAGGGGAGACCGTTCCACTGTCAAACAGTTTCTACTGTTGTTTTTCCAGATATTTAGTCAGTGTCTCTTTCCTTGTAACTTGAATCCATGGTTTCAGGTCCAACCCTACTGAGCAGGAAAAAAACAGGCTTGCTCCATCTCCTGTGTGGCAGCACACATTCCAGCTTGTTAAAATCCTTCTTAAATTGTGGCACCTAGAATTGGACACATGACTCCAGGTGGTGTTCTCATAGCTTGGTGGTAGAGTCCCAGATTCCATACCTGGTGTCTCAAACTGCTGCTGGTCAGTGTAGACAAAATTTGAGCTAGAGGAACCCAATGATCTCTCAATGATCTCCCTAAGAATAGGGCCGCTCCCTATGGTCCTGAATTATCAAGCATCAGTGGTTTCATTCTAGAGCTAACTTCACACTCAACTCCGGCCATTGCCTTTCTCACTAAGAGCCAGGTGAGGGAAGGGAGACCCACACATTTTCCCTCTGGCACAAAGCCACTTCCTTTGCTATACCAAGGACAGCATTTAAGGCTATTAATATGGAATAGTTAATATGGAATCCTCCATTAGATTTTAACCTTTTCTGGATCCAGGGCACCAGGAATTATTAGGGACTCAGGTATAATGGAGACTGACAGCCCCCCCCCCAAAAAAACCCCCACCTCTCCACAGTATTGTCAACACGGAGCTACCATGAGACAGACTGTGGCGACCAACTTGGACATGTAAGGCTGCAATTTGTCTTGTAAACTCCATCTCCATCTTTGTCCTCTAGAGGGCTCCAGTTTCCTCTCTCTGAACTCATTCAGATGCAAAAAGTACGTGAGTAATAAACTTGCATTTGCGATGGCATGATGTGAGAGATCTGTACTTTGATTTCTGTATGTTTTTATACTCAAAGGCATTTTGAGTGTGCAGGGAGGACTGAATTGGATCACGACTATAAAAGAAGCTTTAAAGGGGGCCAATCTGAATCAAGCTGCACGCCTGTTCCCCATAAAAATTATCTCCCCACCTGACAGCTATTGTCTCGCCTCCCCCCATTCTCCCCTAAAAAACCCCTTCTGGCTCAAACAGAGGGCATGTTTTTGGGTGAGAAGCCAGCACTGAGACCTGGTGGAAATTGGGAGCGTAATCTGGATCAGGGCTCTTCCTCCTTCAAAATAAATGTGGCAAATGTAACTACACTTTAAAAAAAAGAAAGAAAGAAAGAAAAAGAAAAAGAAAAGAAAAGAAAAGAAAGAAAAAGAAAAGAAAAAAAGTGAATAACATAAAAAGTTGTTGGACCCCAACTTTGAGGAGTTTCAAAGAGCACCTTGCAAACCAACAATTTACTGGACAACTTCACTCAGCCTAGTGACACTGGGTCTTTACCATTGCAGAGCAGTTATGTTTATACAATCGAAATGGAGGCCCAGTCATAATCATTAAGTGTCTTTCCTTCCACAGATAATTCCACTTGCAAAGTGTGCCCTTTGCAATGGCAGCTCCACAGGGACAAGTGCTACTGGTCATCAGAAAATATTAAAAGCTGGAATGAGAGCCAACGTGACTGTTCAACAAGGGATTCTCAACTGCTGGTCATCCAAGACAAGGAGGAGCTGGTAAGGGGACAATTGCATATTTCAGGCAATGCATTCGCATGCATGTTAATTCTGAAGGAAGCCTGAGTCCAACTGAGCTTAACTCTAGTTAGTATCTCTGCAATGATAACATGGTTGGTGACTTGAGAAGCATGTGGAGTGTGGGGCCTTGTTTAGTGCTTCATCCCATTCCCACCCACGGCCAGTTCATCAGTGTCTAGAGAAGGCCTTGGGGAGCTTGACTAGTGAGAACCAAAGTACCCATTGCAAGCAAATCTCTGTAACTGTAGCCCAAGTCCTCTTTTTATTTAGAAAGACTCTTTAGGAAGGTGAGGTTGGTTGTGGAGCAGTGGGAGAGGAGGAGCTGGTGTTCCCCTTGTTTTCCCCCCATTCCACATGGCCTTTCAGCGGCTTTTCCCCATGGATGCTTTAAAGCGTGTTTGGAGGCTTTTTCAATGGTGTTCCCCATATACACAATTTCACTTAAATGCACAGTTCCTTGCAACGTAACCCTTGTGTAAATAGGGAGGCCTGCATTATAAATGCTTAATGCTGCTTTGATTACTGTTCTTGGTGAATGTTTCGTTATAATTAATATCAACTTTCACATTTTACTACTTTATTTTACTTTAATGTAAGCTTTATTCTGAAGTTATCAACTTGAAAATAATTTAACAATTTTTTTTAATAAAAAGCACATTATCTCATGCAGGATTTCATAGAAAGCATTACTAAAAATTCAAAATACTGGATTGGACTCTCACTATTAAAATCGAAGAAGAAATGGATGTGGATTACAGGCTTCCAGCTTGATCAGAGTCTGTGAGTTATTATTGTTTTTAATCTAAGCAAAAAATCATACAATTTTGACTTTTGAGAAATTGGGAAAGGTCTGAGATGGCAAGTTTCTATACCATGAAGTCATGCAGGTAGTTCTATTTTTATTTTTATTCACTGGCCACTTCGCTCCCCACTCATGGTCTCAATTGAAGTTCCCCCCTTTCTCCAGAACACTGGTTCTTGGGGGGAAGGAAAGATCTTTAGGGGTGTGAATGGAATATTTTCCCTATTTATAAGTGCTATATGGAACCGCAGTGGCAGGGAGTGGAGGTGTAACCCTTCCCACTTTTTTTAAAAAAAAATGCAAAGTGAAAGAATAGTAGAAAATCCTCATGCTCCTTGCCATAACCAGTGACAACACCCTTCTCCATGGAATTCTTAAAAAAACTTCACCCTGTTTCTATTTCCAAGGCTTTCTTTCACTCCTAACACACACAAATGGTCAAAAAGAACTGGCCAAAAATATTAGCCTGACCTAAGAGGAAAATCAGAGAAGAGAGAAGAAAGGGAAAACTGGCAAGTTATTGGCAGTTAATGATGGGTGCCCCCCCACCATCCCATTTATTTTGGGGTTGCCAACAGACCGGTTTGAGTTTAATGTAGTTGGGAATGTGCTGAGGTCCAAATATGGATAAGCAAGCCAACTCCTGCTCTCAAGTTCCTATATCTGCCCAATTGCCCCCATTTCACTAATTCTTCCTAGGTGGCAAATTGGTAGGTCATTTTCATTCAGAGGCGTAGCATGGAGGTGCCACTGCTCCGGGCACAATTTGGAGAGGGGTGCAGACAGGCGTCCCACAGCAGGCTCCTTCATCAGAGCCTGGCTCTGCTTCAGAAGGAGCTGCTCCTTGGTTACAGCGCTTGTGCCTGGTGCCAGGGGAGGAGAGCAGGCGAGGGGGAGGCAGCGCTGCTCTGCCACTTGGTCACTTCTGACGTGGTGGTGGAGAGCAGGAGGAGAGTGGGTAGCAGCTCCCCAACCCTCTCCTACTCTGAACTGTGGCGCAGGAGGGCACTCTCTGTGCATCACCCTTTTGGGAGCGTGCCGCGGGCATATGCTCCACCACTGTTTTGATTTCCAGATCCCTGGTGGAACATCAACCACTGCTGCAATCCTCCTTCCCAGGCCCCAAAGTCTTGGGGCAGGAAAAAGGTGGTGATGCTCCCACTATCAAGCTCAGCATGACTTTCTTCACTCTCTCCACTTTGATGCAAGTTTGGAGGATTCAAATGCATACAACCTGCTTATTGTACATTTTGGGAACACTCATGCTTTCTATTAAGAATATGAAAAAATAGTTGTAACAGACTTCAGTCCTGATATTCAGATGTACCCTTTTCTTCCACAGATTTCCAGAACCAAACTATGCTGAAGGAAACTCTTGTGCTGCAATAAGATATAAAATTATCTATGAACGCTGCAGTACTGCACTTAGGTGGATTTGCCAGAAAGGCCCTCTCCTACTCTGATATTTTAGTTTGATAAATGTAATAATTATGTGGGTTTTGGTTATTTGCTAGGAACACACAATAAAAATGTCATTGAGTGACTGAGAAGATTATGTAAAGGTATTATTCTATTGTCATTAAAATACCTCTTTGTGAAATCCAGAGGCAGCACACCTAAAATGGAATTCTAAGTCATTTTATGTTGGCTATTAAAAGATTGGTTTTAAGTCACAATTGAGGATCAGCTGTAGAATTTGACAGTGCAAAATAAATAATAATAATAATAATAATAATAATAATAATAGTACCCCACCCATCTGACTGGGTTTCCCCAGCCACTCTGAGCAGCTTCCAGCACAATTAAAAACATAATAAAACATCTAACATTAAAAATGTCCTTAAACAGGGCTGCCTTCAGAAGTCTTCTGAAAATTGTATAGCTATTTATTTCCTTGACATCTGATGGGAGTGCTTCCCACTGAGGGGGGTGCCACTACCGATAAGGCCCTCTCATGCTCCGGCACCAGGGGGTGGAGAGCAGACGGGGGTGGGGCGCACCGCACGCAGGGGCGTGATGCGCATCCTGGGGGCGCAGCACGTCGTCTGCAGGGGCGTGACACCCAGCACGGGCAGGGGAGGGGAGCCGCGATGGCACCTGACCAGGATCGCGCTGCCGGGGGTGGTGCGCTCCCCCCGCACTCCTCTTCCTCCGCCAGTGGACCCTCTGCCTGGTTCCCTGTAGCTTCACTTCTCACAGACCACACCTAGACATGTCTCTCTGTTCCATCTGAATGAGGAGAAACAGTTGAGATGTTAGACTAGTGCTTGAATGTGGTGATGGGCTGGATGTGGGCCAATAAACTGAAGCTGAATCCTGAAAAGATATGTGTCTCAGGGAGCTTGCAATTGCTTGGGGTGAACACCATGTAACTATGATGTTTCTTGTTGGTTTGTGTCCAACCAATCAGCATTACAAAGCCCAGCTATGGATGTAATATGCAAAATTTTCTTACAATTGTAAATCATTGTACCTTTGTTTTTTTATTGAATATAGCACTGTAAACCACATGCACCATTGTAATGGATTGCTTTGTTTGTTATTTCTGCCCCAGGTACAGCAATTAGCCCCCCAATTCCTCCACAACCTGTCCTTTATTTTGACCAACCAAAGGTGGCAACCCTATCCACCCATCAATCTCCTTTATCCTGGTGGCTAAGTATTGGAAAGGGAATCAGTTACCCACTAGGGGAGAATAGTTATGTAAGCTTTCAGAATATTTAGAATTAGCCAAATTGACAGATATAATAAGGCAGAGTATAATTGTCAATTAAGGAAAAGAAAAACTCACTTTTCCAATCCATTATATGCCCAGTCAATCATGCAATTAAATTCCCATCCCCCTAAACACCAAAAAAGGCACGAAATGCTTCTGTATAACATATAATTAAACATATAACCTATAATTAAAACACAAAGTAACAAATATACTATATATTTCACATCTGGTGGAAAGTATTTTTTTAAAAAATAGTTTTCATTGATTGATTCACACACCTAATCACAAAAAAAATATTAAAAATTTGCACAAGATTTTTTCAAATCTCAAGACTCCCCTCCTCCCCTCTGTGGGTTCTTTAAGTAACTTTTATAACTTCATATTATAAGGCCTTCTTTGGCCACCTCATGAGAAGAGAACACTCCCTGGAAAAGACCCTGATGCTGGGAAAGATGGAGGACACAAGGAGAAGGGGACGACGGAGGACGAGATGGTTGGACAGTGTTCTCAAAGCTACAAACATGAGTCTGACCAAACTGCGGGAGGCAGTGGAAGACAGGAGTGCCTGGCCTGCTCTGGTCCAGGGGTCACAAAGAGTCGGACACGACTAAACGACTAAACAACAACAACAACAATTATATCCAAAGTCTATGTATCATTGGAAGAATAATTTGAAACCTGCCAAAGAGTCCAAGTGTTTACAGTGGTCTTTCAGATATAAATTTGTCACATTCTTTATTGAAGTTTTGATCCTCCTCATTTCTGATTTTCCCGGTTAGTCTTGCCATCTCTGCATAATCCAATAGTCCACCTGGTAAGTATCTTGTCATTTTTCCAATTCTGGGCAAGCAACATCCCTACAGTTACATCTGGTGAAAAGTAAAGTATTCTTATTTGTTGTGCGCTTCTTTTCTCCTGGGTGTTATGGGGACTGTGATTTTCGCTTCCAAATGCCATTGTCTGTCCACAATTGCCAAAATGCAGGCAACGTGCCATCAGTAAGCTACTTCTTCTTCCAGAAGGTCTTATTTTCAGATTACTGTAAAAGGGCACATCAACACCATACATTTCAAGCACTGCCACTTCAGAAGTCCTGGCTTCCCCCAAAGAATCCTAGAAAATGTAGTTAGGGGTGCTTATGTAGGTAGTTAAGTCCGCTCAGTGCACATCCAGTGCCTTTTGTCATCTAAACGGTTTGCTGCAGATCCAGGGTTCTTCGCCGGCCGCTGGAGCTGGCAACACTTTGATGGTTTATATAAGCACATTCTCCTCCTCCCCAAATTTTAAACCTAAAATTTCAAACAGAACATATGTTGAAATAATCATAACAATAATTTTATTATTAATATGCCACCCATCTGATTGGGTTGTTCCAGCCACTCCGGCCAGCTCCCAACAAAATATTAAAAACATCATAAAACATCAAACAAGATGAATTTTAACAGGGAGAAATGTAAAGTATTGCACTTGGGCAAAAAAAAAATGAGAGGCACAAATACAAGATGGGGGACACCTGGCTTGAGAGCAGTACATGTGAAAAGGATCTAGGAGTCTTGGTTGACCACAAACTTGACATGAGCCAACAGTGTGACGCGGCAGCTAAAAAAGCCAATGCAATTCTGGGCTGCATCAATAGGAGTATAGCATCTAGATCAAGGGAAGTAATAGTGCCACTGTATTCTGCTCTGGTCAGACCTCACCTGGAGTACTGTGTCCAGTTCTGGGCACCACAGTTCAAGAAGGACACTGACAAACTGGAACGTGTCCAGAGGAGGGCAACCAAAATGGTCAAAGGCCTGGAAACGATGCCTTATGAGGAATGGCTAAGAGAGCTGGGCATGTTTAGCCTGGAGAAGAGGAGGTTAAGGGGTGATATGATAGCCATGTTCAAATATATCAAAGGATGTCACATAGAGGAGGGAGAAAGGTTGTTTTCTGCTGCTCCAGAGAAGCGGACACGGAGCAATGGATCCAAACTACAAGAAAGAAGATTCCACCTAAACATTAGGAAGAACTTCCTGACAGTAAGAGCTGTTCGACAGTGGAATTTGCTGCCAAGGAGTGTGGTGGAGTCTCCTTCTTTGGAGGTCTTTAAGCAGAGGCTTGACAACCATATGTCAGGAGTGCTCTGATGGTGTTTCCTGCTTGGCAGGGGGTTGGACTCGATGGCCCTTGTGGTCTCTTCCAACTCTATGATTCTATGATTCTATGATTCCTCTTTCCCAGGCTAAACATAGCCAGCTCCTGCACCTCATTAAGCTTGGTTTCCAAGCCTTATAAAGAAATGTCACTCCCCTCTGGACACCTTCCAGCTTGTCAACATCCTCCGTAAATGGTGGTGCCCAGAAATGGACACAGTTATGTGTGTTATGTATTGAAGTTCTCACCCTGGCCACCAGGGGGTATTGTGTATATAGTTTTCACTCAGGTCCACGTCAGTTAGTTTAGGTGGGAAACCCTGGGGTGTTGCTGTTACAATGTTGACAGCCGGCTGCCTATAAAAGCAGGATGGCTGAGCTGTTTGAGTTCAGTTCAGTTCCAGCTTACTATAAAGAACCACTTGAGTCTGACCAAACTGCGGGAGGCAGTGGAAGACAGGAGTGCCTGGCCTGCTCTGGTCCAGGGGTCACAAAGAGTCGGACACGACTAAACGACTAAACAACAACAACAACAATTATATCCAAAGTCTATGTATCATTGGAAGAATAATTTGAAACCTGCCAAAGAGTCCAAGTGTTTACAGTGGTCTTTCAGATATAAATTTGTCACATTCTTTATTGAAGTTTTGATCCTCCTCATTTCTGATTTTCCCGGTTAGTCTTGCCATCTCTGCATAATCCAATAGTCCACCTGGTAAGTATCTTGTCATTTTTCCAATTCTGGGCAAGCAACATCCCTACAGTTACATCTGGTGAAAAGTAAAGTATTCTTATTTGTTGTGCGCTTCTTTTCTCCTGGGTGTTATGGGGACTGTGATTTTCGCTTCCAAATGCCATTGTCTGTCCACAATTGCCAAAATGCAGGCAACGTGCCATCAGTAAGCTACTTCTTCTTCCAGAAGGTCTTATTTTCAGATTACTGTAAAAGGGCACATCAACACCATACATTTCAAGCACTGCCACTTCAGAAGTCCTGGCTTCCCCCAAAGAATCCTAGAAAATGTAGTTAGGGGTGCTTATGTAGGTAGTTAAGTCCGCTCAGTGCACATCCAGTGCCTTTTGTCATCTAAACGGTTTGCTGCAGATCCAGGGTTCTTCGCTTCGGCCGCTGGAGCTGGCAACACTTTGATGGTTTATATAAGCACATTCTCCTCCTCCCCAAATTTTAAACCTAAAATTTCAAACAGAACATATGTTGAAATAATCATAACAATAATTTTATTATTAATATGCCACCCATCTGATTGGGTTGTTCCAGCCACTCCGGCCAGCTCCCAACAAAATATTAAAAACATCATAAAACATCAAACATTAAAAACTCCCAATACTGGGCTGCCTTCAGAAGTCCTCTAAAGGTTGTACAGTTCTTCATCTCCTTGACATCTGATGGGAGGGCTTTCCACAGGGCAGGGGCCACTACCAAGAAGGTTCTCTGTAACTTCACTTCTTGCAGTGAGGGAACTGCCAGAAGGCCCTTGGAGCTGGACCTCAGTGTCCGGGCTGAACGATGGGGGTGGAGATGCTCCTTCAGGTATACAGGGCCAAAGCTATTTAGAGCTTTAAAGGTTATCATCAAAGGAGCCAACTCCTAGGTGCCGAGATCCCTTCGGTCCTCCAATAAAATATTTGAGGGGGCTGCCCCCCAAAATTAATGGGCAATGCCACTCAAATGGTGTGCATGTGTTGCATCTTGTGATCAGTTATATGAGGCAGGTCCAAGCAGGAGATAACCAGAGCATGCAGCACTCTGGTGAGACAGTGCGCAGGCAGATGGGGTCTCAGCTGGTGTACCAGATGGAGCTGGCAGAATTGACCTGCCCCTTCATGGACAGCTGTGAGTCCAAGAAGATCCCAAGGCTGTACAGCTGGTCCTTTAGGGGCCCAGTAACTCCATTCAGGACCAGGGAATACCCCAAACATGCCCGTCCGCTGTCCCCAGAAACTGTACTTCTGTGTTGTTGGAATTCAACCTCAACCCATTAACCACAATCCATAGAAAATATCCATAGAAATATCCCTGAGAACTAGCAGCGGGAGAAACGCCAAGCATAGGTGCAGGGAGGCCTGGAAGCAAATTTTCACCTGAAGAAGACAATTGCATTCATATTCATATAATACAAATATTCATATTTCTAAGCAGCTTTTCCACCAAAATATTTTCTTTAGAATCTGGCCTAGAAAGGAAACATCAAACTCTTGCTGCGCTATGACTGAAAATGAACTTCTATGTGTGCTGCTGACCACAAGGTGGAGCTCTGTGTATAAGAAGCAGAAGGCTTCTGGTCAGTTCCTCAACATTCAGGCAGACTACAGTGGTACCTCGGGTTACATACGCTTCAGGTTACATACGCTTCAGGTTACAGACTCTGCTAACCCAGAAATAGTGCTTCAGGTTAAGAACTATGCTTCAGGATGAGAACAGAAAAAGCACGGCGGCGGCACAGCAGCAGCGGGAGGCCCCATTAGCTTAAAGTGGTGCTTCAGGTTAAGAACAGTTTCAGGTTAAGAACAGACCTCTGGAACGAATTAAGTTCTTAACCCGAGGTACCACTGTACTAGTAACAATTGTGAAACTACAAATGTGCCTTTGACAGTGGCGTGTTGTGAACATTTTTGTAGGGCAACAGTTAGGACAAGTGGCGTGAGCTTGTGATTGGGGTGGGGTGGAGAACAAGTGAGGTTGCAACATTGCCACGTCCAACACAGGCATCACGCCTCCCGCTCTAAGCCAGGCAAAAGCTTCTTGGGCTTCGGGAAGGAGGCGCCAGGTTTTAATACGTCAATACTCTTATTTACTGGGAACATTTAGGGGACTAGCCTAGTCCCCCTAGTCCATGGGTAGGCAAACTAAGGCCCGGGGGCCAGATCCGGCCCAATCGCCTTCTCAATTCGGCCCACGGACGGTCCAGGAATCAGCATGTTTTTACATGAGTAGAATGTGTGCTTTTATTTAAAATGCATCTCTGGGTTATTTGTGGGGCATAGGAATTTGTTCATTTTACCCCCCAAAAAAATATAGTCCGGCCCCCCACAAGGTCTGAGGGATAGTGGACCAGCCACCTGCTAAAAAGGTTTGCTGACCCCTGCGCCTAGTTCATTGACTGCATGCCACGAGGCTAGGACCAGGAGCTTTGTAGTCCTTGAGGAATATACGTAGTGCTTTTTCAGAGGGTACTCAATGGTACTCAGTACCTGCGCCCTTTTTTCTTTTCCAAATGTTCAAAGCGTGGCACTTGCTGTAAGAACTTCATGGTGAATATTGGCACCTTATTTTCTATATTAAAAAAGCACTGCATATGTTGCTCCTCAAAGCACACCTGTTTGGGCAAGCATTGATCTTGATCTTTTCACTCAAGCTATTTTAACTGTTACACTGTTTTAAGGGACTTGTTTATTACACATTTTCATTGTGGATGCTCACCAGTTATTGAAAATGGTGCCATCGATCCATCTCCAAGGCTCCTGGTCATTCATCTTTTGGAGACCAATCCAGTAGTCAGCAGGACCTTTGTACCGTCTCAAAAAGCTCTTAATAAAGAAAATAAATAAATAAATAAATAAATAAATAAATGAGAAAGAAAATACATTTCCAACCCTCATCCAATTGTGAATCTACTGTATTTGGGGCTGCAGACTGTGCTCTGTATCTTTCCACTCACCATGTCTTCTTGGGAGTCAATCACGACCAAAGAGGCATTGAAAGAGGCACAATAATTCTGGCTATATGTCCAGTTTCTGTAACTGTCCGAAAAATAGTAACATTTCCTTTGGTAGCCAATCCAGCCGTCCGGACAGTACTCAGTTGGAGTGCAAGGAGAAGGTAGGGCGGTTGGCAATACTGCGCTTCTCCCTAGAAAGGTATCAGAAAGTGAGACAGATCATTATCCATAGCTTATAAATAGTCCTACCCAAAATAAAGGTCAGGCAATGTCCTCCACTCATCAACATTATATCTGTGTGCTGCCTTTCCACAAAAGGAATCCTGCTCAAAGCAGCTTGCAACAAAGAAAATGGGAACACATCTCAAGCATCATAAGAACCATCACATAAAAATATAGTAAAACAAGAAAATCTTTAATAAATAATTAAAAAATAAAAATATCGTATAACAACATAATTGCAAATACACCACACAGAAACTGTGTGCAGGAGGTCTCCGGTCAACCCCCATCATCTCCAGGTGGGGCTGGATAAGGGTGGGGAAATGAGGGTAGGAGGGAGGGCAGACAGCCCAGTGCCCATCTCTGTCCAAAAACTCAGGAGCTTGCAGGACATAGTGCAGCTTCTCTTGTGGCTCATCCAGAGACAGTCAACCTCAATTGACTATCCATGAAATACACAGCCAGGGTCTAGTTGACTCTCCCTGAGATAGGCCTTTGATTAGAATTGTATCGTACAATTTAAATCACTTGAAATTGTGTGTGTATTGTGTGTGTATATTGTTTGTGCATATTGGTCTATTATTACAGTACATGAAGTCTACCTTGCCTGAATGTGGGCCCCTATCCACAACTGCTTCCAGGCTACCTCAACTGAACACCGATAAAGCTATTCTAGCTGCTGAGGAGAGAAGATCTGTGAGAGCATGTGGCCTGTTGATAACCTGGCAGACGTTACATCAAAATGGCTCTTCACTTACTTGATAAAGCAATGCTGCTGATGATGATGATGGAAATGATCATAAAGACATTAAGCACCAAGCTCACTTCTTTTCCATTAAAAGCGAGTTTCTTTTCTCCATTATTGCTCAAACCTGCAGAGGGAAATAAAGTGTTAATGTGTCCTTGGTTTCAGCAAGATGCCAGACAAGTCCTTCTAGAAACTCCAAAGTATCTGGGGATTCCAAGTCTACCCAGGCTTGGGTCGTCCACCCACATTGAAGGTGTGAGTTCAAGGTTGCATCACACCAAGATGTCATACCACTCAACAGTCCTGATTTATGCGGGACATCCTGGAATTACAGACGCCAATCCTGGCTCCTGATTGCATCCCGGAATGTCCCATTTTTTGGTCTGAGTCTGACTTGTAGTGCAAGTCAGCTGGGGACCAAAAAAAGAAACGTCCCAATTTTGGTCAGTGGGATGTTTGAAGGGTATGAGATGAACCAAGTTCACCTGTGGCATCATGAAGCTCATTGGTTTGGTGCCTCCCACCACAAAGTCAGCCAACTGATAGGCCTCTGCGCATGACTGGTGAGTCACCAGTTATTTATTTTATTAAAAAGTATTCACATGCCACCATCTCCTAAACTATCAAGGTAATGCACAATAATGTTTACCGTATAGGCCTGAATATAAGCCTCTCTTTTTTTTCCAAATTCTGACCGTGAAATGTTAAAGTGCAGCTTATATTCGCGACCTTACAAAAATGGGCTTGGAGCGAGCATTTTCTCTCCCCCCCTTTAATTTTAAAGGTGTGGCTTATATTCAGGTACAGCTTATATTTGGGCCAATAAGGTATACAATAAAACAAAAAACCCAGTAGAAATACGGAAAAAAAGAAAAATGAAAAATTAATATAACTGGAAAATCAACATTTTAAACAGCTGTATAGGCTTGCTGGCATACGAAGAGGTCTTCAAGAGATACCTGGAAGTCAGAGGTGAAGATGCCTGATGTGTCTCTGCTGGAAGAGCCTTTCACAGATTGAACTGGTGGCGCTAAATGCCCAACTTCTAGCTGAGGTCACTTGGGCTTCTGAGACACGGAGACAACCAGATGTGCTCCTGTGGATGATCCTAATGATGAAGCTGGGATATAAGGGCTCAGGTGGCCCTTAAGGTATCCTGGACCAAAGTTCTTCTGGTCTTTGTATATGTGGACCAGGCATAGGCAATCTCAGCCCTCCAGCTGTTTTGGGACTACAACTCCCATCATGCCTAGCTAACAGGACCAGTGGTCAGGGATGATGGGGACTGTGGTCCCAATCCAGCTGGAGGGCCAAGTTTGTGCATCCGCTGCAAACATTTTAGCAGAGCTGCCACGTACTGTCAACCATCTGCCTCCATCAGAGGTCTAGGCATTCTACAAAATCTGGAGCTTCACAGCTGGGCTGGAGGGCAGCCCCACACAGAGCACTGTAGTAATCCAGTTTGTTTTTAAGAGCAAAAGTTGAAGGGACTGCAAGAACTGAATGGAATGTGATACATGCCAAATGCCACACGGGCAATGCCAGAAGACAGAGGAAACACAACCCGTCGTGTGAATCATTAACAGTTAGCCAATGTATGTACGCATGTGCAAGCAGGGAAATTTGAAATGTAACTGTTAGTATAAACTGAGCACTTGCACTTTTAGAGGGATTGTAATCCCATCCAGAACAGGTAAGCAGCCTATCTCCTGGCAATGCAGCTGTTGTAACATCTGTCCTGTTAAGCTGGACTTCCAGAAGTTATGCTTGTCAGTGTAAATTGCCTAATAGTGGCAGCCTTGTTAAATCCCCTGGCTGCCAAGATTGTTACCAGAAAACAGCGCCAGTCAAGGGAGCTGCAGTGCCATATACTGCTATATTATAACTGTGTACACAGGGCTTTGGAGCAGGGGTGAGTAACCTGCAGCCCCCCAGATGTTGCTGGACTCCCATCAGCCCCAGTCATCATTGCCAGGGGTCACAGGTAATGGGAATTGTAGTCCAACAACACCTCAAAGGTCACAGTTACCCATCCCTTTTAGAGCATCTGAATTGCCCTCAAAACAGAAGTTGAAAGTTTTTTTTGCTGGCAGCATGGAAGTGACAGGAGATCTCTGTCCTATGTAGAAACAGAATGGGATATTGTGTTCACACATCTCAGGCTAGTGCAGCAACCTCAAGCGAATAACCTGAAACCATTTTAATCTTGATTGTAAAACAAACCATTAAGGGGATACTGTTTGAGCTCTTGCACATTTCTGTATAACATAGGGTTGGTTCCAACACATCACGGGTAGATCCATTAATGTGCAAAACAAAATGCATTAAAATGAAGTGCTCAACCAAAGAACATTTTCCTTTTTTTTTTTTAAGAATATTTATTCAAATTTTAAGATTACAAAAAAAAGAAAGATAAAGCAAGTAAAACCAATCACATACATCTTACAAAAGAAACACACCATGCAAGAAAAAAAAGAAAAGAAAAAAATACACAAGACAAAAAGTCACAATAAAAAATAACAAAAGAAGAATTCAAATTAAACAAACCGTGTTCCCATTTACTTATTTCCGTGACTTCCTCTCACTTCTCTGCTTTGTATTCTAATTCAAATTGTATCTCCAGCAAATCCTTCTAGCCTTCTTTTCATTCACTTATTTTAACATTTTAACATTCAAAAATATTTAATTCTCCTCTATCCTTTAGTTTACACTTCATATTTACTTAATTCCATTATACTCTGTCTGCCAATACGGTCTAATATTTCTTCTCCAACCTTTCCTAACATTCTTTTATGTTACAGTGATTCTGTAGATATGTTTTAAACTTTTTCCAGTCTTCTTCCATCAACCCTTCTTCTTGATCTCGGATTCTTCCGGTCATCTCAGCCAGTTCCATATAGTCTATCACTTTTCTCTGCCATTCTTCTCGGGTAGGCAATTCTTGTGTCTTCCAATATTTCCCAATGAACCAAAGAACATTTTCCTGTGCTAAAAGAAGCTTTATTCATTCAATACAGGATAGTGAATTTTCAAGCTTGCCTCACCCAAATAAGTCAAAATAGCAGTTTGTAGTTCACGAACCAGGATTAGCAGATGTACTAAGGTTGCTATATTAATTATATGGCAAGGATGGCATAACTGACAGTTAAAGAAAACCAGATCCAAATGTAAGGACTAGCCAGCAAAGTGGTTCATCAGCAATATGCAGCTCTGAGTGTCTGCTTTCAGCAGATAAATTTTTTTCAGTTAATGCCATGTCACCAGCATGTAAACATGGCAATACTTGGTTCGTCAGATTGGGTTGCTGGAAGAAGGAGGAACCAATATGCTTTGAACGATAAGTTCTGAAATAGTGTTGCATAACGCAAAGTTGTGAAGCCAGGGGATTTGCACAGTATCGTTTGCTTCTCAATTTGCTGAAAATTTTATTTATTTATTTTTAAAAAAATTATAAATCACCCACTAAAATATAAATTTCAGGATGGTCTACTGTAATGTATACCATTCAACCCAATCAGATGGGCATCATACAACAACAACAACGCATTAAAGTGCCGCTGTGCTAGTCAATGCTGTGGACCATGCGCCTGCACTTGCAGATTCCTGGTCTCTTCGCTTATCTGAGACTCTCTAGGTCTGTGTGCAGCAGGAATGGGGACCTTGTGATCCTCCAGATGTTTTTGGTCTACACTGGCCATGCTGGCAGGGAGTGATGGGAGGAAGTTGGAATCCAGCAACATCTGGCGAGAGACAAGCTCTCCATTCTTGGTGTACATGGAAGGGGAAGTGGAAGAACAGCCAGGAATCTCTCTCCTCAAGGGCAGCCTCACACCCTTCTCCTGATGCATGCCTGCGTGAGGAAGGATAGTTCCATCTGAGAGAGGAAGTAAGAAGAGTCTGAGAAGCCTTCCTCAATTTTCACACAAGTGTCTATGTACCCATCCTTTCCCAATGGCTTTTAATTGCCTGAATAAATTAGCGTCTCCATGAATTTGATTAGTTGGTCTGCATTCTGCAGATCTCATCCCAGCATCAAATCCATACCTTTTTTGACAAACTCATGCCTTTCTCATCAGAACTCACTTACCGTATGGAAAATGGCCCTGATTCAAAAAAGAAGGCTTCTCTTGCTTGTTTGGTGCTTCCATTACTTGTGATTCCACTACATTCCCCATTCTCTGCTGCATCTGGATTCATGGGGAGTCTTTGCTGTGTCTTTTCCATTTCAGAGAAACCCATATTTTCTTTCTCCCAGGAGAAAGGAGACATTACAGTAAATGCTCCTCAGCTCTAGTTACACAGAGTTTTGCAGTTTCTTGAGATATGTTGAAAGCAGATCACTGGGTTGCAGATTCAAGCACAGTATGGCTAGGTGATGTGGTGAGAAAACACCCTTTTTAAATACCACTTAATTGTGTGCTTTAATCGGATACTTTGTCCAGCCAAGCTGTACTTAATATGTTTTCCACTTCCCTGTTTTGTCTTCATGACTCCTTTTATTCCTAATAAAACGAAAGCCTCTTCAGAGTCTGAAGCATCAGTTCTGTGCTTTTGCCAGAAAAAAATTCATCATAACATCAGTTTTCGCCATAGCATCAACGTCCCAAGATTCCTCTGTGGAGACAAAATTACAGAGCAGAGAAATAAATCATATCTTCTTGAAGTCTTTAAAAGGTGCAGTTTTGCTTCCATACCAGTATATCCCCCCCCCCACAAAAGCCCTAAAGGTGGTCTTACATATATTAATTTACAGAGCTGGAAAATTCATATATGAAATATTGCTTCTTTTTAGTCTAAATGATTACAGTAATATTTCTACATTTACTTGATGAAATGAAAGCATTGAGACAAGTGAAAGGAAGGAGCCCTTGAGATAGTTGAAGATGGCTATTATATTTCTCCCCAATCTCCTCCTACCCAGCTCCTCCTCCTCATGAAGCCTTTATGAGGAAATGTCGCTCTCCTCTGCACACGTTCCTGTCTGTCAAGATCCTTCTTAAACTGCAGTGTGTGGAAATGGACACAGTTGGTTACGCGGAGTCATCACTGTAGTCACAAAAGGAAAACCTGTTTTCCCCTTTTCCACTTCCTTTGCAATCTCACCATTTCAGCTCTTTGGGATTGAGGGTCGGGAAATTCTACGGTTTCCTGAGAACTGTTGTCAATCCTCTGCCTATCTGGTTGCCTAGCATCTACGTCCCCTTCTTGGAAATTTCCTGTGCTTGCTCTAACTGTCTCAGTAAACCAATATCTTGGTAGGAAAGGGGGGGGCTGGATCTGCTTCCTCCTGCAGCCGGTCAGATTCAGAGTCAGAGCCTGTCTTTCTTCCATCTCCTTCCTCGCTTGACTCCACCACGCTCCTGACCCATACTTAAGGGGCCATTACCAAGATTTTAGCCCTTGCTGGATCTAGGAATTAGCAGGGTCTCAGGCATGCAGCCTACCCCCCCCATCTCCTCCGCTAAACTTACAACAATATCTAATTGGGAAGCTACTATGCAAATACAGGACCACCCACTGGCCTGGCATTGACTCCCCTCAGTCTCCTCTTTCCCAGGCTAGACATAGCCAGCTCCTCCGCCTCTTTACCTTGGTTTCCAAGCCTTATGAAAAAGGGTCTCCCAGTGGCAGAGCGGCACCAGGGGACAGAGAGCAGGCGGGGGTGGGGCTGGTGCGCGTCCCGGCGGCGTGGCGTGGCGGGGGCAATGCGCTCCACCCGCACCCCTCTTCCTCCGCCAGTCCTCTCTCCTTTGCACACGTTCTATTTTGTCAACATCCTCCTTAAATGGTGGTGCCCAGAAATGGACACAGTGCTCCAGGTGAGTGTTATGTATTGAAGTTCTCACCCTGGCCACCAGGGGGCATTATGTATATAGTTTTCACTCAGGTCCACTTCAGTTAATTTAGGCGGCAAACCCTGGGGTGTTGTTGACAGCTGGCTGCCTATAAAAGCAGGACGGCTGAGCTGTTTGAGTTCAATTCAGTTCCAGCTTAATACTGTATAAAGAACCACTTGGAGAAATCTCTGTGTCGTCTGCTATGTCCACCCACAACTTAATAGTGAGGTCTGACCCACTTTAATAAAGGTGTCCGGCACAAAAACCTGCGAACGGATCTGCCTAAAATTTGGCAGGCTTAATCCAGAGAGGCTCATATTTCTGCAAATTTCTTCCACTTTTCTCTGAAGCCTGAACAACAGTATAGCCATTTTTTTATTCCCCACTATATTGAATGAGGGGGTGAGAACTTTGGGTGGTATTCCTAGCAGTGCCAAGAGAACCTTCTGTCAGCACAAGGGAACATTCTCCCCCTCCCCTCCCTCACGACCCCCAAAGGGATTCTAGGAGTCTCCCCAATCAAACAAAGCCGTCCTTATATTATTGTAGAAATGTTTTTTCTTCAGCCATCAACTCTTCCTCCTCCCCTCCTCCTTTCTCCCTCTCCCCATCTCACCCTCTCCCTTTCCTCCCCTTCCCCATATCCCGTCCCCCATACATTGTAGATTTTTTTCTATTTTGGCAGAACCACAAATTTTGGTCTGAGGATTTGTGTTTTCCCCTCTGGGTTTTTTTTTTTTTTTTTTAAAAAAGCCACCTTTTGGAACAAGTCATCTCTGTCCTGTCCAGTTACTGTATTTATTTTTCCCAGTTTCAACTACAAATTGGTGATTTTCTTGAGTAAAAATGAGAGTACCCCTAAATACTTTTTTAGAAAAAGAGCACTGCTTATATTATTTTAGAAATGTTTTTTCTTCAGCCCCAAACCCTCTCCCCCTTCCTCCTCTACTTCTCCTTTCCCCAGTCTCCCTCCCCATCTCCGTTTCCTGCCCCTCCCAATATTTCTCCCTCCTCCAATATATTATAGAATTCTTTTTACCTTCTGGCAGAATCAATCCAGCGCCAGGTTCTGCAATGCAGGAACAAGTATCTGCTGCCTACCAAGCCCACAAGAAGCAAAACAGAAACTTTCAAAGCGATCATCTCCTCTTCCTCCCCCTCCCCCGCTTCCTCACTCAAACAAAGGGCAGAACCTCCCAGTGGGGAATGTGATCACCCTCAATGTGCAGAAGGAGAAACAGCTGCTGGCAACTTGGCGATTGCTGAGTTTGAGACTAACAAGTGACAAGCTTGCTTGAAGCAAGGTAGGTATTTTAGTAAAAGAAAATTAAAAAGTGTTATAGTGGCAGGAAAATGCCTGCGGAAAGTTGAAAAGAGCATTGGTTTCTATAATTTTATGGAGCCTCTTGAGGGAGGAATGCAAAAGACAATGAGATTTAAAAAGTAATGAAAGATCTTGATATTTTGGAGGCAGCCAATGCAAGGTCTCACAAAAGATGGCAAGCGTTTAGGTGCCCAAAATCTGCTCCATAAAAAATGGTTAAGTAGCAGAAAGCAATAAGAATTCATTATTTTTTGAAATTAACAAACCTAACCTACTCATGCACAGGAGAGTCTCTGCCTTCCCCAACCTGGGAATCATATAATTCGTACAACAACTGATTGTGAAAAACCTCAGAGCGATTTACAAAAAGATAAAAAAATAAAATTGAGAAAAAACACAACCCTAATTTAAAACATACAAAAGTAAAAATATTAAAGCAGATTATAATTACCTCAACTTTCTATGCAACTTGTAGGCTTATCTACACCACAATGCTTTTCGCTGGCGCCAAACTTATTTAAACAGACCTATGTCAGCAGCTGCTTCTAAAACCTATTTTCTGGAACTGCTGTTCAGGAAGCCAACTGGGCAAGTCAGAACTAAAAGTTCCCTCCTCACCTCTCCTTTCATTCTTCTCTCTCCTGCCTTCCCCTCTGGCTTGGCACAAAGACTGTAATTTTATAAACACCTCTTATGTCTATTCTTACTTGCCTTTTCTTCAAAAGAAAATAACGCTATGCAAAAATCGCATAGAAATTCTTTTTCTCTCTCTGCTTTTTTGCTACTGGACCATTTTCATGTTTTTATTTATTTATTTCGTCAGCGTCAGACCAGCATGGCTACCTACCTGAATCTTATATGGCTGTGTTCAGTTTCCACTGCAGTCTCTGAATGCCAGTTTCTGGAAATCACAAGGCTTGCCAGAGGAATCCAGTTGGCCACTGTGAGAACAGGGTGCTGGACTAAATGAGCTATTATTGGCCTGATCCAGCAGGACTTTTAAAAAAAAAATTCTTAAGAAAGATTTAATGAAAAGAGGGGCGTCATTTTGTCCTTTGCTAAAGCTGTGTTTATCTTATCTTGAGGCTGCAGATTCAAAGCAGGAAACACATTGAATTTCCTGACCACCATGAAACGGTGAAATCTGCTATGATTAAATGGGCACAAGATGTTGGACATAATATTATGTTTGCTGACTGGGAACAGTTATGGACCACAGGTATGAAGTTTACGGCATGTAATGCCTTAAGAAAGAATATTATGAAAATGATATACAGGTGGTACATGACCCCAGTCAAGCTTGCAAAAATCTATCATTTGCCCGATAATAAATGCTGGAAATGTAAAGAAACTGAAGGTACATTCTTTCACCTTTGGTGGACGTGCCCAAAGATTAAGGCTTTCTGGGAAATGATATATAATGAACTGAAAAAGGTATTTAAATATACCTTCTTGAAGAAACCAGAGGCCTTTCTTCTGGGCATTGTCAGCCAATTGGTGCCAAAGAAGGACTTAACTTTTTTTATGTATGCTACAACAGCAGCAAGAATACTCATTGCAAAGTATTGGAAGACACAAGATCTACCCACTTTGGAAGAATGGCAGATGAAGGTGATGGACTATATGGAATTGGCAGAAATGACTGGCAGAATCCGAGACCAGGGAGAAGAGTCGGTGGAAGAAGATTGGAAGAAATTTAAAGACTATCTACAGAAATATTGTAAAATTAATGAATGATAGATTGATGTTGGATAGAAATTAAGCGGTTTCCAGCTGTAATGCTCTAAGAGAATATGAAAAAAGGGTTATAAATGGGTAAAAATCTAATGGTAAGGATTTGCTGAACCAATAAATTGAAGTGGAATACAAAAAAGGGAGGTATGAGGAGGTCCGGGAAACAAGCTAAAGGAAAATAAGTTATGGAAAATATGTGTGTTTTTAACTGTTTTTGTTTTGTATTTTTCTCTTTTTTTTCTCACTGTAATATTTCAAAAAATCTTAATAAATATCTTATAAAAAAAAAAAGAATTTCCTGACCACCTTCCCCCTCCCCCTTTCCATTGGAAGTAGCAAACTTTAATAACAAGAGTAATTAAAAGAAAACAGAATAAGGCAACAGGGAAGGAAGAATCATGTCAAGGGGGGAGGGAAGACCCCCTGATTTCTGTAATGGCACTTGGCAAAAGTAATTGACAATCCCTATTTTTAAAATCCCTCTTTCTTGTTTTTCTAAGAAAACAACAACACTGTCCCTGTTTTATATTTGTGAATTTTTGGTGAAAGCTTCTTTTAAAAAAATTTCAGTTTAGTGGACACATTGGTTTGGAAGACAAGAATTATTATCTCTTGTCAATAAATGCAGAACAAGAATCTCCCGGGTTTTACCCAAATACAATGATGTCCAGTGCCACCTAGTGACTAAAACTATATGACACCATCCACACAGTGGTTACAAAAATCTTTCAGAATGTAGTATAGCTGCATCCCTGAGCAGGGCCAGCCCACGACATTGTGGCACCTGAAGTGAAGCACATTGTGGTCTCCCCTGTCTTCCAGGGAAGAAAGGGTTAGGGAGGAGCCACATCAGGAACAAGGTGGGAATAATATCTACATTAGGATCTGCTGCCATTGTGGATCTTGCTGCCTGAGGCAATCGCTTCACCTTGTCCCATGGGTTGGCCAGCCTTGTCCCTCGAGCACCTAAAAATTTAATGTCTGAGTAGGGTTTTGATGCTTCTTCACTGTAGACTAATACACATGCATAATAATACAGTGGTAAAGGTAAAGGGACCCCTGACCATTAGGTCCAGTTGTGGCCGACTCTGGGGTTGCGGTGCTCATCTCGCTTTATTGGCCGAGGGAGCCGGCATACACAGCTTCCGGGTCATGTGGCCAGCATGATTAAGCCGCTTCTGGTGAACCAGAGCAGCGCACGGAAACACCGTTTACCTTCTCGCTGGAGTGGTACCTATTTATCTATTTGCACTTTGACGTGCTTTCGAACTGCTAGGTTGGCAGGAGCTGGGACCGAGCAATGGGAGCTCACCCCGTCGCGGGGATTCGAACCGCCAACCTTCTGATCGGCAAGTCCTAGGCTCTGTGGTTTAACCCACAGTGCCACCCGCGTCCCAATACAGTGGTACCTTGGTTCAATAACAACTTCATTTATGAACAACTTGGATTAAGAACACTGCAAACCCGGAAGTAGGTGTTTTGGTTTGGGAACTTTGCCTTTGGAAGTGGAACATGTTCCGCTTCTGGTCAAGTGTGTTCCATTTGTAAATTGAGTCCCCCGCTGCTATGGGAACGAATCCCCATGATAGAGTGAGCTCCTGTCGCTCCATCTCAGCTCCTGCCAACCTAGCAGTTTGAAAGCACACCAGCATGGGTAGATAAATAGGTACTGCTGCAGCAGGAAGGTAAACGGTGTTTCCGTGTGCTCTGGTTTCCGACATGCTGTCTCGTTGCGCCAGAAGCTGTTTAGTCCTGCTGGCCACAAGACCTAGAAAAGCTGTCTGTGGACAAACGCCATCTCCCTTGGCCTGGAAGCAAGATGACTGCCGCAACCCCATAGTCGCCTTTGACTGGACTTAACCGTCCAGGGGTCCTTTACCTTTTAGCTTTGCTCCTCCCCACTAATAGAATCATCAAATTGAAGAGCTTGAAGGACCTGAAGGATCATCTAGTCCAACCCCCTTCAATGCAGGAATATGCAGCTGTCGCATACGGGGATTGAACCTGCAACCTTGGCACTATGAGCACCACGCTCTAACCAACTGAGCTATCCAGCCTCATTCATGGAAGCCTCAGTCACATCTCTAGATGGTTTAGCTATAATCCATAATTGGAGGGTTCCAAAAGCCAAACTCCAAACCAGAAGCTGAACAATACAAACTGAGCAACTCACAAAAACATTTTTTACAACAAGAACAGCAACCCTGCCCTCCACCCCCTGCCCTAACCACCTAATAAGGCTGCGAATGTGTGACTGGTATTGTGGTTGAAGAGAAGAGCTGCTCCGGAAAGAGATCTTTGGCCATCAACTCAGGCTATAGCAGCAAACCTCCAGTGCTCCTTCGACAGCCCTGCTCTCTGAGAGGCTTCTCTGCAGCCTCTGCTTGCCAATGGAGGGCGAAGATGGTTATACTGCTTTGAACTTCCAGTCTAGGAGGGCTGCATCAGGAACTGCCTCTGGGGCTCAGAAAAAAGGTACTCAGTTCAGACTCCTTCGTATCTTCCAGTTTTTGTCTGATTCCACTGTAATGTATCAGTTGACAGACGGACATGATTTTCCTTTTCCTTTAGATTTATCCTATTTGTAGAAAATTCGTTGGTACCCTTATAAGCAGTATTTTTGTTTGAATAACGAGACGGAAATACAGAAGGGTGCATGGCACCTAGGGATGGGGAAGAATTTCCATTTTGTTTGCATTTTCATGAGAAACTACCCAAATTGCACTATTCGAAACAAAACAAAACTGTCTTTCAAAATTCGCACTTGTGTTTGAATTTTGCAATGCAGTTCTTCAGCTACAAAATTTGCACAAATATGCATATACTGGTGTCTATAAATAATATATGAAATTTAAATTTGTATACCATCATTTAAATAATATACAAAAATTCAGAGGAAATCGCTAGCAAAAATGTGTATACATGAAAACTGCATATAAAAATGTGGGAGAAATCTGAAGTAAATGCGGATGAATTTTCATTAAAAATAAATAAATGCTTGCAAGCAATTCTCAAAGTTAAAGTTGACTTTTAAAATGATCAGTGCTACACAAGTGTGAAGGGTCTCTGAATAGGTAAAGGGAGAGGGAGTTGTCCTTTGAAGTTCACATAAAAATGAAATCAAGATCTGGCTGCATGTTTTTAAACATGATGAGAGCAGAAATGTTCCAGTATTCAATTTATTCATTGTAAAGAAACCTGGAGTTATTTCTGATCATCAACAAGTGCATTTATGTACCCAGTAATACCTCTATGATTCTCAGCACAATTTCCTTCCATGTGGTGTTTGTTATTTTGTATCCCCCCCCCCCCCCAAATAACAAAAAGGCAGAAACAGGAGCAAGGATGTCATTTGTTCTTTTATAACAAGTTTGTTGTCTTGATTTCTTATTATTCTGGTGAGTTTTGCCATTTCTGTATAGTCCATTAATTTCTGTAACCAGTTTTCTCTCTTCTGGACTTCTTTTCATCTGAGAGCAAATAACGTTCTTGCAGCTGTAGTTGCATACATAAATAAATTTCTATACTATTTAGGTAGTTCTAATCCTATAATTCTCAAAAGAAAAGCTTCTGGGTTGTTGTTTTTTACAAATGTGTTATCTTAAAGATTTTAAGAAAGGAATGGAAATGGTTCAGTGAATATTTACAAATAAATTGTAAAGAGACATTAAGACATGAGCAGGATTATTGTAAATCCCTGCAGTTGTTTTTTTAAATATATATGTGTGTGAGAGAGAGAGATATGAGCATAAAAGAATAAGTGAAGATAATTTGGAGTATGCAGGAAATGATGAAAATAAATGTACAGAACTGCAGAAAGAGGGGGGAAGAGAACCGAGGTTTGATATGTTAGAATTATTGTTGAACTACTGTAACGTATATAAATGAAAAGTATAAGTAAGATTATTATTTTTAAAGGATGCAGAATTGAGGACAATGCAAATAAAATTAGATATGCTAGTTAGCTTGGGAAATAAGATGTTATAATATGCTTTTATTCAAATTCTTTTTTAAAAAAATAAATTTTATTAGTATTTTCCACACAACAACAACAACAACATGAAAGATATCAGAAAATAGCAATACACAACACATAAATATCAACATTCGAAAACTGAAAAAAGCAACAACAACAAACACAAAACAAAACAAAAACACAAATCCATATCTTACAAGTTAATAGTATGAACACTAAAACAACAACCACAAGACATTGACATAAGATGTTATAATATGCTTTTATTCAAATTCCAAGCATGCATGTAGCATGAAGCGTGTACATAGATGGGTCTTTGCTTGCTGCTGCTTCTGCAACATTTCACACTCCTTCCCCCAGCCTAGCGAAGAAAAAACGCTTCTGTAGATGCTGCACCCAATGTCCTGGCCAAGTTTAAAGGTGTGAGCCTGTTGCCTGACCACCTGCTCCAGCCACATCCTTTTCCTACGCACCTACTGAGCCACGGAGGCGACTCATGGTGAAAACTACAGCGCCTGCCTGTCCTTTTCTCTGCTAACACCTGTTCCCCACTGTGCCTGCCCAACAAAGGTTGGTGACTCATTTCTTTCACTGCAGCCCAGGACACATTTTCAAATGCAACGGCCAAAGTTTTGCTGCAGAACTTCTTTCCACATCAGGTCCACTTCCTGGTTAAAGAGAATGCCTCATTTTTTAGCATCTGGCGCTCCATTTCTTTTTGCCAGGTTATTGAGCAATATTGTTAGGCAACTAAATTGCGTGTCGAGACCCGAGACCACCCCTCGTTGATGAATAAGACACAAGGACACAAATATTAGGTTAAGCTTACTGGGCAAATTTAGGCCACAACTTTATTGGTTACAGAATGTGAGCGGTATTGGCTTAGGCAATGGAATTGACCCGACTATATCTGACTCCTGCCTGTTATGCAGGGAGTCTGGTAAGGGTCAACCACCGGTAGGGGGAGCCCTGTCAATGCAAACCAACTCGAGCTCCCCCTGGATTCCCAACGGGGTCATGGCATGGCCCTAGCCCAGCCCTGGACTTCAGACAAGAGCCACACCCCCGGATTCCTTTAACGGAATACCCTTAAACTTGGAGTGGCAGATGATGGCCACACCTCACCTCCCCCGTCATAAGATCAACCAATGCCTAACCGCCAAACCTTACAAAGTTGTGACAATTGCTACGAGGTAGGCAAAAACCAAATGGCCCATGCCAATTTGCCAAGTGGAAAAACTCCTACCAGGCCCCTCAATGGAGACTAACCGAGGTCCATGTTGTTGTTGTTGTTTAGTCGTTTAGTTGTGTCCGACTCTTCGTGACCCCATGGACCAGAGCACACCAGGCACGCCTGTCTTCCACTGCCTCCCGCAGTTTGGTCAAACTCATGATGGTAGCTTCGAGAACATTGTCCAACCATCTCGTCCTCTGTCATCCCCTTCTCCTTGTGCCCTCAATCTTTCCCAGCATCAGGGTCTTTTCCAGGGAGTCTTGTCTTCTCATGAGGTGGCCAAAGTATTGGAGCCTCAGCTTCAGGATCTGTCCTTCCAGTGAGCACTCAGGGCTGATTTCCTTAAGAATGGATACGTTTGATCTTCTTGCAGTCCATGGGACTCTCAAGAGTCTCCTCCAGCACCATAATTCAAAAGCATCAATTCTTCGGCGATCAGCCTTCTTTATGGTCCAGCTTTCACTTCCATACATCACTGCTGGGAAAACCATAACTTTGACTATACAGACCGAGGTCCATAGCAAGGCCAAATTCGAAACCTGAAAATAGGGGGGAAGGGAGGGAGATTGAGGAAGTGAGCCAAGAGGAATCTCTCCGGCTCATGCCTCAGTTTAAATGGGGCCCAGCTACGCCCCCAAAGCCAGCGGATTGGCTGGCAGGTGAATGACATGGCTGGGAACCTCCGGGGGACGTGGGACTTCATCCCCCGCCCATGGAGGGGAGAGGGTGGCCACGTGGTCCATCACAACTCCTCCCCACTGGGAAGTGGAGCGGATTTATTGAATGGGCAGAGTAACTTCCATTTGGACCATGTCTGTCTTACCAGGCACATCTCATGCCTGTAGTAAGGGATTTGCACTGGCTGCCCATTAGACATCAAGCTGGATTTTTGAGGTCTTGTTACTTACGTAAAAGGTAAAGGGACCCCTGACCATTAAGTCCAGTCATAGCCGACTCTGGGGTTGCGGCGCTCATCTCGCTTTATTGGCCGAGGGAGCCGGCATACAGCTTCCGGGTCATGTGGCCAGCATGACTAAGCCGCTTCTGGCAAACCAGAGCAGCACACGGAAACGCCGTTACTTAGGTATAAACCCCTAAACAGCTCTGGACCAGATTTCCTAAAAGAACAACTTCGCTTTCGTTGTCAGGTAAGGGCATTAAAACAACCAATGAAGCCCAATTAGTCTTGCCACACCTTCCTGATTCTTGGCTTGTGGGAGGTGGGCTCCTTTCACCGATAGCACTAGCGATATGGAAGGCACTCCATGATGAAACACAAGCATATTCATCTCTATTGGCATTCTGTGGGCTTTTGAAGATGCCCCTGTTTACACAGATTTCTCAGCATAAATCTCATGATTAATTACTGCCATGTTTTAAAGGAATTTTTGTTGCATGTTTTCATTGGGCATGCTTATGTCTTGAAGCAATTGTTTTATTGTGTGTTTTAATGGCGCTAATATCAACTTAAAACTACAAACATGTCCAAAAAAACACACAAAACAAAACAAAACCCCAAAAAGGGGGGAGCACGTTTTATGCGGCAAATACAGATTGCAGAATTGGAACAAAATTTCCATAGCTATCAGCTTCAAGACATCTTGCCACGGGGTACTGAAATTACATCAGTTAGTGAATGCATATAAATATTCCCATGCTCACCGATTGCCAGATACGTCTGTTAATAACCATGATTTTTTCAACCACTTTGGATGTGAGGGTACATTTTCTGTGAATATATAGCCTAGTTGGTTAGAACATGGTTCATATACTGCCTAGGTTGCAGGTTTGATTCCTGTATGCTAGAACTGCATAGATTGGACTATTCTGCATAGATTGGTCCCCTCTGATGCTACTATGCTATAATTCTTCTGCAGAAAAATCAATGCAGCACATCCACTTTTTCCTCTAAATAAAAATAGCAAAGTATTTCAACCTGCTTCCTATTAGTGGATGAATGTTTTCTTAAGAATCTGAACATTTTTAAAATTCAAACTAATACAAAACAGTGGAATTTGCTGCCAAGGAGTGTGGTGGCGTCTCCTTCTTTGGAGGTCTTTAAGCAGAGGCTTGACAACCATATGTCAGGAGTGCTCTGATGGTGTTTCCTGCTTGGCAGGGGGTTGGACTCGATGGCCCTTGTGGTCTCTTCCAACTCTATGATTCTATGAAAACACCAGACATAAAAGATGGTTTCCTTCCTCTCTTCTTCGCTGTATTTCTCTTCCCTGATTTTGACAAAGCATGCTGCTGACAGCTGACAGTCACATCAGCAGTGGAGGAAATCTGCATTAAAAACATAACAGACACCAGAAAGTGGCAATATATTTTCTTTAAAAAAAAAAAATTATTAACAGGCCAATCACATCACATTATCACATTGATTCCAAATTATACAGCCAATTTTTAAATTTTGTTGGGGGTACCCATACATCAAGCTCCGCTCGAGTCCAAAACAGCATCACTTATCTTACTGCATTAATTAGACGGTTCTCTCCAGTTTGATCCGGAAAGTCCTTTGTTACTTCTTTTCTCTTCTTGTTGTTATCATAAATTCCTTTCTTTGCAATCTCTGATGATTTTCACAAGCAGGTTAACAGCTGGCATTCTATGTGGATTTTGTACTTTTCCAAAAATCATATCGATCCAGGACAGCCTCTGTACAACGCTTCCATAAACAAAATTAATCTCCGATCTGTCCTTTATTTTTCTCAGGCTTACCAAATAACAAATGAGTCTGGGGGTTCTGTCAGGTCAAACTTACATTCCAGCATTCCTTCTCTTTCAAACACTCCTGATTCTCCCCCCAGTCCTTCTTCCTTGGCAAACCTGTCATGGCGAGATGCCATTTTTTAACTGCGTCATAAAATTTTTCTTCTTTTCTCACCATTCTGCAGTCTTCTTTCCTTATACTCCGTCCCACATAGTTCTTAAAATCCTGCCTGTGATTCATAGAAACGCGACAATCTTGTTTCTATCTGGGGTGAAGGTTTATTAATGTCACATCATGCAAAGAAAAAAAGAGTTTTTTCCTCCACCCCCCCCCCTTCGTTCCAAACATACAGTCTCCTTATGGTGATTCATCAGAAGATTTACTTATCCATCCGTCACTCCTGGTCGCAGAGATCCATTAATCAGCAGTCTTATCTTCGAGCTTTACTTGATGTATGTGCTTTCAGCTTCGTTTCCAATCGTATGTTTCCAATTATAATTCCAAGCTGAAGCAACCAGCACGCGCTAATTGGAATCGGCTTCAGGAAGATCTGACTTCACCGAGGGCCTGTGCCAAGTGTTCGGCACCCCCATCACTCGCTTCAGGGGTGCATTGTGAACACCGCTGGCAGGACAGTTCTCCTCCACATCCTGGAGGAGTTCAGGAAGGCTGCATACTTCCCATAGCAGCCCCTTAGTACCTCGTATGGGTCAGGGAGATGTTATTGTCGGCCATCTTCCAACGCGCCACCTGGTGGCCCCCCGTGGCAATATATTTTCAATCATGCCAGATAGGAAGAGGAGCACAAAATCAATGACAGTGAGCTGAACATAGTCAAGGGGTTACAACTGGAGATCCAGAACAGTGACGAGATTTTCAGATCATCAGAAGACTGGTATCAAAGACTGCTCATGAGTTCTTGCATGTGGAGTGGGAGATCACCTTTTCTCATTATCGTGCAAGCTCCATCAAAGCTCAATCTTATTTTTGTCTTTTGTGAACTTCTAAATTAGACAAGTTTAGCTTGGCAGATCTCCACATTCCTACATCACTTCCACACACCCCTTTAAACTCCTCCTGAACATTCAACATTTTAGTGTGCATTTCTCTGAATATGCACGTTTTTGTTTGCAGTTTTGCGCAGCCAGCACACAATTTTTTTCAAGCCTAATACAATGAATTTTGGCAATTTGCATGAACAGGTGGAGCCCCCAACCCCAGGCGACCCCGAGTGGAATAATGACTCAAGACAATGTGTTATGGGATTAAAATTGGCCACAACTTTATTAAGTTTCAGATGTAGGGGACCTTGTCTCAGGTATTGGGCGTATATCCTTCCCAGTCCCCAGCCAGGGATCTGGGAGACATCAGGGTTATCCAGAATGTGTGGGGATTGGGCTGGCTCTGGAGAACATTTATTCAAGCAGAGAGCCTGCCCCCTGTTTTGCCGCCATCGCAGGGGAGAGCAATGACAACCTCTCGGCGTATGGCCAATGCCTCCCCTCAAGACCCCTTTAACGGGGAACCCTGGGATCACAGCCGCAAGGGGGGGTCCACCGCTTCACGCCCGCCCATTTAGGAAGACAGACTAAAGGATTCTGCCCAAGGCCTGAAACCACCAAAGTTGTGATGTTTTGCTAAGGGAAAGGCAAAACCTGCCGATGCAGGAAAATTCTTTTCTGGCCCTTCAACAGCGATCATGATGTAGCAGTGCCCACGTACCTGTGGAGAAGAGGTTAACCTGCAAAAGAAGACTTAATTGAGGGAGGGCAGGGTGGGAGAAGCTCTGGAGCCAACTGATGCTTTGCAGGTAAGATTCTGTTGTGTGGGCAGGGTGGTCCCTCCCCCTACCTGGCCAATCCCCTGGCAGCGCCTCCCCAGGCGGGATTGGACGATTGGTTGAGGTAGCAGAGACCTCCAGGTATCCAGCCTGGGGAGGGCAAAGCCAGCCTGTACTACCGGGAGCCACACTGGGATCCGGGGGGCTGCGTGCGACCACGCAAAAGGCGCCCCCCACTTGATGTGGGGAGCGGTCATTACTAAACAAATACCATTTGCCTGTTGTCTCCTGAAGGGATTTTTTTGTGTCAAAAAACAAAACAAAAACAAATCACCCAGCATTATATCCCTGCAATGAGTTGCAGGAGACTCTAGTCTAGGCACTGCGGACTCGCATCATTCAAGTTTTCCCTCTCCTCACAGATGCTTCTGGGCTTCCCTGTTGGTACCAGATCACCCTGTGGACAGGAGGCTTTGTGATCATCATCCTGGGGGTGGCTGTGACAGTCTTGGGTGAGTATTATTTATTATTTCATTTATGAATTGCTTTCCATGTGGCATCCTGAAGTGGTTTACCATACAGTAAAAGCACATACAGAATGATTGTCTAACATCTTCCATCAGCTCCAGCCCATTCAGCAGGTTATGAACATTTGGTTTAGCCCAGTATGGCAGCTCTCAGAACAGCAGCAGAAGATGAGACTCCTGACTATCAACCCCAGAGTCTCCGAGATTCAGTAGAATCATCCAGCAACTTACCGAGCAGTGGGATAAAATCCCTCAAGGAATTTAAAATGGGGAAAATTAGAGCATATTATCACATGTTAAAAATAAGACTACTTGTTAATATATAATCTTCTAATGTCCCAGTCGTTATCTCTCTTGGATTTGAATTGATTCCATATATGTGGTATTCTTGTTTTTAAATTGTATGTGCTTCATCCACAAATATTGAAAGTACAGTTGTACCTTGGAAGTCAAACGGAATCTGTTCCAGAAGTCCGTTTGACTTCCAAAACGTTCATGAACCAAAGCACAGCTTTCGATTGGCTGCAGGAAGATTCTGTAGTCAATCAGAAGCTGCAGATGGCCCGTCGGACGTTTTGGTTCCAAAGAATGTTTACTAACCGGAACACTCACTTCCGGGTTTGCTGCTTTTGGGAGCCAAAACGTCCAAGTACCAAGGCATTTAATATCCAAGTTACAACTGTGGTGTCATTTGGGATCTGAAGCAATCGATTGAAATGTAATTTGTTCCCTATCCTGAAATACTTTTAATCAAAAGTTTTTAATCTGTGGGCATTCCCAGAGATGTGCATAAGTTTTCCATCATTCCCACAGTTTCTCCAACATTGTGAAGAGTTATTTTTGTCTATTTTCTTTAGCAACCAAGCAGATAACATAAATACTTTTATATTCGTAAAGATGCTGCCATCATTCCCCTTACTATGTGATTTTCTGAAGAAGGCCAAGATGGATTCATACTTCTGTGGGAGGAATTGTGGCAGGTCTCTTTTGCAGCTTGCTCTCCGTATCTACCGTAGATTCCGGTGTATAAGATGACTTTTTAACCCCGGAAAAGAGGTTAAAAAGTTGGGGGTCGTCTTATACGCCGGGTATAGGCGGCATGCGGCGGGCTCCGTTCTGGGAGAAAGACTGAGCTTATAAGACGAACCCCCAAATTGGAGCTGCCAATTTGGGGGGTTGTCTAATACGTCCAGTCGCCTATTACGCCGGAATCTACGGTAATTGTATCCATCTTCTTTTTTCATTCCTTGGCCTCCATATTTTGATTATGTGTGTTAACATGATGCTTATTTATTTAAATAAATGTGTTGTTTGTTTGTTTGTTTGTTTGTTTGTTTGGTGAGGAGTAGCTTTGCAGTTGAAAACTGATAAAGGAGAAACCAGAGTAAATGCTGGCAGATGCAATCTCTGTTTAGACAAGTTTCAGGCTTTCCTAAGACGCAGCCTCTGCAACCAATACCAGAGCAAGCCCTCAGGTAAAAATTTATATATTGTACCTGTTTTTATTTTTTTTACAAATATAGGTCACTGTGGAATCCCAATGGGACAAAATCCACTTTCAAACCGCAAGTTCCCCCATCACGAATAAGTTTTGCAATAAGGAAGCAACAGTCAGAATAATGTCACAAATCGATGTATTGAAACATGTGGTTTGGTCCAAATATATACAGTCGTACCTCGACTCCCAAATGATCAAAACCGGGAAGTGAGTGTTCCGGTTTTCGAATGTTCTTTCGGAAGCTGAATGTCCGATGGGGCTTTCGCAGCCAATCAGAAGCCGCGCTTCAGAAGTTGAATGTTTCGGAAGTCAAATGGACTTCCAGAACAGATTCTGTTCGACGTCCGAGGTATGACTGTACTTCAATTGGCTATAGACTTTTAACTCATTTTCTGTGACTAGCTGGCCCTTTCCCTATGCTACAAGCGTTATTTTGCTACCCACCCACCCCATCTGATCAATCACCTTTTCAGTCAATAAATAAAGCCACCAGTTTGGAGGGACTACTATAGTTTAGCTTATTGAGGTTGTGGCTACTGAAGCACTATTGGCGTCAGTAAGCCTAAAGCCACTGGTTTCTGCAGTTGCAGAGTACATAATGTTTTTCTACATTGGAAATGGTGAGCCAGTCAGAATCATTAAATTATGTGTCTATCTTCCCTTCCACAGTTAATTCCACTTGCAAAGTGTGCCCTGTACAATGGCAGCTCCACAGGGACAAATGCTACTGGCAATCGGAAGATACTAAAACCTGGAATGAGAGCCAACATGACTGTTCAACAAGGGATTCTCATCTGCTGGTCATCCAAGACAAGGAGGAGTTGGTCAGGAACAATGATATATTTCATGCAATGCCTGAAGGAAGCCTGAGTCCAATTGCGTTTAATTCTAACTTAGTAACTCGACAATGGTATCATGCTTTGTGACTTGAGAAGCTTGTGGAGTGCAGGGCCTTGTTTAGTATTTCATCCCATTCCCACCCAAGGCCAGTTCATCAGTGTCTAGATAGGGCCTTGGGGAGATTGACTAGTGAGAGCCAAACAGTAAGTTGCAAGCAAATTCATGTAACTGTAGCCCAACTCCTCTTTTTATTTAGAAAGTCTTTCCAGGAGGGTGAGGTTGATAGTGGAGTTTATATTAATCTTTGTTTTGATGCCATCAGTTTGAAAATCAGCAAATATCTTTTTCAAAAATACATTTTCTCTGACACAGGACTTCATAAAAAACATTACAAAAAATGCAAAATTCTGGATCGGACTCTCACTATCATTAGCAGAGAATAAATGGATGTGGATTACAGGCTCCCAGCTTGATCAGAGTCTGTGAGTTCTTCTCATTGTTTTTAACCTAAGCAAAACATCATGCAATTTTTAGAGCTCAGATTATTTGGGTGTGCAATTGAGGCACAGGTTTCTGCACCGGTTCCAATTAGGTTGCCAACATTCTCACGCAGAAAGAGGGACTGGTATAAGAGATGCTGCCAAATTCCATTTATAGGTGGTACTTAATACCCACCAAACTAACAAATGTACAAAATGAAAAATAAGAACTGTTGGAAATGCAATGTAAAAGAGGGAGACTTTTTTGTCACTCTTAACACATACATACTGTTAAGTTGTGGGTGAACATATCAGACGACACAGCGTTTCTTCAAACAGCTCTTGTTTATTCAGAGGCCAGAACAGAACTGAACTGAAGGGTTCAGTCAGCCTGCTTATATAGAGCTCCACTAGAACGCAACAGTAACCATTTTCTGTAACTATCCAATCACTGAGCGTCACTTTTGATCCCTTATTTGCATACGTGGACCTGAACTATCTACAGTATCCCCCTGCTTATATAGAGCTCCAGTACACATAATTGTAACAACTTTCTAAAACTATCCAATCACTGAACATCACTTTCAATCCCTTATTTGCATAACCATCTACAGTATCCCCCTGCTGGCTCAGGGTGAGAACTTCAGTACATAACACCTACATTCAAAAAGAACTGGCCAGAAGTTCATTTTCGGTCCTAGAGGAAAATCAGAGGAGAGAGAAGGAAGGGAGAACTGGAAGGTTATTAGCAGTTAATGACGGATGCCCCCCCCCATCTCATTTAATTTGGGGTGACCAACTGACCAGTTGGGCTTTGTAAAGTCTTAATGTGGTTGAGGTGAGTCACCGACTAATACAGAGTGTTGCACATCCATTGTTGCTGGGAATGTGCTGAGGTCCAAATACCAACAAGGAAGCCAGCTCTGCTCTCAAGCTCCTATATCTGCCCCATTACACCAATTCACCAACTCTCCCTAGGTGGCAAACTGGGCTGGTCATTTTAGTTCCCAGGATGTAAAGTATGCCCAGGATTCTCCACCACTGCTGCAACCCTCCTTCCCATGCCTCAAAGGAAAATATTTGGTCTTGGGGCAGGAAAAGGGTAAGATGGCTCGATCCCATTATCAAGCACGCATGACCTTTGTATCCTGTGGACTGCCCTGAGACCTGCGAGTATAGGGTGGTATATAAATTTAATAAATAATAATAATGACTTTCTTCATGCTATCCAATTTGATACTATTCATGCATGTCTGAAGGATTCAAATGCACACAGCCAGCTTATTACACATTTTGGGAACACCCCTGATTTCTATTAAGAATGTGGGGGGGGGGGATAGTTGTAACAGTCTTCAGTCCTGACCTTCAACTCTACCCTTTCCTTCCACAGATTTCCAGAACCAAAGTATGCCAAAGGGAACTATTGTGGCAAGATAAAGTCTGAACTCGTCGCTGAAGCCTGCAGTATTGAACTTAGATGGATTTGCCAGAAAGACTCTCTTTTACTGTAATATTTTAGCTTGATACAGATAATAATTATGTGGGGTTTTGTTATTTGCCAGGAGCACACAATTTTTAAAGATACTGAACACCAAAAAGATTGTGAAAGGCATTTCTCTATTTTCAGCAAAATACCTCTTGGTAAAATCCTGAAATTTTACCCAAAGCATCAATTGCTTTCATCAAATTAGAAATACTAGATTGAGTCTTCGAAATAAGCAGAAGGATACCATCTGCAAATAAAACCAAAGAAAGAGCCCAGAACAAAGGCCAGATAATAATTATGTGGGATTTTGTTATTTGCCAGGAACACAAAAATTTAAAAGATATTGAATACCAAGAAGATTCTGTTTTCAGCAAAATACCTCTAGGTGAAATCCAGAGATAACAAGGGAATTTGAAGTAGATATATTTTGGCTACTGAAAGATTGGTTTGAAGTGACAGTTGAGGATCAGTTGTAGAATTTGACAGCACAAAACAGCAAACCTGGCCAATAATTACAATACAAACAGAACAGCACCGTCCCTTTCATTCAAAGCAGTCAATTCCCCAAAACCCATTGAAAGCAAATTTCTCGTTCCTCTTCAGACTAACAAGCTTTCAAACTACTGAATTATCGGACTGCTTGGACAAAGTCATTGATTACTGAGTATATAAAACCTCCCATTATGTATTATTTCTTTTAATGAGATGTAGCCATGTCAACTAGTGCGAAATGAGAGGCAGCTTCTTCAAGTCCAACAGCGTCACTAATCAGTGAAATGGTGGTGGAGGACACTAATACTAATTTACTGAAATTTACTGGCTCAAGTACAAGTTCTGAAGCCGATCCAAAAGGACCTGACAGAGCTTAAAAATGATGTGAAGCAGATGCAAGATAGAATGGTTCGCTATGGAGATGGTTTGAATGTTCATGAGACCATCGTGCTTGCTAGGCCACTATGCAGCCCCTACGTTGTGGAACTCCTTCCCCATCCTGGCACCATTCTATCGCTTCTGGTGAATGCTGAAGATGCACTCTTTACACTGAACATTTGAGATGAGGTTGTTAAAAGATGCTGTATGGAAAGATGCAGATATTGCCATTGGGCCTCATAGGACAGGTGATATTTTTCTCTTAGAACATCATACATGTAATGTTCATATTCTTCATCTATCAAGGTCAATACACCTGCTTCCATCCAGTTTTTCCATCTTACCATCTTCTATTCAAATTTTTAGAGTAGGATATCCCCACAGAGTAAGTTTTGCATGGGAAAATGGATCAAAGTTGCTTTTATTAGCTACAACAATCCAGTATTCTAACTGAATTATTTCAAGAGTCATCTGAAATTTCAAATATTTCTGAAATATTTTTGATTCTAATGCTGTCCAACCAACCAAAAGTGCTATATATGTATATTCTAAGGTTGCCCATGTCAGGAAGTTAAGACCATCAGCAGGTCTCCAATATTTCCAAATCCACCTTCTTTCATTTGTAATGGTATTTTCTGCATAGATATCCTCAGTGCTTTTGAGCTCCAAAGACATTTCCTAAACAGGGAATTTATCTTTTGAAAATATGACCCAGGTATAAAAGCTGGAAGTCCTCTCAGGACATAAAGAAATCTGGGAGTAATGTTCATTTTGAGAGCATGCACTTTCCCCCCAAGAGTAAGGTTTAATGGTTCCTACCTGTCAATATCTAGTGAAGACTCTTTTATTATTTATGTTTACTGTTACTAACTGGGTTATATTTCTTGGTATTAACATACCTAGATATTGAATAAATTTGGTACAATTCCAGAATTGGTATTGCTTAAATGAATGAGTACCGTAATTTTCTCTCTAAAAGACACACCAGACCACAAGACTGGTTTTTGGAGGAGGAAAACAAGAAAAAAAATATTCTGAATCTCAGAAGCCAGAACAGCAAGACGGATCACTGCGCAGTGAAAGCAGAAATCCCTCTTGCTGTTCTGGCTTCTGTGATAGCTGCGCAGCCTGCATTCGCTCCATAAGACGCACACACATTTCCCCTTACTTTTTAAGAGAGAAAAGTGAGTCTTATAGAGCAAAAATATGTAATTAGATTTTCACCTATAGGCAACCATTCCAATTTGGACCAATTAATTGAGTGTCCTAATATTTTACCCAAATCATCCGTTGCTTTCATCAAATTAGGAATACTAGAATGAGGCTTTGAAATAAGCGTATTCAACTCCTTCATGAATCTCACAATGCTATCTAATGCCAGGGGTTCTAAACACATTTTAAAGAGCAAAGGTGGAAGTGAACATCCTTGTCTGGTTCCTCCTGGCCCTCTGTTGATCCTTAATGGCCGTAGCTTGAACAGGTCGTTTCCCAAAGGCTAACCCAGGAATTCCTCTGCAGTTTGTATTTCCCCCTTCACATCCCAAAATTGGGGTACACTACTTAAACCATTTCCCAACTTCGCTAGAGTCTAGCCCTGCAAATTCTGTATCAGTCAGAGAAAATAAGAGACTTCAGCCAAGCAATGAAGAAGCAAATCAGCAGCCAATAGGCCTAATCTTTATTTGTTGCAACAAAGGTTCCAACCTTTAAGGCAAGCAAAAAAGACAGAGCCCTGAACAAAGGTTACATGAGTTTTTTAAAGTTCTCAAATTTTCCCATAACACATTTCACACAGTGTCATCAAAACATTGCACACACCATAGGAGTGGTGTCTTTTTAAAAAAATGTTTATCTTTATCTTTTATTTTATTAATGAGTTTCAATTTTATACATGTCAATAATTTTACAATCATTTGAACATTTCAGAACTTGACTTCCTTCCCCTTCCTTCTGCGGTTCCTTAAATTTATTTTTAATATTTTATTCATCTCCAAATTAACTTACTTTACACATTTATTCATCTACTTTTAATATATACTCTTATAAAACTGCAGGTTATTACAACAATCCTGCCAATGTTCTTATCTGTTTACAGTTTGTTTGTAAATATTCAATGAACCATTTCCATTCTTTATTTGTTCAAGCCAGGTTGCATTCCATTCTGGAGATGGATTTTTTCACGTGGGGTTTTGTGATTCCGATAACACCTTCCTCACCCTACCTGCCCTGCTTATCTTGACTGGTAATATCTGGTTTGACACCTGTCCCCTCCCCTCCTCCTCCCTGAGAAGAGTAAAGCACCATTGAAATGAGGAAGATAAGTGAAACGGCTGGTTTTTAGTGATTATCTGAAGTTTCCCCATAGGATAGCATTGTGGCACTACTGGGTGATATTGTTAATTGAAGATTTCCCTTTAAGGCACCAGCTGAACCTCCCGGGGAAAGCATTCTACAAATGGGGAGCCACTGTCTTCTAAAAGTCAGATATTTATTTCCTTGACATCTGATGGGAGGGCAGGCACCACTACTGAAAAGGCCTTCTGCCTGGTTTCCTGTAACCTCACTTTGCGCAGGGAGGGAACTGCCAGAAGGCCCTTGACACTGGACCTTTACCCCCTAAACGATGGGGGCGGCCGAGGCTGTTTAGGGCTTTAAAGGTCAGCACCAACACTTTGAATTGTGCTCAGAAACACGCTGGGAGCCAATGTAGGTCTTTCAGGACTAGTGTTATATGGTGTCAGTGGCCACTCCCAGTCACCAGTCTAGCTGCCGCAGTCTGGATTAATTGTAGTTTCTGGGTCACCTTCAAAGGTAGCCCCACGTAAAGCGCATTGCAGTAGTCCAAGCGGGAAATATTACAGGGGTCAGCAAACTTTTTCAGCAGGGGTCCAGTCCACTGTCCCTTAGACCTTGTGGGGGGCCGGACTATATTTTGGGGGTGGGGGGCAGGAAATGAATGGATTCCTATGCCCCACAAATAACCCAGAGATGCATTTTAAATAAAAGCACACATTCTACTCCTGTAAAAACATGCTGATTCCCAGACTGTCTGCGGTCCCATTAAGAGAAGGCAACCATCCATCCAGCCCTCTAACGGTGCCTCCATCTTATCTGGATTAAGCTTCAGTTTATTGGTTCTTACCCAGTCCATTACAGAAGCAGGGCCAGACTAGCACTTACACTGCCACACCTGCAGATACAAAAGAGAAGAGGAGCTGTATCACATCATGCAGGGACATGTTTCCTGTGTCTCTCTCCCAACATTGCCCAGGAAAATGCAAATCTGCACCAAACCCAAAATCTGGACCACCCAACAAAATCAAGTAAGGTTTTTCCTCCATCTACACCCACAGATTCAATAGCTAGGGTGGACAGCCTAATCACTCTCTTTGGTTGTGGAGGCTACAGGGGGCCAGCCCATTATGCATACCTCATTGAGTGTGATCTGCACGACTTAGAAGCCTATGCTGTTTCTCATTTACCAACTGGTTTGCTGCAGATCCAGCGTTCTTCGCTTCCTCTGCTGCCGCTAGCAACACCCAGATGGTTCAAGTAAGCACATGTTCCTCCTCCCCGGATTTCAAACCTAAAAAGCAACAGAATGTAGAAATGGTATCCCTAAGAACAAGTATAAGACCATGCAACTGAAAAGCGACCCCCCCCCAATGTATGTACCTGAAAAGAGACCCCCCCCCCCAATGTATGTACCTGAAAAGAGATCCCCCAATGTATGTACAGGAAGCCCTGGAAGCTAATTTTCACCTGAAGAAAACTGCAGAAGGCAGCTTCATTTATATTAATTTAATACATTTACATTTTAGACTATGTGATCTTGGCTCAGGGCTTCAGCAAATGGTATAAAAACCCCTGACTTCAGAAGAAGAGTGGAGATATTGACACACACTCAGGCTGGGTGACTCAATGGCACCCCTATGAAGGCTTCATCCGGGGCAAAATCCTGGCCCCCTGCCCCTAGGCCCCCACCACTGTAGCTATGTCCACCCTCCCGAATAAATTCAAAAGTGTGTGTGTGTGTGTGTGTGTGGAGAGAGAGGGAGAGAGAGAGAGAGAGAGAGAGAGAGAGAGAGAGAGAGAGAGTTTTTCAAAAGCAAAACATGCTGCATAGCCCGGACATTTAAATGGCTGGTTCTGTCAAATTTCTAGTTTCTGGACTTTTGACTTTTATTTCTTGACACACAATGGGGGGGGAGGGAAATCTCACCGTTTATTGAAAATGGTGCCATTGATCCATTTCCAAGGATCCTGGTCATCCATCCTTTGCAGACCAATCCAGTGGTCAGCAGGACCTTTGTATCGTCTCAAGAAGCTCTTAATAAAGAAAAGAAGTGTCAATACATTTCCACCCTCATCCAAGTGTAGAATCAACTCCATTTGGGGCTGCAGACTGTGCTCTGTATCTTTCCACTCACCATCTCTTCTTGGGAGTCAATCACGACCAAAGAGGCATTGAAAGAGGCACAGTAATTCTGGCTAGAAGTCCAATTTCTGTCACTGTCCGAAAAATAGTAACATTTCCTTTGGTAGCCAATCCAGCCGTCCGGACAGTACTCAGTTGGAGTGGAAGGAGAAGGTAGGGCGGTTGGCAATACTGCACAGCTTTCTAGAAAGGTGTCAGAAAGTGAGACAGATCATTATCCATAGCTTATAAATAGTCCTACCCAAAATAATAATAATAATAATAATAAATTTTATTTATATCCCGCCCTCCCCAGCCAAAGCCAGGCTCAGGGCGGCTAACAACAAACAAATAATCAAACAATCAAATAATCCAACATTCTAAAACATTTCATTATAAAAATTAATTAAAATCAAATTAATGGCAACCGTTAAGCAAAGTTCTATGCAGGTTGCCGGAGGTGGGAGTCAGGCTGGGCCCTGACCAAAGGCCTGGTGGAACAACTCTGTCTTGCAGGCCTTGCGGAAAGATGTCAGGTCCCGCAGGGCCCTAGTCTCTTGTGACAGAGCGTTCCACCAGATTGGAGCCGCAGCCGAGAAAGCCCTGGCGCTAATTGGGGCCAGCCTAACCTCTCTGAGGCCTGGGACCTTCAGGATGTTTTTATTTGCAGACCGTAGGTTCCTCTGTGGGGCATACCAGGAGAGGCGGTCCCGTAGGTACGAGGGTCCTAGGCCGTATAGGGCTTTAAAGGTTAAAACCAGCACCTTAAACCTGATCCTGTACTCCACCGGGAGCCAGTGCAGCTGGTATAGTACCGGATGAATGTGATCTCGCAGCGAAGACCCCATAAGGAGTCTCGCCGCGGCATTCTGCACCCGCTGGAGTTTCTGGGTCAGTCTCAAGGGCAGCCCCACGTAGAGCGAGTTACAATAATCCAGTCTGGAGGTGACCGTCGCGTGGATCACAGTGGCTAGGTCAGGGCGAGAGAGATAAGGGGCCAACTGCTTAGCTTGGCGGAGATGAAAAATGCCGCCTTTGTTATAGCTGTAATCTGCGCCTCCATAGAGAGGGAGGTATCGAAGATTACACCCAAACTCTTAACGGACGGTGCTGGCACTAATTGCACCCCCACAAGAGATGGGAGTTGCCCCCCCAATCCCATATCGTCCCGTCCCAGCCAGAGGACCTCTGTCTTCGAAGGATTTAACTTCAACCGGCTTCCGCGTAACCATCCAGCCACAGCTTCCAAACATCTGGTCAGTGTGTCTGGGGCCGAGTCAGGATGGCCATCCATCAACAGATAGAGTTGGGTGTCATCGGCATACTGATGGCAACCCAGCCCAAAACTCCGGACAAGCTGGGCGAGGGGCGCATAAAGATGTTAAAAGCATCGGGAGAGTATCGCACCCTGAGGCACTCCACACACCAAGGAGTGGCGGGATGACAATTCCCCCAAGCGCCACCCTCTGTCCCCGACCGGAGAGAAACGAGCGCAGCCATTGAAGGACTGTGCCCTGGATCCCCACGTCGGCAAGGCGGTGGTCCAGGAGTTCGTGATCAACCATGTCGAAGGCTGCTGACAGGTCTAGAAGAATCAGCAGCCCCGACCCGCCTCGATCCAGCTGCCTGCGGAGATCATCTGTTAGGGCGACCAGAGCCGTCTCGGTCCCATGACCAGCGCGGAAGCCAGACTGGAATGGATCCAGAGCCGATGTTTCATCCAGAAACCTACCAAGCTGTTCAGCAACCGCTCTCTCAATCACCTTACCCAGGAATGGAAGATTCGAAACCGGGCGGTAATTGGATAGATCTAAGGGATCTAATGATGTTTTCTTTAAGAGCGGGCGCACCACTGCCTCCTTCAATTCCCCTGGAAATATCCCGGTGCCAAGGGACAAATTGATGATATCCCCAGGGGGCCCGCACCTCGCCTGGACACGCTCTAATCAGCCAAGACGGGCACGGGTCAAGAGGACAGGTGGTGGGCTTTCCAGCTCGGAGGAGTCTGTCCACATCGGCTGGGGATATCCGATCAAAGTGGTCCAATACTGGACCCGAGGACAGTCGAGGGGCCTCCAGTTCCTTTATTGTATCCAAATTGGCAGGGAGGTCATGGCGGAGCAACAGGACCTTCTCCGCAAAAAAGCTCGCAAATGCCTCACAGCTGTGTGTCAGATTGTTATTTAAATTTGGCTGTCCTTCAAGGGACGTTAAAGACCTAATTATACTAAATAATTGCGCCGGGCGAGAGCTAGCGGATGCAATGGAGGCCGAGAAGTAAGACTTCTTAGCGGCCTTCACCGCCATCTCATAGGTTTTCATAAAAACCCTATAAGATGTTCTTGAGGCTCCGTCACGGGCACCCCGCCATACTCGCTCTAGCCGTCTGAGGTCCCGCTTCATTTTCCGAAGCTCCTCGGTAAACCAGGGAGCCCGGTTTCTGCGGAGTCGCAGAGGGCGCTTAGGTGCGATCTCATCGATGGCTGCCAGGAGCTGGGTATTCCAGCCCTCAACAAGCTCAGTCAATGAGTCGCCAGGGGGAGCAAGGTCCCGCAAGGCTTGACGGAATCTATCAGGGTCCATCAGCCTCTGCGGGCGAGCCCAAATCGGCTCGCCACCTAAGCAGGGTGGGGGTGGAAAGTCAATCCTGGCTTTCAGAGCGTAGTGATCAGACCATGGCACCTTAACTGAAGGAGACATGATCACATCTATACCTACGCCAAAGATCAAATCCAGCGTGTGGCCTGCTTGATGTGTGGGGCCTGAAACAAACTGGGAGAGCCCTAGTGTTGCCATGGAAGACACCAGGTCCAGAGCCTGTGAGGAGGGAGTGGCATCAGCATGGATGTTGAAGTCCCCAATACCAATAGGTTAGGGAACTCCAAGGCCCAGCCGGCCACCGCCTCCAGTAGGCCTGACAGGGTGGCTGCTGGTGCGCTAGGTGGCCGGTACACCAGCCAGACAGCCAAGCTCACCTCAGAGCCCCACACTAGGCCAACACATTCAATGCCGGGATCGATGGCGATGGTAGAGCCCTGAAAGGACAATCTTCCCGGATTAATAATGCCACCCTCCCCCGGCCCACAGTCCGCGACTGGTGGAGGACGGAGAAACCTGGGGCGCCATCTCTCGTAAGGTAACTGTTGCCCCTTCGCGTACCCAGGTCTCCGTCACACAAGCCAGGTCAACCCCTGCGAGGTAAAGAAATCTCGCAGAGTGGCGGTTTTGTTGCCTATAGACCTGGCATTGCACAACACCAGTGACGGAGGTGAGTAATCCTTGCTCACCCTACCCTCGTCCCTCGGGATGGGGCGCAGATTGGAAGGGGTACGAGCATATCTGTATCTCGATCCCCTTCGCCTATAACATCTGCCCCCAGGCAATGTCAGGTCAGGCAATGTCCTCCACTCACCAACATTATATCTATGTGCTGCCTTTCCACAAAAGGAATCCTGCTCAAAGCAGCTTGCAACAAAGAAAATGGGAACACATCTCAAGCATCATAAGGACAATCGCATAAAAATACAGTATAACAACATAATTGCAAATACACCACACACAAAAACTGTGTGCAGGTCTCCGATCAACCCCCATCATCTCCAGGTGGGGCTGGATAAGGGTGGGGAAATGAGGGTAGGAGGGAGGGCAGACAGCCCAGGGCCCATCTCTGTCCAAAAACTCAGGAGGTTGCAGGACATAGAGCAGCTTCTCTTGTGGCTCAACCATAGATAGTCGACCTCAATCGACTATCCATGAAATACACAGCCAAGGTCTAGCTGACTCTCCCTGAGATAGGCCTTTGATTAGAACTGTATCGTACAATTTGAATCACTTGAAATTGTGTGCGTATTTTGTGTGTATATTGTTTGTGCATATTGGTCTATTATTACAGTACATGAAGTCTACCTTGCCTGAATGTGGGCCCCTATCCACAACTGCTTCCAGGCTACCTCAACTGAATAAAGCTATTCTAGCTGCCGAGGAGAGAAGATCTGTGAGAGCATGTGGCCTGTTGATAACCTGGCAGACGTTACAGCAAAATGGCTCTTCACTTACTTGATAAAGCAATGCTGCTGCTGATGATGATGGAAATGATCAGAATGACATTAAGCACCAAGCTCACTTTTTTACATTAAAAGCGAGTTTCTTTTCTCCATTATTGCTCAAACCTGCAGAGGGAAATAAAGTGTTAATGTGTCCTTGGTTTCAGCAAGATGCCGGACAAGTCCTTCTAGAAACTCCAAAGTATCTGGGGATTCCAAGTCTACCCAGGCTTGGGTCGTCCACCCACATTGAAGGTGTGAGTTCAAGGTTGCATCACACCAAGATGTCATACCACTCAACAGTCCTGATTTATGCGGGACATCTTGGAATTACAGAAGCCAATCCTGGCTCCTGATTGCATCCCGGAATGTCCCATTTTTGGTCTGAGTCTGACTTGTAGTGCAAGTCAGCTGGCGACCAAAAAAAGAAACGTCCCAATTTTGGTCACTTTGAAGGGTATGAGATGAACCAAGTTCACCTGTGGCATCATGAAGCTCATTGGTTTGGTGCCTCCCACCACAAAGTCAGCCAACTGATAGGCCTCTGCGCATGACTGGTGAGTCACCAGTTATTTATTTTATTAAAAGTATTCACATGCCACCATCTCCTAAACTATCAAGGTAATGCACAATAATGTTTACCGTATAGGCCTGAATATAAGCCTCTCTCTTTTTCCAAATTCTGACCGTGAAATGTTAAAGTGCAGCTTATATTCGCGACCTTACAAAAATGGGCTTGGAGCGAGCATTTTCTCTCCCCCCCCCCTTTAATTTTAAAGGTTACCCATCCCTTTTAGAGCTTCTGAATTGCCCTCAAAACCGAAGGTGAAAGGTTTTTTTGCTGGCAGCATGGAAGTGACAGGAGATCTCTATCCTATGTAGAAACAGAATGGGATATTTTGTTCACGCATCGCAGCAACCTCAAGCGAATAACCTGAAGCCATTTTAATCTTTATTGTAAAACAAACCATTAAGGGCATACAGTTTAAGCCCTTGCACATTTCTGTATAACATAGGGTTGGTTCCAACACATCACAGGTAGATCCATTAATGTGCAAAACAAAATGCATTAAAATGAATTGTTCAACCAAAGAACATTTTCCTGTGCTAGAAGAAGCTTTATTCATTCAATACAGGATAGTGAATTTTCAAGCTTGCCTCACCCAAATAAGTCAAAATAGCAGTTTGTAGTTCATGGACCAGGATTAGCAGATTTACTAAGGTTGCTATATTTATTATATGGTGAGGATGGCATAACTGACACTTAAAGAAAACCAGGTCCAAATGTAAGGACTAGCCAGCAAAGTGGTTCATCAGCAATATGCAGCTCTGAGTGGCTGCTTTCAGCATATATATATATATACATATATATATATATTTAAGTTAATGCCATGTCACCAGCATGTAAACATGGCAACACTTGGTTGGTCAAATTGGGATCCTGGAAGAAAGGAACCAATATGTTTTGAAAGATATGTTCTGAAATAGCGTTGCATAAGGCAAAGTTGTGAAGCCAGTCTTACAGGGGTTCTCTGCCAGGGGATTTGCACAGTATTGGTTGCTTCTAGATTTGCTGAGAATTTTATTTTATTTATTTTTAATATATATATATAAATCACCCACTCAAATTTAAATGTCAGGATGGTCTACTGTAATGTATACCATTCAACCCAATCAGATGGGCATCATATAACAACAACAACGCATGAAAGTGCCGCTGTGCTAGTCAATGCTGTGGACCATGCGCCTGCACTTGCAGATTCCTGGTCTCTTCGCTTATCTGAGACTCTCTAGGTCTGTGTGCAGCAGGAATGGGGACCGTGTGATCCTCCAGATGTTTTTGGTCTACACTGGCCATGCTGGCAGGGAGTGATGGGAGGGAGTTGGAATCCAGCAACATCTGGCGAGAGACAAGCTCTCCATTCTTGGTGTACATGGAAGGGGAACAGGAAGAACAGCCAGGAATCTCTCTCTCCTCAAGGGCAGCCTCACACCCTTCTCCTGATGCATGCCTGCATGAGGAAGGATAGTTCCATCTGAGAGAGGAAGTAAGAAGAGTCTGAGAAGCCTTCCTCAATTTTCACACAAGTGTCTATGTACCCATCCTTTTCCAATGGTTTTTAATTGCCTGAATAAATTAGCGTCTCCATGAATTTGATTAGTTGGTCTGCATTCTGCAGATCTCATCCCAGCATCAAATCCATACCTTTTTTGACAAACTCATGCCTTTCTCATCAGAACTCACTTACCGTATGGAAAGTGGCCCTGATTCAAAAGAAGGCTTCTCTTGCTTGTTTGGTGCTTCCATTACTTGTGATTCCACTACATTCCCCATTCTCTGCTGCATCTGGATTCATGGGGAGTCTTTGCTGTGTCTTTTCCATTTCAGAGAAACCCATATTTTCTTTCTCCCAGGAGAAAGGAGACATTACAGTAAATGCTCCTCAGCTCTAGTTACACAGAGTTTTGCAGTTTCTTGAGATATGTTGAAAGCAGATCACTGGATTGCAGATTCAAGCACAGTATGGCTAGGTGATGTGGTGAGAAAACACCCTTTTTAAATACCACTTAATCGTGTGCTTTAATCAGATACTTTGTCCAGCCAAGCTGTACTTAGTATGTTTTCCACTTCTTTGTTTTGTCTTCCTGACTCCTTTTATTCCTAATGAAATGAAAGCCTCTTCAGAGTCTGAAGCATCAGTTCTGTGCTTTTGCCAGAAAAAAATCATCACAACATCAGTTTTCGCCATAGCATCAATGCCCCAAGATTCCTCTGTGGAGACAAAATTACAGAGCAGAGAAATAAATAATCTCTTATTGAAGTCTTTAAAAGGTGCAGTTTTGCTTCCATACTAGTATAGTCCCCCCCCCCAAAGGTAGTCCTAAAGGTAGTCCTACGTATACTAATTTACAGAGCTGGAAAATTCATATATGAAATATTGCTTCTTTTTAGTCTAAATGATTACAGTAATGTTTTTACATTTACTTGATGAAATGAGAGCACTGAGACAAGTGAAAGGGAGCAGCCCTTGAGATAGTTGAAGATGGCTATCGTATTATATCCACCCCCCGTCTTCTCCTACCCACCTCCTCCTCCTCATGAAGCCTGTTTTCCAAGCCTTATTTGGAAATGTCGCTCTCCTCTGCACACGTTCCAGTTTGTCAACATCCTCTTTAAATTGCGGTGTCCAGAAATGGACACAGTTGGTTACTCGGAGTCATCATTGTAGTCACAACAGGAAAACCTGTTTTCCACTTCCTTTGCAATTTCACCACTTCAGCTCTTCGGGATTGAGGGTCAGGAAATTCTACGGTTTCCTGAGAAGAGCTGTCAATCCTCTGCCTATCTGGTTGCCTAGCATCTACGCCCCCTTCTTGGAAACTTGCTCAAACTGTCTCAGGAAACCAATATCTTGGTAGGAAAGGCGGGGGCTGGGTCTGCTTCCTCCTGCAGCCTGTCAGGTTCAGAGTCAGAGCCTGTCTTTCTTCCATCTCCTTCCTCGCTTGACTCCCATACTTAAGGGGCCATTACCAAGATTTTAGCCCTTGCTGGCTCTAGGAATTAGCCGGGTCTCAGGCATGCAGCCTCCCCCCCCCCATCTCCTCCGCTAAACTTACAACAATATCTAATTGGGAAACTACTATGCAAATATAGGACCACCCACTGGCCTGGCACTGAGAAATAGAGAGTAGCAGATGGCTACCGGCTGCCTATAAAAGCAGGCCGGCTGAGCTGTTCAGGTCAGTTCAGTTCCAGCTTACTATAAAGAACCACTTGAGTCTGACCAAACTGCGGGAGGCAGTGGAAGACAGGAGTGCCTGGCCTGCTCTGGTCCAGGGGTCACAAAGAGTCGGACACGACTAAACGACTAAACAACAACAACAACAATTATATCCAAAGTCTATGTATCATTGCAAGAATAATTTGAAACCTGCGAAAGAGTCCAAGTGTTTACAGTGGTCTTTCAGATATAAATTTGTCACATTCTTTATTGAAGTTTTGATCCTCCTGATTTCTGATTTTCCTGGTTGGTCTTGCCATCTCTGCGTAATCCAATAGTCCACCTGGTAAGTATCTTGTCATTTTTCCAATTCTGGGCAAGCAACATCCCTACAGTTACATCTGGTGAAAAGTAAAGTATCCTTATTTGTTGTGCGCTTCTTTTCTCCTGGGTGTTATGGGGACTGTGATTTTCGCTTCCAAATGCCATTGTCTGTCCACAATTGCCAAAATGCAGGCAACGTGCCATCAGTAAGCTACTTCTTCTTCCAGAAGGTCTTAGTTTCAGATTACTGTAAAAGGGCACATCAACACCATACATTTCAAGCACTGCCACTTCAGAAGTCCTGGCTTCCCCCAAAGAATACTAGAAAATGTAGTTAGGGGTGCTTAGGTATGTAGTTAAGTCCGCTCAGTGCACATCCAGTGCCTTTTGTCATCTGAACTGGTTTGCTGCAGATCCAGGGTTCTTCACTTCGGCCGCTGGAGCTGGCAACACCTTGATGGTTTATATAAGCACATTCTCCTCCTCCCCGAATTCTAAACCTAAAATTTCAAACAGAACATATGTTGGACTTCCGGAGGTGGCGCCAGCGGTTAATGGCGGATTTCCTCGACCGGCGGAAATCTCGCCACGAAAAATAGGGTCAGATCCCGCTTCGGCGTAACGGGGGACCCCTGAAAATCACAGGCAGGGGAAGCCTGTGTACCTGGGACCCAGCGGGCACATTTGGCGCCCCCCCAACCCGGTGAAAAGCCCGGCAACGAGCTCGGAATCGGAGCGGGGGAAGGAGCGCTGTGCTGTGGGCTGTCTGCTTCTTTCGTGGAGTGAAGCCACAAGCTGTTAACCTGAGAGTGCTGCCTTTTTTCCTTGGAATTTGGACTTGAAAATCAACGATCCGTGAGTAGGATATAACGTAATTGGAACTGTACAAATTCTGAATCTGGCCGAAAACGGAAAGAGGTATAAAAAGGAAGTCTACCTCTTCCTATTTGTAGATAAAATAAAGCTTTGAACTTGAAAGCGGAAGCGCAGGAAAAGACGTATTAGCGGATTTTAAACCAATCATCTAATCTGGATTTCCCCCCCCCCCTTAAATCAAGGGAAAAGGGGGGAGAATTGTGGATGTGATTTCTTCATAAAGAAGTGGAAATAAAAGGGACTAAACCATCGCTCAATTCCTTGGGAACGGACTTCCAGAGGCAACTTAAAAACGGATGAGAGGTACTGTCTTGAAATATACTTTGACAGCTAGTCCTGCGCAGGAAATATAAATTTGGATATATTATGTGGACATATATCTCCTTAAGTAATTATTTTAGATAGACTGTTATCTTCCTGAATAAACTGGGGGGACTTAAAAAAAGAAAGTAAAGTATCCAAGAACTTTTATGACTGTTACAGTGTCCCCCTAGTGGAACTTGGAACTGTTACAATCTGTTATAATTGAAACTGTAGCTGGCTTGAGGAATTCTCACACAGTTCTGCTGGGAATTTCCACTGTTTGAATTTAACTGCGTGTCTGACCTTGAGCTTTATCTAAAGGAATGGCAAATGGTAAAGAGAGAACAGAAGCTTCACAGGCTACAAGGTCGGGCAAGGTTCTTCGAACAGAAGAAGGATTACAAAGGAGATTTTCAGCTTCAGGCGCCTCTGGAATCCCAACAACAGCCTCATCGGCACAATCAAAAGTAAAAGGTATGACAAGTGATGACGCCTTTGCTCAAGTTTTGGCTAAGGTTAATGAATCGTTAAATAGAATAAGTCAACAAGTAGCAGAGGCATGTGACAAGATTGATCAAAATACAACAAGTATTAATCAGAATACAGCAAGCTTAAACAATTTGGGCCAGAAAGTAAACACTAATCCAGAGACTATTCAGAAATTATTAGAGGAATCGGCCTCAATACGCCAGATTGCCGAGGAGGCCAAAGAAATTGCTACAACTTCTGCTACAGAGGTTAAAGAGGTTCAAGAGACAATACCATCACTGCACAAACAATTGGAAGATCATAAATTGACCCTGTCTATGATAGAATTGAAGGAAAAACAAGTGAATTTACGGGTCAGATCGGTACCTGAAGTGGAAAAGGACAATCTAGCTGAATTTCTCATGCAGGAATTTTCGGACATTTGGGATCCAGAATTGGTAAAAGACAGCTTTAAAATAGTAAATGCTTTCAGACTCGGGAAAAGAGGAGAAAAGAAGGTGAGAGACTGTTTGATCACTTTTCGAACAAAAGAAGAGAGGGATAAGATTTTGAGTTTGCATTTCAAGAAGACACTGGAAATCCAGCGGACAAGGGTTGAAATATTTAAAGACATTCCGAAATACCTTCTGGATCTCAGATCAAATGATAAAGACTTGGTCACCCTGCTGAGAAGGAACAGTATTAACTTTAGGTGGGAACTTCCTCAAGGCCTATCTTTTAGCTACAAAGGAAAGAAGAGGAAAATAAGATCGGAAGACGACAAAGACAAATTTTGGAGAGACCACGGAGAAGACCTACAAAAAGAACTATCTCCGGAACCAAAAGACCGTTCGAAAAAAGTGATACCACCGACGGACGAGGAACAGGCACTAGGTGCAGTAGGAGGAGAATTAAAACAATAACATCATGGCCCTGCAACTTTTAACATGGAACTGTCGGGGTTTGAATTCCCTCAGAAAAGGAAGTCAGTATTTCATATATTAAAAAGGAACAATTGGACTTAATTTGTTTACAAGAAACACATATAACAAGATTACACAGGAAATTGTTGATAAATAAAAGACTTGATCAGGAGTTTATTTCGTCGGACAAAGTTAAAAAAGAGGGGTTGTGATTTATGCAAAGACAATTTATCACCGAAATTTGTTTTTAAAGATGACCAAGGAAGATTTGTGGCAATTGAAATTCAAACACAAGGAGAAAAATTTTTGATTGTAGGAATTTATGCACCAAATGATGGGAAATCTGAATTTTTTAAGAAGTTGCACGAGACCCTGATGGACCATATGGATTATAGCATGATTTTGATGGGAGATATGAATGGAGTGGTATCTACATATATGGACAAGGCACAAAGACAGGTAGTCACCAAGGATGGTAGACTACCGAAAACTTTTTTTGATATGACAGACAACTTGGATTTAGTGGACATTTGGAGAATTAGAAACCCCTTGGCTAAAGAGGAACTTTCTTTTCTGAAGCCAAAATGACATGGACAAGAATTGACCAAATTTGGATAACTAGAGGAATGGCACCAAAGACAAGAAAGGTGGAAATCTGCCCGAAAATTTGCTCCGACCATAATGCTGTTAAGATGGAAATGAGACTGACACCAACTGGCTCCTTCAGATGGAAGATGAATGACACCTTATTTAGAGATGAGGAACTCCTTAAGAAGGCCCAAAAAACTCTGAGAGATTACTTTGAGATAAACCTCAGTACCAACGTGGAGAAAAGAGTAATCTGGGACGCTAGTAAAGCGGTCATGAGAGGGTTCTCAATACAACAGAATGCAATAAAGAAAAGAACTCAAAATGAGAAGAAGGATAAGATAATGGACAAAATAAAGGAATGTGAAAAAAGATTGAGAGTAAATCCCAAATCTCAAGAGATTTTGTGAGAGTTAAAGTTATACCAAGTACAATATATGAAAATGATGAATCAGGAAATAGAATGGAAAATTAAACAAATGAGACAAAAGACTTTTGAGTCGGCCAATAAATGTGGTAAATTGTTAGCATGGCAAATGAAAAAGAGACAAAAATTAAATACAATTACGAACTTAGAAGTGGAAGGAAGAAATATACAGAACCCTGCAGAGATCAGAAGTTGTTTCCAGAGGTACTTTAAACGATTATACACTCAAGGGCCATTGAAAGAAACAGACTTAGACCAATTTTTGAAAACAAATGGATTACAAAAAATATCTCAAGAAAACAAATTAACTTTGAATCATAGAATAACTGAACAAGAAATAGAAGGTGCCATTCAAAATATGCAACTGGGTAAATCTCCAGGACCAGACGGCTTGACCTCTAGATACTACAGATCTTTAAAAGAATGGTTAATTCAACCTTTGAAAGAGGTCTGCAATGAAATAATGGAGGGGAAAAGAGCACCAGAGTCGTGGAAAGAAGCATATATTACACTTGTACCAAAGACAGAGACTGAAAAGACACAGCTTAAGAACTACCGCCCTATATCGTTATTGAATGTGGATTACAAAATTTTTGCAGATATTTTGGCTAAGAGATTCAAGAAAGTGCTGATGGAAGAGATCCATAAAGACCAAGCGGGCTTTCTCCCAGGAAGACATTTGTCTGACAATTTGAGGAATATAATTGATATTTTGGAAAAATTAGAAGTGAATATAAACACCAAAGCAGTTTTGATATTTGTAGATGCGGAGAAAGCCTTTGACAATATTTCTTGGAATTTTATGAAGAAGAATCTACAGGGTATGGGGGTAGGCCAAGGTTTTGAGAATGGTATAGGTGCAATTTATTCAGAACAAAAAGATAAACTAATTGTAAATAATGTTGTGACGGAAGAACTAAAAATTGAAAAAGGGACACGACAAGGTTGCCCTATTTCCCCTCTTCTTTTTATTTCGGTCCTGGAGGTTTTGCTGAATATGATTAAAAGGGACCAGTCGGTTAAAGGTATACAGGTCGGAACTAAACAGTACAAACTGAGAGCGTTTGCAGATGACTTAGTATTGACGTTACAGGAGCCAGAATCTAGTACTAAAAGAGTTTTAGAACTGATTCAGGAATTTGGTCAAGTGGCAGGATTTAAATTGAACAAGTCAAAAACCAAGGTTTTAGAGAAAATTTAACACCGTTGAAAGAGAGAGGTTTCAGAATGAGACAGGTTTAACAGTGGTTAAGAAAGTTAAATACCTGGGGATTAACATGACAGCAAAAATGGGAACTTATTTAAAGATAACTATGAAAAATGTTGGTCCGAAGTGAAAAAGATTTAGAAATTTGGTCAAATTTGAAGCTTTCACTGCTAGGCCGTATTGCTGCGATAAAAATGAATGTATTGCCTAGAATGTTGTTTTTGTTCCAAACTTTGCAGATTGTGGACAAAATGGATTGTTTCAAGAGGTGGCAGAAAGATATTTCTAAATTTGTCTGGCAGGGCAAGAAGCCCAGAATAAAATTTAAAATACTAACGGATGCAAAGGAAAGAGGTGGATTTGCCCTGCCAGACCTTAAACTTTACTATGAATCAGCAGCTTTTTGCTGGTTGAAAGAATGGCTACTTCTTGAAAACACTGACATTTTGGACTTGGAAGGTTTTAATAATGTATTTGGATGGCATGCATATTTGTGGTATGATAAGGTCAAAGCACATAAAGCATTTAGAAACCACATTGTCAGGAAAGCGCTATTTAATGTTTGGATAAGATATAAGGATTTGCTAGAAAACAAAACCCCAAGGTGGCTGTCACCAATGGAAGCGAAAGCCTTGAGAAAGGCCAATATGGAGGTCAAATGGCCGAAATATTGGGAAATTTTGGAACAAGACGGAGATAGACTGAAATTGCAGAGCTTTGAAAAATTAAAAAACAAAGTGCGAGACTGGCTTCATTATTATCAGATAATGGAGGCATTTAAATTGGACAAGAAAATTGGCTTCCAGGTGGAAAGATCTAAATTAGAAACAGAACTGTTAGAACCCAAAACTAAGAATTTGTCAAGAATGTATAACTTGCTGCTGAAATGGAATACCCAGGATGAAACGGTAAAATCGGCTATGATTAAATGGGCACAGGACATTGGACATAACATTATGTTTGCTGACTGGGAACAGTTGTGGACCACAGGTATGAAATTTACGGCATGTAATGCCTTAAGAGAGAATATTATGAAAATGATATACAGGTGGTACATAACCCCAGTCAAGCTTGCAAAAATTTATCACTTGCCCGATAACAAATGTTGGAAATGTAAAGAAACTGAAGGTACATTTTTTCACCTTTGGTGGACGTGCCCAAAGATTAAGGCTTTCTGGGAAATGATATATAATGAATTAAAAAGGTATTCAAGTATACCTTCCCTAAGAAACCAGAGGCCTTTCTCCTGGGCATAGTCGGCCAAATGGTGTTAAAAAAGGATAGAACTTTCTTTATGTATGCAACAACAGCAGCAAGAATACTCATCGCAAAGTATTGGAAGACACAAGAACTTCCCACGCTGGAGGAATGGCAGATGAAACTTATGGACTATATGGAACTGGCGGAAATGACTGGTAGAATCCGTGACCAGGGAGAAGAGTCGGTGGAGGAAGATTGGAAGAAATTCAAAGACTATCTTCAGAAACATTGCAAAATTAAAGAATGTTAGAGTGATGTTGGACTGAAAATAAGCGGTTTCCAGCTGTACAGGTTAAAGTTAATGATAGACTAAGATTAAGATTAGGATTAAAGATGTTTAAAGAAATGGAAATTTGACAATTAAGAGGGAAAATTTTAATGTTATATTATACTAAGATTAAAGATCAGGTTTAAAGAAGTTGAAGTTATATATTATAATATTATATTAAAGTTAAAGATTGGGATTAAAAAAGTTGAAAAGAAATTGCTGGACAAACAATTTGGATTGGAATACAAAAGAGGGAGGTATGAGGAAGTCCAGAAAATAAGTAATCTAAAAATACGGAAATGGAAAAGAGATATTGTTTTTAATTGTTATGTTTTTTGTTTTTTATTGTTGAATTGTGTTTTTTTGTGTGTTCTTGTTATTTATTTATTTTTGAGATATGTATTGTGTATGTTTTTCTTTTCTTTCTTTGTTGTTCAAAACCTAAATAAAAATTATTTATAAAAAAAAAAAACAAAAAAACAGAACATATGTTGAAATAATCATAACAATAATTTTATTATTAATATGCCACCCATCTGATTAGGTTGTTCCAGCCACTCCGGCCAGCTCCCAACAAAATATTAAAAACATAATAAAACATCAAACATTAAAAACTCCCAATACTGGGCTGCCTTCAGAAGTCCTCTAAAGGTTGTACAGTTCTTCATCTCCTTGACATCTGATGGGAGGGCTTTCCACAGGGCAGGGGCCACTACCAAGAAGGTTCTCTGTAACTTCACTTCTTGCAGTGAAGGAACTGCCAGAAGGCCCTCGGAGCTGGACTTCAGTGTCTGGGCAGAACGATGGGGGTGGAGATGCTCCTTCAGGTATACTGGGCCAAAGCTATTTAGAGCTTTAAAGGTTATCATCAAAGGAGCCAACTCCTAAGTACCGAGATCCCTTCAGTCCCCCAATAAAATATTTGAGGGGGCTGCCCCCCAAAGCTAATGGGTATTGCCACTCAAATGGTGTGCATGTGTTGCATCTTGTGATCAGTTATATGAGGCAGGTCCAAGCAGGAGATAACCAGAGCATGTAGCACTCTGGTGAGACAGTGCGCAGGCAGATGGGGTCTCAGCTGGTGTACCAGATGGAGCTGGCAGAATTGACCTGCGCTTCCATGGACAGCTGTGAGTCCAAGATGACCCCAAGGCTGTACAGCTGGTCCTTTAGGGGCCCAGTAACTCCATTCAGGACCAGGGAATCCCCCAAACATGCCCGCCCGCTGTCCCCCAGAAACTGTACTTCTGTGTTGTTGGAATTCAACCTCAACCCATTAACCGCATTCCATAGAAAATATCCATAGAAATATCCCTGGGAACCAGCAGAAGACCAAGCAGAAGAAGAAACACCAGGCATAGGTGCAGGGAGGCCTGGAAGCAAATTTTCACCTGAAGAAGACAATTGCATTCATATTCATATAATACAAATATTCATATTTCTAAGCAGCTTTTCCACCAAAATATTTTCTTTAGAATCTGGCCTAGAAAGGAAACATCAAACTCTTGCTGCGCTATGACTGAAAATGAACTTCTATGTGTGCTGCTGACCACAAGGTGGAGCACTGTGTATAAGAAGCGAGAAGGCTTCTGGTCAGTTCCTCAACATTCAGGCAGACTACAGTGGTACCTCGGGTTACATACGCTTCAGGTTACAGACTCTGCTGACCCAGAAATAGTGCTTCAGGTTAAGAACTCTGCTTCAGGATGAGAACAGAAAAAGCACGGCGGCGGCACAGCAGCAGCGGGAGGCCCCATTAGCTTAAAGTGGTGCTTCAGGTTAAGAACAGTTTCAGGTTAAGAGCAGACCTCTGGAACAAATTAAGTTCTTAACCCGAGGTACCACTGTACTAGTAACAATTGTGAAACTACAAATGTGCCTTTGACAGTGGCGTGTTGTGAACTTTTTTGTAGGGGAACAGTTAGGACAAGTGGCGTGAGCTTGTGATTGGGGTGGGGTGGAGAACAAGTGAAGTTGCAACATTGCCACGTCCAACACAGGCATCATGCCTCCCGCTCTAAGCCAGGCCAAAGCTTCTTGGGCTTTGGGAAGGAGGCGCCAGGTTTTAATACGTCAATACTCTTATTTACTGGGAACATTTAGGGGATTAGCCTAGTCCCCCTAGTCCATGGGTAGGCAAACTAAGGCCCGGGGGCCGGATCTGGCCCAATCGCCTTCTAAATCCGGCCCGCGGACGGTCTAGGAATCAGCATGTTTTTACATGAGTAGAATGTGTGCTTTTATTTAAAATGCATCTCTGGGTTATTTGTGGGGCATAGGAATTTGTTCATTTTACCCCCCCCCCCCCGAAAAATATAGTCTGGCCCCCCACAAGGTCTGAGGGATAGTGGACCAGCCACCTGCTAAAAAGGTTTGCTGACCCCTGCGCCTAGTTCCTTGACTGCATGCCACTAAGCTAGGACCAGGAGCTTTGTAGTCCTTGAGGAATATACGTAGTGCTTTTTCAGAGGGTACTCAGTGGTACTCAGTACCTGCGCCCTTTTTTCTTTTCCAAATGTTCAAAGCGTGGCACTTGCTGTAAGAACTTCATGGTGAATATTGGCACCTTATTTTCTATATTAAAAAAGCACTGGATATGTTGCTCCTCAAAGCACACCTGTTTGGGCAAGCATTCCCTTGATCTTTTCACTCAAACTATTTTAACTGTTACACTGTTTTAAGGGACTTGTTTATTACACATTTTCATTGTGGATGCTCACCAGTTATTGAAAATGGTGCCATCGATCCATTTCCAAGGCTCCTGGTCATTCATCTTTTGGAGACCAATCCAGTAGTCAGCAGGACCTTTGTACCGTCTCAAAAAGCTCTTAATAAAGAAAATAAATAAATAAATAAATAAGAAAGAAAATACATTTCCAACCCTCATCCAAGTGTAGAATCAACTGCATTTGGGGCTGCAGACTGTGCTCTGTATCTTTCCACTCACCATCTCCTCTTGGTAATTCTGGCTAGAAGTTCAATTTCTGTCACTGTCCGAAAAATAGTAACATTTCCTTTGGTAGCCAATCCAGCCATCTGGACAGCATTCAGTTAGAGTGGAAGAAGGTAGGGCAGGTGGCAATACTGCGCTTCTCCCTAGAAAGGTATCAGAAAGTGAGACAGATCATTATCCATAGCTTATAAATAGTCCTACCCAAAATAAAGGTCAGGCAATGTACTCCAGTCAACAATATTATATCTGTGTGCTGCCTTTCCACAAAAGGAATCCTGCTCAAAGCAGCTTGCAAGAAAGAAAATGGGAACACATCTCAAGCATCGTAAGAACCATCACATAAAAATATAGTAAAACAAGAAAATCTTTAATAAATAATTAAAAAATAAAAATATCGTATAACAACATAATTGCAAATACACCACACAGAAACTGTGTGCAGGAGGTCTCCGGTCAACCCCCATCATCTCCAGGTGGGGCTGGATAAGGGTGGGGAAATGAGGGTAGGAGGGAGGGCAGACAGCCCAGTGCCCATCTCTGTCCAAAAACTCAGGAGGTTGCAGGACATAGAGCAGCTTCTCTTGTGGCTCAACCATAGATAGCCGACCTCAATTGACTATCCATGAGATACACAGCCAGGGTCTAGTTGACTCTCCCTGAGATAGGCCTTTGATTAGAATTGTATCGTACAATTTAAATCACTTGAAATTGTGTGTCTATTGTGTGTGTATATTGTTTGTGCATATTGGTCTATTATTACAGTACATGAAGTCTACCTTGCCTGAATGTGGGCCCCTATCCACAACTGCTTCCAGGCTACCTCAACTGAACACCGATAAAGCTATTCTAGCTGCTGAGGAGAGAAGATCTGTGAGAGCATGTGGCCTGTTGATAACCTGGCAGACTTTACAGCAAAATGGCTCTTCACTTACCTGATAAACCAGTGCTGCTGCTGATGATGATGATGGAAATGATCAGAATGACATTAAGCACCAAGCTCACAATCATTACAGAAAAAGTGAGTTTCCCTTTTCCATTATTGCACAAACCTGCAGAGGGAAATAAAGTGTTAATGTGTCCTTGGTTTCAGCAAGATGCCGGACAAGTCCTTCTAGAAACTCCAAAGTATCTGGGGATTCCAAGTCTACCCAGGCTTGGGTCGTCCACCCACACTGAAGGTGTGAGTTCAAGGTTGCATCACACCAAGATGTCATACCACTCAACAGTCCTGATTTATGCGGGACATCTTGGAATTACAGAAGCCAATCCTGGCTCCTGATTGCATCCCGGAATGTCCCATTTTTTGGTCTGAGTCTGACTTGTAGTGCAAGTCAGCTGGCGACCAAAAAGAAACGTCCCAATTTTGGTCACTTTGAAGGGTATGAGATGAACCAAGTTCACCTGTGGCATCATGAAGCTCATTGGTTTGGTGCCTCCCACCACAAAGTCAGCCAACTGATAGGCCTCTGCGCATGACTGGTGAGTCACCAGTTATTTATTTTATTAAAAAGTATTCACATGCCACCATCTCCTAAACTATCAAGGTAATGCACAATAATGTTTACCGTATAGGCCTGAATATAAGCCTCTCTTTTTTTCCAAATTCTGACCGTGAAATGTTAAAGTGCAGCTTATATTCGCGACCTTACAAAAATGGGCTTGGAGCGAGCATTTTCTCTTCCCCCCCCCTTTAATTTTAAAGGTGTGGCTTATATTCAGGTACAGCTTATATTTGGGCCAATAAGGTATACAATAAAACAAAAAAATCCAGTAGAAATAGGGACAAAAAGACAAAAGAAAAATTAATATAACTGGAAAATCAACATTTTAAACAGCTGTATAGGCTTGCTGGCATACGAAGAGGTCTTCAAGAGATACCTGGAAGTCAGAGGTGAAGATGCCTGATGTGTCTCTGCTGGAAGAGCCTTTCACAGATTGAACTGGTGGCGCTAAATGCCCAACTTCTAGCTGAGGTCACTTGGGCTTCTGAGACACGGAGACAACCAGATGTGCTCCTGTGGATGATCCTAATGATGAAGCTGGGATATAAGGGCTCAGGTGGCCCTTAAGGTATCCTGGACCAAAGTTCTTCTTTGTATATGTGGACCAGGCATAGGCAATCTCAGCCCTCCAGCTGTTTTGGGACTACAACTCCCATCATCCCTAGCTAACAGGGCCAGTGGTCAGGGATGATGGGGATTGTGGTCCCAATCCAGCTGGAAGGCCAAGTTTGTGCATCCGCTGCAAACATTTTAGCAGAGCTGCCACGTACTGTCAACCATCTGCCTCCATCAGAGGTCTAGGCATTCTACAAAATCTGGAACTTCACAGCTGGGCTGGAGGGCAGCCCCACATAGAGCACTGTAGTAATGCAGTTTCTTTTTAAGAGCAAAAGTTGAAGGGACTGCAAGAACTGAATGGAATGTGATACATGCCAAATGCCACACGGACAATGCCAGAAGACAGAGGGAAACACAACCCGTCGTGTGAATCATTAACGGTTGGCCAATGTATGTACGCTTGTGCAAGCAGGGAAATTTGAAATGTAACTGTTAGTATAAACTGAGCACTTGCACTTTTAGAGGGGTTGTAATCCCATCCAGAACAGGTAAGCAGCCTATCTCCTGGCAATGCAGCTGTTGTAACATCTGTCCTGTTAAGCTGGACTTCCAGAAGTTATGCTTGTCAGTGTAAATTGCCTAATAGTGGCAGCCTTGTTAAATCCCCTGGCTGCCAAGATTGTTACCAGAAAACAGTGCCAGTCAAGGGAGCTGCAGTGTCATATACTGCTATATTATAACTGGGTACACAGGGCTTTGGAGCAGGGGTGAGTAACCTGCAGCCCCCCAGATGTTGCTGGACTCCCATCAGCCCCAGTCATCATTGCCAGTGGTCACAGGTAATGGGAATTGTAGTCCAACAACATCTCGAAGGTCACAGTTACCCATCCCTTTTAGAGCATCTGAATTGCCCTCAAAACAGAAGTTGAAATTTTTTTTTGCTGGCAGCATGGCAGTGACAGGAGATCTCTGTCCTATGTAGAAACAGAACAGGATATTGTGTTCACGCATCTCAGGCTAGTGCAGCAACCTCAAGCGAATAACCCGAAACCATTTTAATCTTGATTGTAAAACAAACCATTAAGGGGATACTGTTTGAGCTCTTGCACATTTCTGTATAACATAGGGTTGGTTCCAACACATCACAGGTAGATCCATTAATGTGCAAAACAAAATGCATTAAAATGAATTGTTCAACCAAAGAACATTTTCCTGTGCTAAAAGAAGCCTTATTCATTCAATACAGGATAGTGAATTTTCAAGCTTGCCTCACCCAAATAAGTCAAAATAGCAGTTTGTAGTTCACGGACCAGGATTAGCAGATGTACTAAGGTTGCTATATTAATTATATGGCAAGGATGGCATAACTGACAGTTAAAGAAAACCAGATCCAAATGTAAGGACTAGCCAGCAAAGTGGTTCATCAGCAATATGCAGCTCTGAGTGTCTGCTTTCAGCAGATAATTTTTTCAGTTAATGCCATGTCACCAGCATGTAAACATGGCAATACTTGGTTCTGTCAGATTGGGTTCCTGGAAGAAGGAGGAACCAATATGTTTTGAACGATAAGTTTTGAAATAGTGTTGCATAACGCAAAGTTGTGAAGCCAGGGGATTTGCACAGTATCGTTTGCTTCTCAATTTGCTGAGAATTTTATTTATTTATTTTTTAAAAAATTATAAATCACCCACTAAAATATAAATTTCAGGATGGTCTACTGTAATGTATACCATTCAACCCAATCAGATGGGCATCATATAACAACAACAACAACAACAACGCATGAAAGTGCCGCTGTGCTAGTCAATGCTGTGGACCATGCGCCTGCACTTGCAGATTCCTGGTCTCTTTGCTTATCAGTGACTCTCTAGGTCTGTGTGCAGCAGGAATGGGGACCTTGTGATATTCCAGATGTTTTTGGTCTACACTGGCCATGCTGGCAGGGAGTGATGGGAGGGAGTTGGAATCCAGCAACATCTGGCAAGAGACAAGCTCTCCATTCTTGGTGTACATGGAAGGGGAAGTGGAAGAACAGCCAGGAATCTCTCTCCTCAAGGGCAGCCTCACCCCCCTTCTCCTTATGCATGCCTGCGTGAGGAAGGATAGTTCCATCTGAGAGAGGAAGTAAGAAGAGTCTGAGAAGCCTTCCTCGATTTTCACACAAGTGTCTATGTACCCATCCTTTTCCAATGGTTTTTAATTGCCTGAATAAATTAGCGTCTCCATGAATTTGATTAGTTGGTCTGCATTCTGCAGATCTCATCCCAGCATCAAATCCATACCTTTTTTGACAAACTCATGCCTTTCTCATCAGAACTCACTTACCGTATGGAAAGTGGCCCTGATTCAAAAAGAAGGCTTCTCTTGCTTGTTTGGTGCTTCCATTACTTGTGATTCCACTACATTCCCCATTCTCTGCTGCATCTGGATTCATGGGGAGTCTTTGCTGTGTCTTTTCCATTTCAGAGAAACCCATATTTTCTTTCTCCCAGGAGAAAGGAGACATTACAGTAAATGCTCCTCAGCTCTAGTTACACAGAGTTTTGCAGTTTCTTGAGATATGTTGAAAGCAGATCACTGGATTGCAGATTCAAGCACAGTATGGCTAGGTGATGTGGTGAGAAAACACCCTTTTTAAATACCACTTAATCGTGTGCTTTAATCGGATACTTTGTCCAGCCAAGCTGTACTTAATAAGTTTTCCACTTCCCTGTTTTGTCTTCGTGACTCCTTTTATTCCTAATAAAACGAAAGCCTCTTCAGAGTCTGAAGCATCAGTTCTGTGCTTTTGCCAGAAAAAAAATCATCATAACATCAGTTTTCGCCATAGCATCAACGTCCCAAGATTCCTCTGTGGAGACAAAATTACAGAGCAGAGAAATAAATCATATCTTCTTGAAGTCTTTAAAAGGTGCAGTTTTGCTTCCATACCAGTATATCCCCCCCCCCCACAAAAGCCCTAAAGGTGGTCTTACATATATTAATTTACGGAGCTGGAAAATTCATATCTGAAATATTGCTTCTTTTTAGTCTAAATGATTACAGTAATATTTCTACATCCACTTGATGAAATGAAAGCATTGAGAAAAGTGAAAGGGAGCAGCTCTTGAGATAGTTGAAGATGGCTTTTGTATTATATTTCCCCCCAGTCTCCTCCTACCCAGCTCCCCCTCCTCATAAGCCTTATGAGGAAATGTCGCTCTCCTCTGCACACGTTCCTGTCTGTCAAGATCCTTCTTAAACTGCAGTGTGTGGAAATGGACATAGTTGGTTACTCGGAGTCATCACTGTAGTCACAAAAGGAAAACCTGTTTTCCCCTTTTCCACTTCCTTTGCAATCTCACCATTTCAGCTCTTTGGGATTGAGGGTCGGGAAATTCTACGGTTTCCTGAGAACTGTTGTCAATCCTCTGCCTATCTGGTTGCCTGGCATCTACGCCCCCTTCTTGGAAACAGTCTGTGCTTGCTCAAACTGTCTCAGTAAACCAATATCTTGGTAGGAAAGAGGGGGGGCTGGGTCTGCTTCCTCCTGCAGCCGGTCAGATTCAGAGTCAGAGCCTGTCTTTCTTCCATCTCCTTCCTCGCTTGACTCCCATACTTAAGGGGCCATTACCAAGATTTTAGCCCTTGCTGGATCTAGGAATTAGCCAGGTCTCAGGCATGCAGCCTAGCCCCTCCATCTCCTCTGCTAAACTTACAACAATATCTAATTGGGAAGCTACTATGCAAATACAGGACCACCCACTGGCCTGGCATTGAGAAATAGAGAGTAGCAGATGGCTACTGTTAACTCCCCTCAGTCTCCTCTTTCCCAGGCTAGACATAGCCAGCTCCTCCGCCTCATTACCTTGGTTTCCAAGCCTTATGAAAAAGGGTCTCCCAGTGGCAGAGCGGCACCAGGGGACAGAGAGCAGGTGGGGGTGGGGCTGGCGCGCGTCCCGGCAGCGTGGCATGGCGGGGGCAATGCGATCCACCCGCACCCCTCTTCCCCCGCCAGTCCTCTCTCTTCTGCACACGTTCCAGCTTGTCAACATCCTCCTTAAATGGTGGTGCCCAGAAATGGACACAGTGCTCCAGGTGAGTGTTATGTATTGAAGTTCTCACCCTGGCCACCAGGGGTATCGTGTATATAGTTTTCACTCAGGTCCACGTCAGTTAGTTTAGGTGGGAAACCCTGGGCTGTTGCTGTTACAATGTTGACAGCCGGCTGCCTATAAAAGCAGGACGGTTGAGCTGTTCAGTTCAGTTCCAGCTTACTATAAAGAACCACTTGGAGAAATCTCTGTGTCGTCTGATATTTCCACCCACAACTTAATAGTGAGGTCTGACCCACTTTAATAAAGGTGTCCGGCACAAAAACCTGCGAACAGATCTGCCTAAAATTTGGCAGGCTTAATCCAGAGAGGCTCATATTTCTGCAAATTTCTTCCACTTTTCTCTGAAGCCTGAACAACAGTATAGCCATTTTTAGATTCCCCACTATATTGAATGAGGGGGTGAGAACTTTGGGTGGTATTCCTAGCAGTGCCAAGAGAACCTTCTGTCAGCACAAGGGAACATTCTCCCCCTCCCCTCCCTCACGACCCCCAAAGGGATTCTAGGAGTCTCCCCAATCAAACAAAGCAGTCCTTATATTATTGTAGAAATGTTTTTTCTTCAGCCGTCAACTCTTCCTCCTCCCCTCCTCCTTTCTCCCTCTCCCCAACTCACCCTCTCCCTTTCCTCCCCCTCCCCATATCCCGTCCCCCATACATTGTAGATTTTTTTCTATTTTGGCAGAACCACAAATTTTGGTCTGAGGATTTGTGTTTCCCCCTCTGGGTTTTTTTTTTTTTTTAAAAAAGCCACCTTTTGGAACAAGTCATCTCTGTCCTGTCCAGTTACTGTATTTATTTTTCCCAATTTCAACTACAAATTGCTGATTTTCTTGAGTAAAAATGAGAGTACCCCTAAATACTTTTTTAGAAAAAGAGCACTGCTTATATTATTTTAGAAATGTTTTTTCTTCAGCCCCAAACCCTCTCCCCCTTCCTCCTCTCCTTCTCCTTTCCCCGGTCTCCCTCCCCATCTCCCTTTCCTCCCCCTCCCAATATTTCTCCCTCCTCCAATATATTATAGAATTCTTTTTACCTTCTGGCAGAATCAATCCACTGCCAGGTTCTGCAGTGTAGGAACAAGTATCTGCTGCCTACCAAGCCCACAAGAAGCAAAATAGAAACTTTCAAAGCGATCATCTCCTCTTCCTCCCCCTCCCCCGCTTCCTCACTCAAACAAAGGGCAGGACCTCCCTGTGGGGAATGTGATCACCCTCAATGTGCAGAAGGAGAAACAGCTGCTGGCAACTTGGCGATTGCTGAGTTTGAGACTAACAAGTGACAAACTTACTTGAAGCAAGGTAGGTATTTTAGTAAAAGAAAATTAAAAAGTGTTATAGTGGCAGGAAAATGCCTGCAGAAAGTTGAAAAGAGCATTGGTTTCTATAATTTTATGGAGCCTCTTGAGGGAGGAATGCAAAAGACAATGAGATTTAAAAAGTAATGAAAGATCTCGATATTTTGGAGGCAGCCAATGCAAGGTCTCACAAAAGATGGCAAGCGTTTAGGTGCCCAAAATCTGCTCCATAAAAAATGGTTAAGTAGCAGAAAGCAATAAGAATTCATTATTTTTTGATATGAATGTTAAGAATTTGCATGATTAGGGAAATTCAGCTCCAGCAATAAGATTAAGGTATGGGAAACTAAGCTATATTAATGAAAGGACTAATGTTTAAAAGAACATTATATATGTTATTAGTGTAAATTGACAATAAGCATTTTAAACGTAAACCACAAGTATTTGAAAGAACAAAAGAATGCACGAAATAAGGTTATAATTTGCTGAAAAATTTTTATTGTAAAGAACGCAAGGTGAGGGAGACGTGGGGAAGTCCGGTTGGTTATGGAAAAATGCTTTGAAAGGATGATTTTCTTCTTTTTTTTTTTTTCTTTTCTGTTATTTCTTCGTATATCTGACTTTGTATTTCTATTTGGAAAAAATGTAATAAAAATTTTTTTAAAAAAAAAAAAAAGAATTCATTATTTTTTGAAAGTAACAAACCTAACCTACTCATGCACAGGAGAGTCTCTGCCTTCCCCAACCTGGGAATCATATAATTCGTACAACAATTGATTGTGAAAAACCTCAGAGCAATTTACAAAAAGATAAAAAAATAAAATTGAGAAAAAACACAACCCTAATTTAAAACATACAAAAGTAAAAATATTAAAGCAGATTATAATTACCTGCAGCTTACCCCGGAGGAATCTCTTTTGAGTACACCTCGCCTGAGCGCTGAAGGGTGAGAGGCAGGACCTTGTGATGAGTCACCTAAGTTCAGTGGCTCTCCAGGGATCCAGCTGCCATGTTCGATCCGTTAACAGCAACACTGCAACACCGAAACCCCGTGAAAAGCGTCATGGCAAAAACACTTACCAAGACGAACCAGGAGGCAGATAATGATTGAGCCCACGTGACGCTTCTCCGGCATCCGGAGCAAAACAGCAGGAAAACAAGCAGCAGATATGGCGATAGGAGGCAACTTCTCATGCTTATTTGCTAACATGCCAACTAGGCAAGGCATTTGGGAAGCTCCTATTCCACGCCTAGCTTTCCTCCAGTTTCCACGCTTACTTAAACAGCCTGCTTTTATTCTGAGGAAAGGAGCTGAAACGCGCAAAAGCTCATGTCTGCAAAAATGCCTTGTTAATCTTGACTCCTAGAAATGCTTCAAATTCTTTGGCTCTGTGGTCAGCGATTCCACTTTGGGGGAAGGCGTTGCTATTTCCTTTTTGCTATCCTTTTTGTCTAGTGAGATCGGATGCATCCGTGGCTCAGAAATGAGTGGCACGCCAGCAGAAACCTGGTGCTTTTTTTTTTCTTTTAAAAAAATGTTTAGGGGTACTGTCATTTCCCTACTCATATTGAAATACTGCCCCTCAATGAGGCCAAACTTAGATCCACAAAATGTTTAGGGGTATGCTTGCCCCTGCGTCCCCCCAGAAAAAAAGCACTGCAGAAACCCATCAGCTCATATGGCTTCAAAGGAGTTTAGACAAACTTATATGGCTGTAATTGCTACTGGACCATTTTCATGTTTTTATTTATTTATTTCGTCAGCGTCAGACGAACATGGCTACCTACCTGAATCTTATATGGCTGTGTTCAGTTTCCACTGCAGCCTCTGAATGCCAGTTTCTGGAAATCACAAGGCTTGCCAGAGGAATCTAGTTGACCACTGTGAGAACAGGGTGCTGGACTAAATGAGCTATTATTGGCCTGATCCAGCAGGACTTTAAAAAAAAAAAATTCTTAAGAAAGATTTAATGAAAAGAGGGGCGTTATTTTGTCCTTTGCTAAAGCTGTGTTTATCTTATCTTGAGGCTGCAGATTCAAAGCAGGAAACACATTGAATTTCCTGACCACCATGAAACGGTGAAATCTGCTATGATTAAATGGGCACAAGATGTTGGACATAATATTATGTTTGCTGACTGGGAACAGTTATGGACCACAGGTATGAAGTTTACGGCATGTAATGCCCTAAGAGAGAATATTATGAAAATGATATACAGGTGGTACATGACCCCAGTCAAGCTTGCAAAAATCTATCATTTGCCCGATAATAAATGCTGGAAATGTAAAGAAACTGAAGGTACATTCTTTCACCTTTGGTGGACGTGCCCAAGGATTAAGGCTTTCTGGGAAATGATATATAATGAACTGAAAAAGGTATTTAAATATACCTTCTTGAAGAAACCAGAGGCCTTTCTTCTGGGCATTGTCGGCCAATTGGTGCCAAAGAAGGACAGAACTTTTTTTATGTATGCCACAACAGCAGCAAGAATACTCATTGCAAAGTATTGGAAGACACAAGATCTACCCACTTTGGAAGAATGGCAGATGAAGGTGATGGACTATATGGAATTGGCAGAAATGACTGGCAGAATCCGAGACCAGGGAGAAGAGTCAGTGGAAGAAGATTGGAAGAAATTTAAAGACTATCTACAGAAATATTGTAAAATTAATGAATGATAGATTGATGTTGGATAGAAATTAAGCGGTTTCCAGCTGTAATGCTCTAAGAGAATATGAAAAAAGGGTTATAAATGGGTAAAAATCTAACGGTAAGGATTTGCTGAACCAATAAATTGAAGTGGAATACAAAAAAGGGAGGTATGAGGAGGTCCGGGAAACAAGCTAAAGCAAAATAAGTTATGGAAAATATGTGTGTTTTTAACTGTTTTTATTTTGTATTTTTCTCTCTTTTTTTTCATTCTCACTGTAATATTTCAAAAAATCTTAATAAATATCTTATAAAAAAAAAGAATTTCCTGACCACCTTCCCCCTCCCCCTTTCCATTGGAAGTAGCAAACTTTAATAACAAGAGTAATTAAAAGAAAACAGAATAAGGCAACAGGGAAGGAAGAATCATGTCAAGGGGGGAGGGAAGACCCCCTGATTTCTGTAATGGCACTTGGCAAAAGTAATTGACAATCCCTATTTTTAAAATCCCTCTTTCTTGTTTTTCTAAGAAAACAACAACACTGTCCCTGTTTTATATTTGTGAATTTTTGGTGAAAGCTTCTTTTAAAAAAAATTCAGTTTAGTGGACACATTGGTTTGGAAGACAAGAATTATTATCTCTTGTCAATAAATGCAGAACAAGAATCTCCCGGGTTTTACCCAAATACAATGATGTCCAGTGCCACCTAGTGACTAAAACTATATGACACCATCCACACAGTGGTTACAAAAATCTTTCAGAATGTAGTATAGCTGCATCCCTGAGCAGGGCCAGCCCACGACATTGTGGCACCTGAAGTGAAGCACATTGTGGTGTCCCCTGTCTTCCAGGGAAGAAAGGGTTAGGGAGGAGCCACATCAGGAACAAGGTGGGAATAATATCTACATTAGGATCTGCTGCCATTGTGGGTCTTGCTGCCTGAGGCAATCGCTTCACCTTGTCCCATGGGTTGGCCAGCCTTGTCCCTCGAGCATCTAAAAATTTAATGTCTGAGTAGGGTTTTGATGCATCTTCACTGTAGACTAATACACATGCATAATAATACAGTGGTAAAAGTAAAGGGACCCCTGACCGTTAGGTCCAGTTGTGGCCGACTCTGGGGTTGCGGCGCTCATCTCGCTTTACTGGCCGAGAGAGCCGGCATACACAGCTTCCGGGTCATGTGGCCAGCATGATTAAGCCGCTTCTGGTGAACCAGAGCAGCGCACGGAAACGCTGTTTACCTTCTCGCTGGAGTGGTACCTATTTATCTATTTGCACTTTGACGTGCTTTCGAACTGCTAGGTTGGCAGGAGCTGGGACCGAGCAATGGGAGCTCACCCCGTCGCGGGGATTCGAACCGCCAACCTTCTGATCGGCAAGTCCTAGGCTCTGTGGTTTAACCCACAGTGCCACCCGCGTCCCAATACAGTGGTACCTTGGTTCAATAACAACTTCATTTATGAACAACTTGGATTAAGAACACTGCAAACCCGGAAGTAGGTGTTTTGGTTTGGGAACTTTGCCTTTGGAAGTGGAACATGTTCCGCTTCTGGTCAAGTGTGTTCCATTTGTAAATTGAGTCCCCCGCTGCTATGGGAACGAATCCCCATGATAGAGTGAGCTCCTGTCGCTCCATCTCAGCTCCTGCCAACCTAGCAGTTTGAAAGCACACCAGCATGGGTAGATAAATAGGTACTGCTGCAGCAGGAAGGTAAACGGTGTTTCCGTGTGCTCTGGTTTCCGACATGCTGTCTCGTTGCGCCAGAAGCTGTTTAGTCCTGCTGGCCACAAGACCTAGAAAAGCTGTCTGTGGACAAACGCCATCTCCCTTGGCCTGGAAGCAAGATGACTGCCGCAACCCCATAGTCGCCTTTGACTGGACTTAACCGTCCAGGGGTCCTTTACCTTTTAGCTTTGCTCCTCCCCACTCATAGAATCATCAAATTGAAGAGCTTGAAGGACCTGAAGGATCATCTAGTCCAACCCCCTTCAATGCAGGAATATGCAGCTGTCGCATACGGGGATTGAACCTGCAACCTTGGCATTATGAGCACCACGCTCTAACCAACTGAGCTATCCAGTCTCATTCATGGAAGCCTCAGTCACATCTCTAGATGGTTTAGCTATAATCCATAATTGGAGACTTCCAAAAGCCAAACTCCAAACCAGAAGCTGAACAATACAAACTGAGCAACTCACAAAAACGTTTTTTAAAACAAGAACGACAACCCTGCCCTCCACCCGCTGCCCTAACCACCTAATAAGGCTGCGAATGTGTGACTGGTATTGTGGTTGAAGAGAAGAGCTGCTCCGGAAAGAGATCTTTGGCCATCAACTCAGGCTATAGCAGCAAACCTCCAGTGCTCCTTCGACAGCCCTGCTCTCTGAGAGGCTTCTCTGCAGCCTCTGCTTGCCAATGGAGGGCGAAGATGGTTATACTGCTTTGAACTTCCAGTCTAGGAGGGCTGCATCAGGAACTGCCTCTGGGGCTCAGAAAAAAGGTACTCAGTTCAGACTCCTTCGTATCTTCCAGTTTTTGTCTGATTCCACTGTAATGTATCAGTTGACAGACGGACATGATTTTCCTTTTCCTTTAGATTTATCCTATTTGTAGAAAATTCGTTGGTACCCTTATAAGCAGTATTTTTGTTTGAATAACGAGACGGAAATACAGAAGGGTGCATGGCACCTAGGGATGGGGAAGAATTTCCATTTTGTTTGCATTTTCATGAGAAACTACCCAAATTGCACTATTCGAAACAAAACAAAACTGTCTTTCAAAATTCGCACTTGTGTTTGAATTTTGCAATGCAGTTCTTCAGCTACAAAATTTGCACAAATATGCATATACTGGTGTCTATAAATAATATATGAAATTTAAATTTGTATACCATCATTTAAATAATATACAAAAATTCAGAGGAAATCGCTAGCAAAAATGTGTATACATGAAAACTGCATATAAAAATGTGGGAGAAATCTGAAGTAAATGCGGATGAATTTTCATTAAAAATAAATAAATGCTTGCAAGCAATTCTCAAAGTTAAAGTTGACTTTTAAAATGATCAGTGCTACACAAGTGTGAAGGGTCTCTGAATAGGTAAAGGGAGAGGGAGTTGTCCTTTGAAGTTCACATAAAAATGAAATCAAGATCTGGCTGCATGTTTTTAAACATGATGAGAGCAGAAATGTTCCAGTATTCAATTTATTCATTGTAAAGAAACCTGGAGTTATTTCTGATCATCAACAAGTGCATTTATGTACCCAGTAATACCTCTATGATTCTCAGCACAATTTCCTTCCATGTGGTGTTTGTTATTTTGTATCCCCCCCCCCAAATAACAAAAAAATCAGAAACAGGAGCAAGGATGTCATTTGTTCTTTTATAACAAGTTTGTTGTCTTGATTTCTTATTATTCTGGTGAGTTTTGCCATTTCTGCATAGTCCATTAATTTCTGTAACCAGTTTTCTCTCTTCTGGACTTCTTTTCATCTGAGAGCAAATAACGTTCTTGCAGCTGTAGTTGCATACATAAATAAATTTCTATACTATTTAGGTAGTTCTAATCCTATAATTCTCAAAAGAAAAGCTTCTGGGTTGTTGTTTTTTACAAATGTGTTATCTTAAAGATTTTAAGAAAGGAATGGAAATGGTTCAGTGAATAGTTACAAATAAATTGTAAAGAGACATTAAGACATGAGCAGGATTATTGTAAATCCCTGCAGTTGTTTTTTTTAAATATATATGTGTGTGAGAGAGAGATATATGAGCATAAAAGAATAAGTGAAGATAATTTGGAGTATGCAGGAAATGATGAAAATAAATGTACAGAACTGCAGAAAGAGGGGAAGAGAACCGAGGTTTGATATGTTAGAATTATTGTTGAACTACTGTAACGTATATGAATGAAAAGTATAAGTAAGATTATTATTTTTAAAGGATGCAGAATTGAGGACAATGCAAATAAAATTAGATATGCTAGTTAGCTTGGGAAATAAGATGTTATAATATGCTTTTATTCAAATTCTTTTTTTAAAAAATAAATTTTATTAGTATTTTCCACACAACAACAACATGAAAGATATCAGAAAATAACAATACACAACACATAAATATCAACATTCGAAAACTGAAAAAAGCAACAACAACAAACACAAAACAAAACAAAAACACAAATCCATATCTTACAAGTTAATAGTATGAACACTAAAACAACAACCACAAGACATTGACATAAGATGTTATAATATGCTTTTATTCAAATTCCAAGCATGCATGTAGCATGAAGCGTGCGCATAGATGGGTCTTTGCTTGCTGCTTCTTCTGCAACATTTCACACTCCTTCCCCCAGCCTAGCGAAGAAAAACGCTTCTGTAGATGCTGCACCCAATGTCCTGGCCAAGGCACAGTTTAAAGGTGTGAGCCTGTTGCCTGACCACCCGCTCCACCCACATCCTTTTCCTATGCACCTACTGAGCCACGGAGGTGACTCATGGTGAAAACTACAGCGCCTGCCTGTCCTTTTCTCTGCTAACACCTGTTCCCCACTGGGCCTGCCCAACAAAGGTTGGTGACTCATTTCTTTCACTGCAGCCCAGGACACGTTTTCAAATGCAATGGCCAAAGTTTTGCTGCAGAACTTCTTTCCACATCAGGTCCACTTCCTGGTTAAAGAGAATGCCTCATTTTTTAGCATCTGGCGCTCCATTTCTTTTTGTCAGGTTATTGAGCAATATTGTTAGGCAACTAAATTGCGTGTCGAGACCCCGAGACCACCCCCTCGTTGATGAATAAGACACAAGGACACAAATATTAGGTTAAGCTTACTGGGCAAATTTAGGCCACAACTTTATTGGTTACAGAATGTGAGCGGTATTGGCTTAGGCATTGGAACTGACCCGGCTATATCTGACTCCTGCATGTTATGCAGGGAGTCTGGTAAGGGTCAACCACCGGTAGGGGGAGCCCTGTCAATGCAAACCAACTCGAGCTCCCCCTGGATTCCCAACGGGGTCATGGCATGGCCCTAGCCCAGCCCTGGACTTCAGACAAGAGCCACACCCCCGGATTCCTTTAATGGTATACCCTTAAACTTGGAGTGGCAGATGATGGCCACACCTCACCTCCCCCGTCATAAGATCAACGAATGCCTAACCGCCAAACCTTACAAAGTTGTGACAATTGCTACGAGGTAGGCAAAAACCAAATGGCCCACGCCAATTTGCCAAGTGGAAAAACTCCTACCAGGCCCCTCAATGGAGACTAACCGAGGTCCATGTTGTTGTTGTTGTTTAGTCGTTTAGTTGTGTCCGACTCTTCGTGACCCCATGGACCAGAGCACACCAGGCACGCCTGTCTTCCACTGCCTCCCGCAGTTTGGTCAAACTCATGATGGTAGCTTCGAGAACATTGTCCAACCATCTCGTCCTCTGTCATCCCCTTCTCCTTGTGCCCTCAATCTTTCCCAGCATCAGGGTCTTTTCCAGGGAGTCTTGTCTTCTCATGAGGTGGCCAAAGTATTGGAGCCTCAGCTTCAGGATCTGTCCTTCCAGTGAGCACTCAGGGCTGATTTCCTTAAGAATGGATACGTTTGATCTTCTTGCAGTCCATGGGACTCTCAAGAGTCTCCTCCAGCACCATAATTCAAAAGCATCAATTCTTCGGCGATCAGCCTTCTTTATGGTCCAGCTTTCACATCCATACATCACTGCTAGGAAAACCATAACTTTGACTATACAGACCGAGGTCCATAGCAAGGCCAAATTCGAAACCTGAAAATAGGGGGGAAGGGAGGGAGATTGAGGAAGTGAGCCAAGAGGAATCTCTCCGGCTCATGCCTCAGTTTAAATGGGGCCCAGCTACGCCCCCAAAGCCAGCGGATTGGCTGGCAGGTGAATGACATGGCTGGGAACCTCCGGGGGACGTGGAACTTCATCCCCCACCCATGGAGGGGAGAGGGTGGCCACGTGGTCCATCACAACTCCTCCCCACTGGGAAGTGGAGCGGATTTATTGAATGGGCAGAGTAACTTCCATTTGGACCATGTCTGTCTTACCAGGCACATCTCATGCCTGTAGTAAGGGATTTGCACTGGCTGCCCATTAGACATCAAGCTGGATTTTTAAGGTCTTGTTACTTACGTAAAAGGTAAAGGGACCCCTGACCATTAAGTCCAGTCATAGCCGACTCTGGGGTTGCGGCGCTCATCTCGCTTTATTGGCCGAGGGAGCCGGCATACAGCTTCCGGGTCATGTGGCCAGCATGACTAAGCCGCTTCTGGCAAACCAGAGCAGCACACGGAAACGCCGTTACTTAGGTATAAACCCCTAAACAGCTCTGGACCAGATTTCCTAAAAGAACAACTTCCCTTTCGTTGTCAGGTAAGGGCATTAAAACAACCAATGAAGCCCAATTAGTCTTGCCACACCTTCCTGATTCTTGGCTTGTGGGAGGTGGGCTCCTTTCACCGATAGCACTAGCGATATGGAAGGCACTCCATGATGAAACACAAGCATATTCATCTCTATTGGCATTCTGCGGGCTTTTGAAGATGCCCCTGTTTACACAGATTTCTCAGCATAAATCTCATGATTAATTACTGCCATGTTTTAAAGGAATTTTTGTTGCATGTTTTCATTGGGCATGCTTATGTCTTGAAGCAATTGTTTTATTGTGTGTTTTAATGGCGCTAATATCAACTTTAAACTATAAACATGTCCAAAAAACAACAACAAAAAAACCCCAAAAAGGGGGGAGCACGTTTTATGCGGCAAATACAGATTGCAGAATTGGAACAAAATTTCCATAGCTATCAGCTTCAAGACTTCTTGCCACGGGGTACTGAAATTACATCAGTTAGTGAATGCATATAAATATTCCCATGCTCACCGATTGCCAGATACGTCTGTTAATAACCATGATTTTTTCAACCACTTTGGATGTGAGGGTACATTTTCTGTGAATATATAGCCTAGTTGGTTAGAACATGGTTCATATACTGCCTAGGTTGCAGGTTTGATTCCTGTATGCTAGAACTGCATAGATTGGACTATTCTGCATAGATTGGTCCCCTCTGATGCTACTATTCTATAATTCTTCTGCAGAAAAATCAATGCAACACATCCACTTTTTCCTCTAAATAAAAATAGCAAAGTATTTCAACCTGCTTCCTATTAGTGGATGAATGTTTTCTTAAGAATCTGAAGATTTTTAAAATTCAAACTAATACAAAACAGTGGAATTTGCTGCCAAGGAGTGTGGTGGAGTCTCCTTCTTTGGAGGTCTTTAAGCAGAGGCTTGACAACCATATGTCAGGAGTGCTCTGGTGGTGTTTCCTGCTTGGCAGGGGGTTGGACTCGATGGCCCTTGTGGTCTCTTCCAACTCTATGATTCTATGAAAACACCAGACATAAAAGATGGTTTCCTTCCTCTCTTCTTCGCTGTATTTCTCTTCCCTGATTTTGACAAAGCATGCTGCTGACAGCTGACAGTCACATCAGCAGTGGAGGAAATCTGCATTAAAAACATAACAGACACCAGAAAGTGGCAATATATTTTCTTTAAAAAAAAAATATATATTAACAGGCCAATCACATCACATTATCACATTGATTCCAAATTATACAGCCAATTTTTAAATTTTGTTGGGGTACCCATACATCAAGCTCCGCTCGAGTCCAAAACAGCATCACTTATCTTACTGCATTAATTAGACGGTTCTCTCCAGTTTGATCCGGAAAGTCCTTTGTTACTTCTTTTCTCTTCTTGTTGTTATCATAAATTCCTTTCTTTGCAATCTCTGATGATTTTCACAAGCAGGTTAACAGCTGGCATTCTATGTGGATTTTGTACTTTTCCAAAAATCATATCGATCCAGGACAGCCTCTGTACAACGCTTCCATAAACAAAATTAATCTCCGATCTGTCCTTTATTTTTCTCAGGCTTACCAAATAACAAATGAGTCTGGGGGTTCTGTCAGGTCAAACTTACATTCCAGCATTCCTTCTCTTTCAAACAATCCTGATTCCCCCCCCCCCCCCAGTCCTTCTTCCTTGGCAAACCTGTCATGGCGAGATGCCATTTTTTAACTGCGTCATAAAATTTTTCTTCTTTTCTCACCATTCTGCAGTCTTCTTTCCTTATACTCCGTCCCACATAGTTCTTAAAATCCTGCCTGTGATTCATAGAAACGCGACAATCTTGTTTCTATCTGGGGTGAAGGTTTATTAATGTCACATCATGCAAAGAAAAAAAGAGTTTTTTTCCTCCACCCCCCCTTCGTTCCAAACATACAGTCTCCTTATGGTGATTCATCAGAAGATTTACTTATCCATCCGTCACTCCTGGTCGCAGAGATCCATTAATCAGCAGTCTTATCTTCGAGCTTTACTTGATGTATGTGCTTTCAGCTTCGTTTCCAATCGTATGTTTCCAATTATAATTCCAAGCTGAAGCAACCAGCACGCGCTAATTGGAATCGGCTTCAGGAAGATCTGACTTCACCGAGGGCCTGTGCCAGTGTTCGGCACCCCCATCACTCGTTTCAGGGGGTGCATTGTGAACATCGCTGGCAGGACAGTTCTCCTCCACATCCTGGAGGAGTTCAGGAAGGCTGCATACTTCCCATAGCAGCCCCTTAGTACCTCGTATGGGTCAGGGAGATGTTATTGTCGGCCATCTTCCAACGCGCCACCTGGTGGCCCCCCGTGGCAATATATTTTCAATCATGCCAGATAGGAAGAGGAGCACAAAATCAATGACAGTGAGCTGAACATAGTCAAGGGGTTACAACTGGAGATCCAGAACAGTGACGAGATTTTCAGATCATCAGAAGACTGGTATCAAAGACTGCTCATGAGTTCTTGCATGTGGAGTGGGAGATCACCTTTTCTCATTATCGTGCAAGCTCCATCAAAGCTCAATCTTATTTTTGTCTTTTGTGAACTTCTAAATTAGACAAGTTTAGCTTGGCAGATCTCCACATTCCTACATCACTTCCACACACCCCTTTAAACTCCTCCTGAACATTCAACATTTTAGTGTGCATTTCTCTGAATATGCACGTTTTTGTTTGCAGTTTTGCGCAGCCAGCACACAATTTTTTTCAAGCCTAATACAATGAATTTTGGCAATTTGCATGAACAGGTGGAGCCCCCAACCCCAGGCGACCCCCGAGTGGAATAATGACTCAAGACAATGTGTTATGGGATTAAAATTGGCCACAACTTTATTAAGTTTCAGATGTAGGGAGACCTTGTCTCAGGTATTGGGCGTATATCCTTCCCAGTCCCCAGCCAGGGATCTGGGAGACATCAGGGTTATCCAGAATGTGTGGGGATTGGGCTGGCTCTGGAGAACATTTATTCAAGCAGAGAGCCTGCCCCCTGTTTTGCCGCCATCGCAGGGGAGAGCAATGACAACCTCTCGGCGTATGGCCAATGCCTCCCCTCAAGACCCCTTTAACGGGGAACCCTGGGATCACAGCCGCAAGGGGGGGTCCACCGCTTCACGCCCCGCCCATTTAGGAAGACAGACTAAAGGATTCTGCCCAAGGCCTGAAACCACCAAAGTTGTGATGTTTTGCTAAGGGAAAGGCAAAACCTGCCGATGCAGGAAAATTCTTTTCTGGCCCTTCAACAGCGATCATGATGTAGCAGTGCCCACGTACCTGTGGAGAAGAGGTTAACCTGCAAAAGAAGACTTAATTGAGGGAGGGCAGGGTAGAAGCTCTGGAGCCAACTGATGCTTTGCAGGTAAGATTCTGTTGTGTGGGCAGGGTGGTCCCTCCCCCTACCTGGCCAATCCCCTGGCAGCGCCTCCCCAGGCGGGATTGGACGATTGGTTGAGGTAGCAGAGACCTCCAGGTATCCAGCCTGGGGAGGGCAAAGCCAGCCTGTACTACCGGGAGCCGCACTGGGATCCAGGGGGCTGCGTGCGACCACGCAAAAGGCGCCCCCCACTTGATGTGGGGAGCGGTCATTACTAAACAAATACCATTTGCCTGTTGTCTCCTGAAGCGATTTTTTTGTGTCAAAAAACAAAACAAAAACAAATCACCCAGCATTATATCCCTGCAATGAGTTGCAGGAGACTCTAGTCTAGGCACTGCGGACTCGCATCATTCAAGTTTTCCCTCTCCTCACAGATGCTTCTGGGCTTCCCTGTTGGTACCAGATCACCCTGTGGACAGGAGGCTTTGTGATCATCATCCTGGGGGTGGCTGTGACAGTCTTGGGTGAGTATTGTTTATTATTTCATTTATGAATTGCTTTCCATGTGGCATCCTGGAAGTGGTTTACCATACAGTAAAAGCACATACAGAATGATTGTCTAACATCTTCCATCAGCTCCAGCCCATTCAGCAGGTTATGAACATTTGGTTTAGCCCAGTATGGCAGCTCTCAGAACAGCAGCAGAAGATGAGACTCCTGACTATCAACCCCAGAGTCTCCAAGATTCAGTAGAATCATCCAGCAACTTACCGAGCAGTGGGATAAAATCCCTCAAGGAATTTAAAATGGGGAAAATTAGAGCATATTATCACATGTTAAAAATAAGACTACTTGTTAATATATAATCTTCTAATGTCCCAGTCGTTATCTCTCTTGGATTTGAATTGATTCCATATATGTGGTATTCTTGTTTTTAAATTGTATGTGCTTCATCCACAAATATTGAAAGTACAGTTGTACCTTAGAAGTCAAACGGAATCTGTTCCAGAAGTCCGTTTGACTTCCAAAACGTTCATGAACCAAAGCACAGCTTTCGATTGGCTGCAGGAAGATTCTGCAGTCAATCAGAAGCTGCAGATGCCCTGTCAGAAGTTTGGGTTCCAAAGAATGTTTACTAACCGGAACACTCACTTCCGGGTTTGCTGCTTTTGGGAGCCAAAACGTCCAAGTACCAAGGTATTTGGCATCCAAGGTACGATTGTGGTGTCATTTGGGATCTGAAGCAATCGATTGAAATGTAATTTGTTCCCTATCCTGAAATACTTTTAATCAAAAGTTTTTAATCTGTGGGCATTCCCAGAGATGTGCATAAGTTTTCCATCATTCCCACAGTTTCTCCAACATTGTGAAGAGTTATTTTTGTCTATTTTCTTTAGCAACCAAGCAGATAACATAAATACTTTTATATTCGTAAAGATGCTGCCATCATTCCCCTTACTATGTGATTTTCTGAAGAAGGCCAAGATGGATTCATACTTCTGTGGGAGGAATTGTGGCAGGTCTCTTTTGCAGCTTGCTCTCCGTATCTACCGTAGATTCCGGTGTATAAGATGACTTTTTAACCCTGGAAAAGAGGTTAAAAAGTTGGGGGTCGTCTTATACGCCGGGTATAGGCGGCATGCAGCGGGCTCCGTTCTGGGAGAAAGACTGAGCTTATAAGACAAACCCCCAAATTGGAGCTGCCAATTTGGGAGGTTGTCTAATACGTCCAGTCGCCTATTACGCCGGAATCTACGGTAATTGTATCCATCTTCTTTTTTCATTCCTTGGCCTCCATATTTTGATTATGTGTGTTAACATGATGCTTATTTATTTAAATAAATGTGTTGTTTGTTTGTTTGTTTGTTTGTTTGTTTGTTTGGTGAGGAGTAGCTTTGCAGTTGAAAACTGATAAAGGAGAAACCAGAGTAAATGCTGGCAGATGCAATCTCTGTTTAGACAAGTTTCAGGCTTTCCTAAGACGCAGCCTCTGCAACCAATACCAGAGCAAGCCCTCAGGTAAAAATTTATATATTGTACCTGTTTTTATTTTTTTTACAAATATAGGTCACTGTGGAATCCCAATGGGACAAAATCCACTTTCAAACCGCAAGTTCCCCCCATCACGAATAAGTTTTGCAGTAAGGAAGCAACAGTCAGAATAATGTCACAAATCGATGTATTGAAACATGTGGTTTGGTCCAAACATATACAGTCGTACCTCGACTCCCAAATGATCAAAACCGGGAAGTGAGTGTTCCGGTTTTCGAATGTTCTTTCAGAAGCTGAATGTCCAATGGGGCTTTCGCAGCCAATCAGAAGCCGCGCTTCGGAAGTTGAATGTTTCGGAAGTCAAATGGACTTCCAGAACAGATTCTGTTCGACTTCCGAGGTATGACTGTACTTCAATTGGCTATAGACTTTTAACTCATTTTCTGTGACTAGCTGCCCCTTTCCCTATGCTACAAGCGTTATTTTGCTACCCACCCACCCCATCTGATCAATCACCTTTTCAGTCAATAAATAAAGCCACCAGTTTGGAGGGACTACTATAGTTTAGCTTATTGAGGTTGTGGCTACTGAAGCACTATTGGCGTCAGTAAGCCTAAAGCCACTGGTTTCTGCAGTTGCAGAGTACATAATGTTTTTCTACATTGGAAATGGTGAGCCAGTCAGAATCATTAAATTATGTGTCTATCTTCCCTTCCACAGTTAATTCCACTTGCAAAGTGTGCCCTGTACAATGGCAGCTCCACAGGGACAAATGCTACTGGCAATCGGAAGATACTAAAACCTGGAATGAGAGCCAACATGACTGTTCAACAAGAGATTCTCATCTGCTGGTCATCCAAGACAAACAGGACATGGTCAGGAACAATGATATATTTCATGCAATGCATGAAGGAAGCCTGAGTCCAATTGCGTTTAATTCTAACTTAGTAACTCGACAATGGTATCATGCTTTGTGACTTGAGAAGCTTGTGGAGTGCAGGGCCTTGTTTAGTATTTCATCCCATTCCCACCCAAGGCCAGTTCATCAGTGTCTAGATAGGGCCTTGGGGAGATTGACTAGTGAGAACCAAAGCAGTAAGTTGCAAGCAAATTCATGTAACTGTAGCCCAAGTCCTCTTTTTATTTAGAAAGTCTTTCCAGGAGGATGCGGTTGATAGTGGAGTTTATATTAATCTTTGTTTTGATGCCATCAGTTTGAAAATCAGCAAATATCTTTTTCAAAAATTCAAAAATGCAAAATTCTGGATCGGACTCTCACTATCATTAGCAGAGAATAAATGGATGTGGATTACAGGCTCCCAGCTTGATCAGAGTCTGTGAGTTCTTCTCATTGTTTTTAACCTAAGCAAAACATCATGCAATTTTTAGAGCTCAGATTATTTGGGTGTGCAATTGAGGCACAGGTTTCTGCACCGGTTCCAATTAGGTTGCCAGCATTCTCATGCAGAGAGAGGGACTGGTATATAAGATGCTGCCAAATTCCATTTATAGGTGGTACTTAATACCCACCAAACTAACAAATGTACAAAATGAAAAATAAGAACTGTTGGAAATGCAATGTAAAAGAGGGAGACTTTTTTGTCACTCTTAACACATACATACTGTTAAGTTGTGGGTGAACATATCAGACGACACAGCGTTTCTTCAAACAGCTCTTGTTTATTCAGAGGCCAGAACAGAACTGAACTGAAGGGTTCAGTCAGCCTGCTTATATAGAGCTCCACTAGAACGCAACAGTAACCATTTTCTGTAACTATCCAATCACTGAGCGTCACTTTTGATCCCTTATTTGCATACGTGGACCTGAACTATCTACAGTATCCCCCTGCTTATATAGAGCTCCAGTACACATAATTGTAACAACTTTCTAAAACTATCCAATCACTGAACGTCACTTTCGATCCCTTATTTGCATAACTATCTACAGTATCCCCCTGCTGGCTCAGGGTGAGAACTTCAGTACATAACACCTACATTCAAAAAGAACTGGCCAGAAGTTCATTTTCGGTCCTAGAGGAAAATCAGAGGAGAGAGAAGGAAGGGAGAACTGGAAGGTTATTAGCAGTTAATGACGGGTGCCCCCCCCATCTCATTTAATTTGGGGTGACCAACTGACCAGTTGGGCTTTGTAAAGTCTTAATGTGGTTGAGGTAAGTCACCGACTAATACAGAGTGTTGCACATCCATTGTTGCTGGGAATGTGCTGAGGTCCAAATACCAACAAGGAAGCCAGCTCTGCTCTCAAGCTCCTATATCTGCCCCATTACACCAATTCACCAACTCTCCCTAGGTGGCAAACTGGGCTGGTCATTTTTAGTTCCCGGGATGTAAAGTATGCCCAGGATTCTCCACCACTGCTGCAACCCTCCTTCCCATGCCTCAAAGGAAAATATTTGGTCTTGGGGCAGGAAAAGGGTAAGATGGCTCGATCCCATTATCAAGCACGCATGACCTTTGTATCCTGTGGACTGCCCTGAGACCTGCGAGTATAGGGTGGTATATAAATTTAATAAATAATAATAATGACTTTCTTCATGCTATTCAATTTGATACTATTCATGCATGTCTGAAGGATTCAAATGCACACAGCCAGCTTATTACACATTTTGGGAACACCCCTGATTTCTATTAAGAATGTGGGGGGGGGGGGATAGTTGTAACAGTCTTCAGTCCTGACCTTCAACTCTACCCTTTCCTTCCACAGATTTCCAGAACCAAAGTATGCCAAAGGGAACTATTGTGGCAAGATAAAGTCTGAACTCGTCGCTGAAGCCTGCAGTATTGAACTTAGATGGATTTGCCAGAAAGACTCTCTTTTACTGTAATATTTTAGCTTGATACAGATAATAATTATGTGGGGTTTTGTTATTTGCCAGGAGCACACAATTTTTAAAGATACTGAACACCAAAAAGATTGTGAAAAGCATTTCTCTATTTTCAGCAAAATACCTCTGGGTAAAATCCTGAAATTTTACCCAAAGCATCAATTGCTTTCATCAAATTAGAAATACTAGATTGAGTCTTCGAAATAAGCAGAAGGATACCATCTGCAAATAAAACCAAAGAAAGAGCCCAGAACAAAGGCCAGATAATAATTATGTGGGATTTTGTTATTTGCCAGGAACACAAAAATTTAAAAGATATTGAATACCAAGAAGATTCTGTTTTCAGCAAAATACCTCTAGGTGAAATCCAGAGATAACAAGGGAATTTGAAGTAGATATATTTTGGCTACTGAAAGATTGGTTTGAAGTGACAGTTGAGGATCAGTTGTAGAATTTGACAGCACAAAACAGCAAACCTGGCCAATAATTACAATACAAACAGAACAGCACCGTCCCTTTCATTCAAAGCAGTCAATTCCCCAAAACCCATTGAAAGCAAATTTCTCGTTCCTCTTCAGACTAACAAGCTTTCAAACTACTGAATTATCGGACTGCTTGGACAAAGTCATTGATTACTGAGTATATAAAACCTCCCATTATGTATTATTTCTTTTAATGAGATGTAGCCATGTCAACTAGTGCGAAATGAGAGGCAGCTTCTTCAAGTCCAACAGCGTCACTAATCAGTGAAATGGTGGTGGAGGACACTAATACTAATTTACTGAAATTTACTGGCTCAAGTACAAGTTCTGAAGCTGATCCAAAAGGACCTGACAGAGCTTAAAAATGATGTGAAGCAGATGCAGGATAGAATGGTTCGCTATGGAGATGGTTTGAATGTTCATGAGACCATCGTGCTAGCTAGGCCACTATGCAGCCCCTACGTTGTGGAACTCCTTCCCCATCCTGGCACCATTCTATCGCTTCTGGTGAATGCTGAAGATGCACTCTTTACACTGAACATTTGAGATGAGGTTGTTAAAAGATGCTGTATGGAAAGATGCAGATATTGCCATTGGGCCTCATAGGACAGGTGATATTTTTCTCTTAGAACATCATACATGTAATGTTCATATTCTTCATCTATCAAGGTCAATACACCTGCTTCCATCCAGTTTTTCCATCTTACCATCTTCTATTCAAATTTTTAGAGTAGGATATCCCCACAGAGTAAGTTTTGCATGGGAAAATGGATCAAAGTTGCTTTTATTAGCTACAACAATCCAGTATTCTAACTGAATTATTTCAAGAGTCATCTGAAATTTCAAATATTTCTGAAATATTTTTGATTCTAATGCTGTCCAACCAACCAAAAGTGCTATATATGTATATTCTAAGGTTGCCCATGTCAGGAAGTTAAGACCATCAGGAGGTCTCCAATATTTCCAAATCCACCTTCTTTCATTTGTAATGGTATTTTCTGCATAGATATCCTCAGTGCTTTTGAGCTCCAAAGACATTTCCTAAACAGAGAATTTATCTTTTGAAAATATGACCCAGGTATAAAAGCTGGAAGTCCTCTCAGGACATAAAGAAATCTGGGAGTAATGTTCATTTTGAGAGCATGCACTTTCCCCCCAAAAGTAAGGTTTAATGGTTCCTACCTGTCAATATCTAGTGAAGACTCTTTTATTATTTATGTTTACTGTTACTAACTGGGTTATATTTCTTGGTATTAACATACCTAGATATTGAATAAATTTGGTACAATTCCGGAATTGGTATTGCTTAAATGAATGAGTACCGTAATTTTCTCTCTAAAAGACACACCAGACCACAAGACTGGTTTTTGGAGGAGGAAAACAAGAAAAAAAATATTCTGAATCTCAGAAGCCAGAACAGCAAGACGGATCACTGCGCAGTGAAAGCAGAAATCCCTCTTGCTGTTCTGGCTTCTGTGATAGCTGCGCAGCCTGCATTCGCTCCATAAGACGCACACACATTTCCCCTTACTTTTTAAGAGAGAAAAAGTGAGTCTTATAGAGCAAAAAATATGTAATTAGATTTTCACCTATAGGCAACCATTCCAATTTGGACCAATTAGTTGAGTGTCCTAATATTTTACCCAAATCATCCGTTGCTTTCATCAAATTAGGAATACTAGAATGAGGCTTTGAAATAAGCATATTCAACTCCTTCATGAATCTCACAATGCTATCTAATGCCAGGGGTTCTAAACACATTTTAAAGAGCAAAGGTGGAAGTGGACATCCTTGTCTGCTTCCTCCTGGCCCTCTGTTGATCCTTAATGGCCCTAGCTTGAACAGGTCGTTTCCCAAAGGCTAACCCAGGAATTCCTCTGCAGTTTGTATTTCCCCCTCACATCCCAAAATTGGGGTACACTACTTAAACCATTTCCCAACTTCGCTAGAGTCTAGCCCTGCGAAGTCTGTATCAGTCAGAGAAAATAAGAGACTTCAGCCAAGCAATGAAGAAGCAAATCAGCAGCCAATAGGCCTGATCTTTATTTGTTGCAACAAAGGTTCCAACCTTTAAGGCAAGCAAAAAAGACAGAGCCCTGAACAAAGGTTACATGAGTTTTTTAAAGTTCTCAAATTTTCCCATAACACATTTCACACAGTGTCATCAAAACATTGCACACACCATAGGAGTGGTGTCTTTTTAAAAAAATGTTTATCTTTATCTTTTATTTTATTTTATTAATGAGTTTCAATTTTATACATGTCAATAATTTTACAATCATTTGAACATTTCAGAACTTGACATCCTTCCCCTTCCTTCTGCGGTTCCTTAAATTTATTTTTAATATTTTTTTCATCTCCAAATTAACTTACTTTACACATTTATTCATCTACTTTTAATATATACTCTTGTGGTTCGAGGACCCGACCCCCGCGATGTGAAATAAATACACAAGGACACGTGATATAAGGTTAATGGGCAAGAAAAGGCCACAACTTTATTGATTACAGCAGTGAAAAGGTATTGGCTTAGGCATTGGATGTCTAAAACAAGGGGGTTTATTCACCAGTAGGTGGAGCCTGTTGATGCTAATCCAACTATAGGCTCTCCCCTGATGTCACCAGGGGTCGTGCCATGGCCTCCCACCAAGCAGGCATCGGACAGAGTACACAACCGCCAGATTCCTTTAACGGAATACCCAAAAATTGAAGGCATAGGCGATGGCCACACCCAGCCCTTCAACACACCACAACACATTATTCCAATGCCTAACCTACCCACCAATACCACAAAAAGTTGTGACGATTGCTACAAGGTAGGCGAAGAAACAAAAAAGCCTCATGCCGAATGGAAAAAGTCCTAACAGGCCCCCTAGACAACCAGGGCGATCAACCTAAGGTCCATAGCAAGGCCAAAGAACAAAGACCCTGAGCTAAAAGGGAGTGGAGGGTGGGTGACTCGCGACGAGAGGACGGAGAAGAATGAGGCCGAGGAGAGGCTGGCACCGCCGCAAAAGGCTGCTGAACACGCCCCCTCGAAGGCACCTGGTTGGATGCCTGCCAAGGGGGCGTGGGCGCCAGCCAGGTGAGAGGAGGAGGCAGGGGGCTAATTCCCCCTGCTAGGGGCGGTGCTTGGGCTCCCGCCCACAACCACTCCCCTCTCTTCCAGGGAGGAGAGTCTTTATAAAACTGCAGGTTATTACAACAATCCTGCCAGTGTTCTTATCTGTTTACAGTTTGTTTGTAAATATTCAATGAACCATTTCCATTCTTTATTTGTTCAAGCCAGGTTGCATTCCATTCTGGAGATGGATTTTTTCACGTGGGGTTTTGTGATTCCGATAACACCTTCCTCACCCTACCTGCCCTCCTTATCTTGACTGGTAATATCTGGTCTGACACCTGTCCCCTCCCCTCCTCCTCCCTGAGAAGAGTAAAGCACCATTGAAATGAGGAAGATAAGTGAAACGGCTGGTTTTTAGTGATTATCTGAAGTTTCCCATAGGATAGCATTGTGGCACTACTGGGTGATATTGTTAATTGAAGATTTCCCTTTAAGGCACCAGCTGAACCTCCCGGGGAAAGCATTCTACAAATGGGGAGCCACTGTCTTCTAAAAGTCAGATATTTATTTCCTTGGCATCTGATGGGAGGGCAGGCACCACTACTGAAAAGGCCTTCTGCCTGGTTTCCTGTAACCTCACTTTGCGCAGGGAGGGAACTGCCAGAAGGCCCTTGGAGCTGGACCTCCACCCCCTAAACGATGGGGGCGGCCGAGGCTGTTTAGGGCTTTAAAGGTCAGCACCAACACTTTGAATTGTGCTTGGAAACGTACTGGGAACCAATGCAGATCTCTCAGAACCAGTGTTATGTGGTCCCGGCGGCCACTCCTAGTCACCAGTCTAGCTGCCGCCTTCTGGATTAACTGTAGTTCCTGGGTCACCTTCAAAGGTAGCCCCACGTAGGGTGCATTGCAGTAGTCCAAGCGGGAAATATTACAGGGGTCAGCAAACTTTTTCAGCAGGGGTCCAGTCCACTGTCCCTTAGACCTTGTGGGGGGCCGGACTATATTTTGTGGGTGGGGGGCGGGAAATGAACGGATTCCTATGCCCCACAAATAACCCAGAGATGCATTTTAAATAAAAGCACACATACCAAACCCAAAATCTGGACCGCCCAACGAAATCAAGTAAGGTTTTTCCTCCATCTACACCCACAGATTCAATAGCTAGGGTGGACAGCCTAATCACTCTCTTTGGTTGTGGAGGCTACAGGGGGCCAGCCCATTATGCATACCTCATTGAGTGTGATCTGCACGACTTAGAAGCCTATGCTGTTTCTCATTTACCAACTGGTTTGCTGCAGATCCAGCGTTCTTCGCTTCCTCTGCTGCCGCTAGCAACACCCAGATGGTTCAAGTAAGCACATGTTCCTCCTCCCCGGATTTCAAACCTAAAAAGCAACAGAATGTAGAAATGGTATCCCTAAGAACAAGTATAAGACCATGCAACTGAAAAGAGACCCCCCAATGTATGTACCTGAAAAGAGATCCCCCAATGTATGTACAGGAAGCCCTGGAAGCTAATTTTCACCTGAAGAAAACTGCAGAAGGCAGCTTCATTTATATTAATTTAATACATTTACATTTTAGACTATGTGATCTTGGCTCAGGGCCTCAGCAAATGGTATAAAAACCCCTGACTTCAGAAGAAGAGTGGAAATATTGACACACACTCAGGCTGGGTGACTCAATGGCACCCCTATGAAGGCTTCACCTGGGGCAAAATCCTGGCCCCCTGCCCCTAGGCCCCCACCACTGTAGCTATGTCTCTGTCCACCCTCCTGAATAAATTCAAAAGTGTGTGTGTGTGTGTGTGTGTGTGTGGAGAGAGAGAGAGAGAGAGAGAGAGTTTTTCAAAAGCAAAACATTCTGCATAGCCCAGACATTTAAATGGCTGGTTCTGCCAAATTTCTAGTTTCTGGACTTCGACATTTATTTCTTGACACACAACGCGGGGGGTGGGGGTGGGGAGAGATCTCACCATTTATTGAAAATGGTGCCATCGATCCATTTCCAAGGTTCCTGGTCATTCATCCTTTGGAGACCAATCCAGTGGTCAAAATGACCTTTGTACCGTCTCAGGAAGATCTTAATAAAGAAAGGAAGTATGAATACATTTTCAACTATCATCCAAGTGGAAAATCAACTCCATTTAAGGCTTCAGACTTTTCACTCACCATCTCTTCTTGGGAGTCAATCACGACCAAAGAGGCATTGAAAGAGGCACAGTAATTCTGGCTATAAGTCCAGTTCCTGTCACTGTCTGAAAAATAGTAACATTTCCTTTGGTAGCCAATCCAGCCGTCCGGACAGCACACAGTTGGAGTGGAAGGAGAATGTAGGGTGGGTGGTAATACTTCACTTCTCCCTAGAAAGGTATCAGAAAGTGAGACAGATCACTATCCATATCTTATAAATAGTCCTACCAAAAATAAAGGTCAGGCAATGTACTCCACTCATCATCATTTTATTCATATGCTGCCTTTCCACAAAAGGAATCCTGCTCAAAGCAGCGCACAACAAAGAAAAAGGAAATACATCTCAGAATCAGGCATCCTAAAAACAATTTCATTGCTATATAGCAAAACAGCATAACTGCAAACATAGCACACAAAAACATTTCACACAGAAATCAGCGTCTCCAGGCTGAGGACACCTCATTGGTTGCCTGGGAAGAAGTACTCAGCAAGAGGGACCAAAGGTTATAGAGCAAATGATCTGCATGCAAACTATTTCTGGTTCCATCCACAGCGTCTCCAGGTAGAAATCCCTGTTGGAAACCCTGGGCATCCACTGCCAGGCAGTGTAGACTCAGCAGGAGCCAAGGTGATGTTCAGATGGTGGGAGTCGTAGACCAACAGTGTCTAGAGGGCACTCAATGGGCTACTCCCAGAGACAACGCTGGCCAAATGGACTACAAGTCTGACTCGGGATAAGGGTGCTTCCTCTGCATGAGGAACAGATTGGGTAAATTAGGGTAGGAGGGAGTGCAGCAAACCTAGGGCCCATTTCTGTCCACAAACCCAGGAGGCTGCAGAACATGGAGCAGCTTCTCCCACGGCTGCCACACATCCAAAGCCAGTCAGGTCCCTGCACCTGATTCCTCATAAGAAACCTCAGTTGACCAGGGTCCAGTTGACTTTCCCTGAGAGGAGAATTTGATTAGAATTGTATCCTGCCATGACAGAAAACATTTACAAGAAAGCATAAGGAAACTCAGGAAAACCTGAAGGACCTGTCAAATTCTTAAGTAAAATCATGTGTGGATAACATCATTGTGCAATTTAGTCACTAGGTGGCACTGGAATTATTCTTATGTGCTAGGAGGCTTGTAGCTGTTCTTGTTCAGATATTATTTTGTAATCACTTCAGCTACACAAATACTTAATATTCATGTTCTTTCTGGTTTGTTTGTTTGTTTGTTTGTTTGTTTGTTGATATCCTACACTTAGTAGACAAGGGATGGGAGGTCGTTGGATTCCAACTCCCACCAGTCCTTCCCACATAATGATGAGGATTGATGGAAGTTAAAGTCCAACTATGTCAGAAGGGCCACAGTTTCCCCACTCTTATTCTTAGCGCTCATAAATGTACAGTACAGGCCTTTTCATCTGGAGCTGGAATTCTTTTAAAACAGGCCACTTCCACAAAACCCTCTAGATGTCATTGAATTCCAACTCCCATCATCCCTGACCATTGGCCACACTGGCTGTGGCTAACGGGAAAATACAATCCAAAATGGCAGGGTAGAGTCAGTCTATTGACAAAGGACATCACTGCTGCTTACTATGGTGGTTCAGGATGGCGGCAAGGTTGGGGCAGTGTGGGTGCTGGTAGAGCAATTCTGGCACCCCTGCTGTGGGTTTCAAGCCACCCCACATTCAAGGGTGTAGTGACGGGGGTGCAATAGGGGCACGCTGCACCGGGTGCAACCACTGAAAGGGTGACAAATCCAGGCAGCACTCACCTTGGGGCCTGCAGCGCGCCCGAGACATGGCTCTACTGCTCAAAAGGTCCACCTGCTGCCTCCCCAGCTGTAGGATGACGGAGGGGGATGAGGCAGGCAGACTCCTCAGAGCCCTGTGGACGGCTGGCCCCGCCACCCTGGGCACCCTATCAGATTGCTCTGCCGCTGCCCACAATACCCTGTAAGCAACGACAATGCTACTGCCAGGAGGCCAGCATCATCCCAGCCCACTGGCTGCTCTTGCAATAAAGGCACCAGATTGCAGAAGGCTGTTTATATCATTTAAAATTTAAGCATCTCTGTGTGCATATTGGTCTATTACTACAGTAAACAAAGACTACATTAACTGAATGTGGGCCCCATCTGCAACTGCTTCCAGGCTACCTCAACTGAATAACAATAAAGCTATTCTAGCTGCTAAGGAGAAATTTTTGAGAACAGGTGGCCTGTAGAGAAGTTGGCAGAAGCTACAGCATATGGCTCTTCACTTACTTGATAAAGCAATGCTACTGCTGCTGATGATGGAAATGATCAGAATGACATTTAGTACCAAGCTCAATTTTTTTACGAGTTTCCCTTTTCCATTATTGCACAAACCTGCAGAGGGAAATAAAGTGTTAATGTGTCCTTGGTTTCAGCAAGATGCCGGACAAGTCCTTCTAGAAACTCCAAAGTATCTGGAGGGCTCCAAGTCTACCAAGGCTTGGGTAGTCCACCCACATTGAAGGTGTGAGTTCAAGCTTGCATCACACCAAGATGTCATACCACTCAACAATCCTGATTTATGTGGGACATCCTGGAATTACAGAAGTCAATCCTGACTTCTGATTGAATCCAATAATGTCCCATTTTTTTGGTCCGGTGCTCTGGTGCAGATCAGCTGGGTACCAAAAAAGAAACGTCCCAATTTTGGTCAGTGGGATGTTGGTCAGTATGAGATGAACCAAGTTCACCTGTGGCATCATGAAGCTCATTGGTTTGGTGCCTCCCACCACAAAGTCAGCCAACTGGTAGTCCTCTGCGCATGGCTGGCGAATCACCAGTTATTTATTTTATTTAAAAGTATTTACATGCCACCATCTCCTAAACTATCAAGGTGCTGCACAATAATATTTTTACAATAAAACAAAAATCACCAGAAGAAATAGTAAAATAAATATATAAATCATGAAAATAACTGGGAGATCAACATTTTAAACAGATGTATAGGCTTGCTGGCATAAGAAGAGGTCTTCAAGAGATGCCTGGAAGTCAGAAGTGAAGATGCCTGACGTATCTCTGCTGGAAGAGCCTTTCACAGCTTGAACTGGTGGCGTTAAATGCCCAAATTCTAGCTGAGGTCACTTGGGCTTCTGAGACACGGAGACAACCAGATGTGCTCCTGTGGATGATCTTAGTGATGAAGCTGGGATATAGGGGCTCAGGTGGCCCTTAAGGTATCCTGGACCAAAGTTCTTCTGGTCTTTGTATATGTAGACCAGGCATAGGCAAACTCGGCCCTCCAGCTGTTTTGGGACTACAACTCCCATCATCCCTAGCTAACAGGACCAGTGGTCACGGACGATGGGGACTGTAGTCCCGAAACAGCTGGAGGGCCAAGTTTGCCTATGCCTGATGTAGACCTTGAACCTGGCTTAGCAATGTATGTGCATCCGCTGCAAACATCTTAGCAGAGCTGCCACATACTGTCAACCAATGCCTCCATCAGAGGTCTAGGCATTCTGCAAAATCTGGAGCTTCACAGCTAGGCTGGAGGGCAGCGCCAAATAAAACACAGTAGTAATCCAGTTTCAAGATCACAAAAGTAAGGACTTTGGTGATGTTAAGTGCAAAAGTGGAATGGAATGCATGAATTGAATGGAATGTGATACATGCCAAATGTCACATAGGCAATGCAGGAAGACAGAAGGCAGAATAACCCATTGTGTGAATCATTAACTGTTTGCCAATACAGTGGTACCTCAGGTTAAGAACTTAATTCGTTCTGGAGGTCTGTTCTTAACCTGAAACTGTTCTTAACCTGAAGCACCACTTTAGCTAATGAGGCCTCCTGCTACCACTGCGCCGCCGCTGCACAATTTCTGTTCTCATCCTGAAGCAAAGTTCTTAACCCGAGGTAATATTTCTGGGTTAGCAGAGTCTGTAACCTGAAGCGTATGGAACCTGAAGTGTATGTATAGGTACACACGTTCAAGTAAGGATTGTTCCACCTGAGATGGGAACTAAGAACAGTCTGAGAAGCCTTCCTCACTATTCAAAGCTGGGTACATTCAATAGTTTAGAGGAGCTCAGCATGGTTTGAAAGAGGTATCGCTTCCCATGGTATAAAGGTATCTCTCCCCTCCAACCGCTCAATTTTGTCAAATCAATTTTCACACGAGTGTCTGTGTACCTACCCTCATCCAACTGCTTTTACTGCCTGAATAAACTAGAGGGTTCATGAATTTGATTAGTTGGCCTGTATTTCGCAACTCTGCGGGTGGCAGTGGAAGACAGGAGGGCCTGGCATGCTCTGGTACCCAGTGGGGTCACAAAGAGTCGGACACAACTAAACGACTAAACAACAACAACAACATTTCGCAGCTCTCATCCCAGCAGCAAATCCATAACTTTTCTGACAGTGTTGTTGTTGTTTCATCGTTTAGTCGTGTCCAACTCTTCGTGACCCCATGGACCAGAGCACGCCAGGCACTTCTGTCTTCCACTGCCTCCCGCAGTAGGTGGAGACAAACTCATGCCTTTCTCATCAGAACTCACTTACCACATGGAGCAACGACTCCTCTTGCTTGTTTAGTGCTTCTAGTAATTATGTTTCCACTTCTTTCCCCATTCTCTGTTACAGCTGGATTCACGTGGACCTTTTGATATGCCATTTCAATTTTAACCGAACCCATCTTTTCTTTCTCCCAGAAGGATCCACAGATCTCACAGTAAATGCTATTCAGCTCTAGTTACACTGAGTTTTCCAGTTTTCTGAGATATGTTGAAAGCAGATCACTGGATTGCAGATTCAAGCACAGTATGGCTAGGTGATGTGGTGAGAAAACACCCTTTTTAAATACCACTTAATCGTGTGCTTTAATCAGATACTTTGTCCAGCCAAGCTGTACTTAATATGTTTTCCACTTCGCTGTTTTGTCTTTGTGATTGCTTTTAATCTAAGGTTACCAGATTTTTTTCAATGAATCCGGGGACACTTTTCAACTTCCTACTAAATAGATGGATTTTGTCAGGAGGCTGATTTGTAAATCCAGGGACTGTCCCCAGGAAACAGGGACACCTGGTAACCTTATTTTAATCCAGGTGAAACGAAAGCCTCTTCAGACTCTGAAGCATCAATTCTGTGCTTTTGCTATGAATATTTTCACCACAACATCACTTTTCACCATAGCATCAATGTCCCAAGATTCCTCTGTGGAGACAAAATTACAGAGCAGAGAAATAAATCATCTCTTCTTGAAGTCTTTAAAAGGTGCACTTTTGTTTCCATACCAGTATATGCCCCCCAAAAAGCCCTAAAGGTAGTCTTATGTATACTATTTTACAGAGCTGGAAAATTCATATATGAAATATTGCTTCTTTTTAGTCTAAATGATTACAGTAATATTTCTACATCCACTTGATGAAATGAAAGCATTGAGAAAAGTGTTGGGAGAATCAGAGGAAATTGAACAAACAGTTGAGAGTTAGGAGACAGATCTAAGAAGGGAATTTATTAAACGTGTACTGAGACCTTGAATGTGTATTATTATTTTTTAACCCGTTGACGTATCATAAGAAATAAAGTATGGATTATAAATTTGTTACTTGGAACGTAAATGGTTTAAATGAAAAATCAAAAAGGAACAAGGTGGAACATATTTTGGTTAAGCAAAAATATGATCTAATCTGTCTGCAAGGAACCCATGTAGCGGAAAAACATAAAAGAGTATTAATAAATAAAGGATTGGGGCTTGAGTTTATTGCATCAAGTAAAGAAAAAAAGAGACGGGTGGTAATCTATGTAAAACCTCAGCTGGAGCCAAAACTGCTTTACAATGATGAAAAAGGTCGAACAGTGATTATAGAGGTTAAGATCAATAATGAAAAAGTGATAGTTATTGGAATTTATGCACCAAATGAAAGAAAATCCGAATTCTATCAATTCCTGGATGAAAAAGTCATAGAATATTTAGGGGAAATATATTATTAGGATATTTTAATGGAGTAGTCAATCCAAACATGGACAGAACAATAAAGAAGAAAGAAAAGAGGCAGAACAAACTCCCAACTACATTTTTCCAGTTAATAGAACTCCTGAATTTGTTTGACGCTTGGAGGTTTAAGAATACAACAGAGAAAAAATTTGCACATTATTCAGAGCCACATAAATCGGCGGGACGAATCGATGCGATCTGGACAACAAAGGATTTATTAAATAATATTACAAAAGCAGAAATCCATCCAAGGACAATTTCAGATCACAGCGCAGTCTGGGTTAACGTTAAAGGAAAAGAAGAAAAGGTTAAAAGGTGGCAACTTAATGAGAGTATGCTAAACGATGAAAAAACTGTATAGAAGGCCAAGCAAATCTTAGAAGAATATTTTAGGCTTCTTTATCCAACAAAACGCATTCCAAAGGAAAATAAAGGAAAAGAAGAAAATGGAGATCTGGGAGGAAATTAGAAAAAAGGAAAGGATCCTTTTCCAAAAACCAGATGATGAACTAATTAAGCAAAGTATAAAAATTTTACAGACGCAATTCTCCATGATAATAAATGAAGAGATAGAATGGAAGATAAAATGGTTGAGACATAGAAATTTTGAGTTTGCAAATAAACCTGGCAAACTTCTGGCCTGGCAATTAAAGAAGAAAAAGGAAGATAGAATTATCAATAAAATTAAAATTGAAGACAAATGGATTCAAGAACCGAAGGAAATTAGTAAAAACTTTGCTAGTTTTTTCAGAAAGCTGTATAAAGAAGGTCCAGAGACTCTAGAAAAAATAATTGATTATTTGGGCAAAAGTAAACTACCAATAATACCTAAGGAAAAACTGAAATCTTGAACTCACCAACAAGGTGCAACAAGCTATACAGAGATCAAAATTAGGAAAGACACCGGGCCCAGATGGTCTCCCAGCTAATTACTATAAAAAGTTAGAACAAGCATTATTTCTTCCCATGAAAGACCTAATCCACATTAAGTAATGATATGGGAGAGGTCGACAAGATGGCGACGGAGATAGCAGCATAGTCAGGTTCGCCTGCCTTCAATTAAGGTTTTAAGTAGTTTTTTTAGCCTTCCTGGACTCTAATTTTATAGTTTTAATGATTTATTGGCTGACTTATCACCTCACCACTGCCCCTGTTTTTCTTAGCTAACGTTTTATTGTTTTACTGTTTTACTGGCGACGTTGATAAACTGCTGGGATCTTCCACCCTTGCTTCAGACTGCAGCCAGTTTATATCCTGAGAGAAGAGCAGTATGCTTTGATGAATGCGTCAACAAGGTTCCAGTTATCTACACTTACAGAAAGGTGTGCACGGAAGGAAACCTGCTGTGAACTTTTAATGCAGCCGAGTGAGTATAACTCCCTAAAGGAAAAGAACGTGACTAGAGAGAAATCCTTGGGAGGAAAGAAAAATTGCTTACCTGATAAGGGCCTGGGGAGGCCTTGGAACCTCTCCCTTTTACCCAAAATTGACTTGCAGAGAGCCCTGAGACGGAGCTAATTATCCTAGTTCAGTTTAATTAAGTTTTTAACTCAAAGTTTTAAGGTACTGAGACCCTGAAAGAAGACATTTATATATATATATTTTAAAATCCTTTTTAAGCATCTTGATTATTACCAGGGGAGCACCAGAGCCTCTGCGGTAATCACTTTGCAGCAACTGAAGAAGTAAACTCACCCCTGCTCCTCCACCACGTTGTCTCTCTTCTCTTTTACAATTACCTTTTATCTATTTATCTCAGTCAATGCATTGTAGCGTGTTTATTACAACAATAAAGAAATAATTTACAACTTTAAAGAAACAATGGTGACGACCAGGAGTGGCTGCAAAACCTCAGGCTTTTCTCTGAAGGCTGTAAGACCCACCTTTAAAAGAGCCACTCTAAAGAAAGCACAAACAAAAATCACTCGCTTCTACATGAACAGAGCAAAATGTGGAGCAAATGAGGAAACGACTGAAATGAATGAGAACAAGAACAAGAAGGGAAGGGAAATTCTACTCTCTCCTACCAATCCCTCTTACAGCTATAGTGAAGGACCGGTTATGCAAAGAAAGGAGTGTACTAAAAGCAGTGATAGAAGCCTGAATATATTGGAAGCAACACAAAATATCTTCGATACAGCCGATGAAGCATCCCCGAAACTGAAAACCAAATCCCAAGTTCCTCTCGAACCATCGTTAGATCAAAAAATGGAGGAACTAATGTTAAAACAAATTTCGGAATTGGCCTCGGGAAAAATTAAACCTTCGAAAGACTCTTATTCTCATTCCCACGAGACAAATGAAGAGGATCTCTCAATCATCAAATGGCTAGTGCTCCTTACTGAGGACATTGAATCTATAAAGTCCTACTTGGACATTTGCACAAAAATTCTTACCATCATGGCTGACTCCTGTAAAACTCTCTGGAGAAAACCCGGAATGCCTGCAGAATTGGAAAGTAATCATGGCCTCGCCTCCACCCTTTGTAGGAGTGGCTCATCAAGGAAGGGTAAGAAAGCCTGCAGAGCTAATGCTTGTAAAAGGAGATTCACAGTTGTAAAAAATGTTAAAAAAAGTAAAAACATAAAAATCTTAAGACAGTGTATTATAAAAATGGTTTTTAAAAGCTTTTAACCTACTCGAGAGCACAACAGCCTCTGGGTCTAGAGGGAACCCGGTGAAGTCTTTAGCCAAGAAGCCAGTTAAACAGGATTTGCCCCCAAACGTCTGTGCTGATAAAGCTCCGGATTGTCTAAAACCTTCAGCGCTTGCTCCACCACCAAGCTCTAAGCAAGATTTATTGCCCCAAGATCCATGGTCCTACGTTTTAACCATAGATAACTCCAAATCCAATAAGGAGAGCATTCCAACAAATAAGAACTGGAAGCTGGTGTTGCTTCAAAACAAATTTGTTTTTTCTAGCTATTCTAAGCCTCCAGGATTTTTATCTCAAGAGGATCGCAAAGTCCATCTATTGAACTTCCTTAAGGCATACATGCCAGGTACTTTGAGTAATCCCTCGGAGTTGGACCAAGTGGAATATCTATATTTTGATGGCTTGCTTGCCAGGGCGGTGGCTACATTCCATGATCGGAGATTGGCAAAACTGATATATAAACACAGAGAAAACCTAAAGACAAGTGGTGTAAAAATATCAAGGTTCTTTAAAAATGAGGCCTCTCCTATCCCACTAGTCCCCAGTTCTGCAACTTCGACTGCAGCACCTCATCAAAAGGCTGAATACCACACTCTAATTGATATAAAAGCCACTGAGGACTCGCCTAATCACCACCCAGAGTTACTTACTAATGATCCTCAAAGACCAGACTCTCCCGGGACTTTATATGAGGCGAGCCAAGGTAACGGGTTCGAAAGTTTTGAAAATAACTTAATTTACTCCTATTGCGCCCTCCCTCAAGAAACTCAGAACAAAATACTTTATAGACTGAATAACCTTCGTTCTTGTCTGACAAATCTGACGAAGGACCAATCGGGACCACACAACCAAAATATATCTGATTATGTCCCAGATCAGGCTTCATGCTTCTATCGTCATGAGCTGGATTTATGGGTCGGGAAACCCTCCGTTACCCCAGGCCAATTGGTTACTGCGGAGATGAATCCATCCTCTCAGATCTTGGAGCCGAAACGCCCTCCTATAATCCAGCTCGCATGCAATCCATCCCAGAGGCAAACCTGGTCACTACATTAGCATGGGATAAAATGAGAGAATTAGATGAGACTGAATTGGGCTCCCCAAATAAAGTGCCCAGCATGGGTGCACCAGGTTGCAACCCTAGCATTCCACCCTCCTCAAATGTGAGCATACTGAATACATCTTTAAACATCATTGAATTAGCATCTGAACTATCTGAACCCGCTGAAAGGGCTACTAGTAAGAACCAGAGAATCTTGGTGTGACATACGGAATGCACCACGCATACCTCACCAGCACCCTCAAATCAAAGATCTCTCCAAACTCTTTCTATTATGTCCTGGAATGTAGCTGGACTCTCATGTAAATTAGCTGATTCTGATTTTATAAATTTTCTTGAGTCTTGTGATATAATACTTTTGCAGGAAACCTGGTCTCTTAAACCTTTAAATATCCCTAATTTTATTACTTATAATTTACCCGCTACTAAAATGTCAACAAAAGGTCGCCCTAAAGCCGGTTTGATCTGTGGTATTAAACAGTCTTCTAACCTGTGGTATTAAACAGTCTTCTAACCTGTGGTATTAAACAGTCTTCTAGCAGTAAACTACCAAAAAACAAAAATCATGGTTTTCTCTAACAAAAGGAAAATATACAGATGGAATTTAGACAATCAGGAGATTGAACAAGTGACATGCTTTAAATATCTAGGAGTGATATTCCAAGCATCAAGGAAGAAGACTGCCCACATAAACTACAGCTCCTTTACAGCACAAAAAAGTACAACAGCAATCCTAAGATTCCATCGTACAACGGGAGGAAATTTCATTCCTGCTACAATTAAACTATTCGTTGCAAAACCAACAGCACAAATCCTATACGGCGCACCACTCGTCTCCCTCTCTAATCTAGACCCATATGAGAAGATACAATCAGGCTTCCTTAGATCACTCCTGCAAACACCTAAATGCGTCCCAAACGCCGCCTTACGACTGGAAACGGGCTTATACAGCATTAAAGCCAAAGTATGGATAAGAACTTTATGCACTTGGCTAAGACTTAACAACTCGCCGGTTGGACTACTTTCCCTGATGCTTCTTGACAAATTCCAATCTAGCTGGTTGAAGGGCATTCTCAGAAAACTGGCCACATATGGTCTCTCCCCAGAGTATTTATTAAGTTTAGAAAGGGGAAGGGCCAAGAACATAATCAAAGAAGGACTCAGGGACATTGAAACCCAAAATGACTTTAACCAACTTCCGATAACCTATAAACTTCTATACAATTCCCAAAGGCCCCATCTAGCAAACTATCTCAAAGTTCTAGACAACGCTAAACACCGATGGGCATTTTCCAGGGCCCGCTTTAACGCTCTCCCTTCAGCTCTTCTAGAGGGAAGATACAATAAAATACCGATCGAACAAAGATTATGCCCCTGTAACAGCAATGAAATCGAAACCATTGGGCATGTTATCTTATACTGCCCATTATATCGAGACTCAAGAAAAGAGCTGATCGAACCGATTCTGAGGAAAATACCTCGTAGTACAGATGACACCTATATCAGACACCTCCTAGCTGACAAAGAGCCCGAAATTAACAGGTCCGTGGCAAAGTACTGTTACATTGCAACAAGAATAAGACGAGCAATGATGTCTACAAAGGAGTTCAAACTGTAAACATCGAAGGAACGATAATAAACAGTAGCGACTCCTGAATCGAATTTTAAAAACTTAAAATTCGAAACCTGGTCATAAATATAAGCACCAATTCTGTGAATTGGCCATACTTTTACTGTTACTTGTAGCACAATACTACTCTTAATGTCATACTTTATAAATTGCTTCCTGGTCATTGACCGTATTAAAGATATTTGATTTTTGATTTTTTTTTTATTTGAACCTTAAAATTAATTATATCAGAAATATTGGACAGTATGCACAATTGTTATCATTTACCATTGTTTACAGGGAAATTCTTCTTTTAAATATATATTTTCCTCCCATAGAGTTGGAAATTAGACCAGATTATGGTTGGAATATAGTCTCTGAAGAGCTGTATTTAATACGTAGTAAATCTCCAAATATTCCCCTGATTGTAATGGGAGACACCAATGCTCGAATTGGATCAGATAATATAGCTCTCTATAAACGCTATGTCTCAAATCTAGCTGAAGATGCCCCACTTCCATTGAGAATAGGGAGGAATTCAAAGGACATCATTATTAATAAAGCGGGAGGAAAACTTTTACAATTGGTTTTAGAATTTAACCTCTCATTTTTGAATGGCTCAATGTGGCCGGATATTCCGGGAAATTTTACCTTCAGCTCCAAAAGGGGTAGGAGCGTAATTGACTATGCTCTAGTTTCCGTTGAAATGTTAAATGAAGTTGCCTCTTTTACAGTTGTACCTCGCTCAGAGAGTGACCATTTCCCAATAGTTTTAGAGATGTACAGGAATCCTAGAAATAATGATATTAGTCCTCTTATTAGTATTGATAACCCTATTTATGCCAAAAGAATTTATATAAGTGATAAAAATAGGGAGGATTTATTGGCTGTATTTGAAAATAACCCAGTTATTCTTGAACCTGTGGCTAACCAAAATTTGATGCCCTTGGAGGACAATGATTGTTATAAGACTATCCAGGAATTATTTTCTTCTTTTTTAGACCCTCAGTTCAGCAACAAACCTTTAAATAAGTATAACTGGTTTGATAAAGATTGTATTAACTATAAGAAAGAACTTAGAATTTGTCTAAAAGAAGCCTATACTACCAACTCTCAAGGTCTCTGGAAGACTTATTTTGAAATGAAAAATGCTTTTAAGAACATGCTCCTGGAAAAAAAATCTGAGTTTGCACTAGCCAAATGGTCTAAAATTGTTACTGCATTAGAAATCAAAGATACCAAAACTTTTTGGTCACTTCTCTCAATAAAAGATATCACTGATTTCCCTAATATAAGCGATGAGGCTTGGATTTCACATTTTACTGATGTTTTTTATGATCACCAAGTTTGTAAAAGGAAAATTTTAAATTTTCTTTGGCAAAAACCACACAATTTCAAATTACTGTTGAGGAGATGAAAAGGATAATTTTTTTTGTTTAAGCAAGGGAAATCACCTGGTATGGATGGCATTCCAATAGACCTGTTGAGATTAGATGTAGAATGGTGGGCCATTAAACTTGTGCCGCTTTTTAATTCTATCTATCACTCAGCCCTTGTACCTAAGTCGTGGAACAACTCAATAGTGGTACCGATCTTTAAAAAAGGTGATAGGAATTGTCAAGAGAATTACAGGCCTATAAGTCTGTTACCATGCATAAGTAAAATCTATGCCAAATCTCTGCTTATTAAATTGGAAGAATGGATGCTGACAAAAGGTCTACCTGGTAAAGAGCAGGCTGGTTTTAAGGCAGGCGCGTCAACTCTTGACCAGTGTCTAGTGTTAAGTCATCTTGTGGATAAATATGTCATAAGAAATAAACGAAAACTCTTTGTGGCATTTGTGGATTTAAAAAAGTGCCTTTGATTCGGTCGACCGTAACAAACTATGGACTAAACTAGAACACCTTGGTATCGACCCATATCTACTTACACTGATTCAAAGTTTACATTCTAATAACCAAATATATGTTAAAGTATCAAAAGATGGTAGACTTGCAGGTCCTATTCTGAATAATCGAGGAGTTAGGCAAGGCTGTATCTTGGCCCCTACCTTATTTAATTTATTTTTATCTGACCTACCATTATTTCTTCAAAACGCAACCACTCATACTCCTTATTTAAACAATAGCCCACTTTTTTATTACTTTATGCAGATAATGCTGTAATTATTTCACTCTCTGTTTTGGGTTTAAAAAATTATTTAAGAGTTTCTCAAACTACTGCTCTCTCAATAATCTCAAAATTAATTATGATAAGACAAAGATTATGCAATTTGGAAAGAGAGGGAACCCAAAAGGCTGTATAATTAATGGACATTTAATACAGGAAGTTAAGCACTTCAATTATCTGGGAATCACATTTAAAAATAATATGAATTGGAATACACATATATGTGCTGCAATAGTTAAGGCCAAAGTGACAGCCCACCATATTAAATCCTACTTTTTTTCTCCAGTAGGAAACAGATTTATTCCAGCTGTATTGCAAGTGATTGACATGAAACTTTGTGCCCAACTTCTATACGGCACACCAGTGTGGATTTCAGGTGACCTCAAGAGGTTGGATAAATTCCACGCATCCCTTCTGAGGTCATTATTAGGACTTGCAAACTCTGTAAAATATGAAACAATATGTTGTGAGCTGGGAATATTGCCTTTATCAGTAAGAGCATGGTTGAGGACCTTGAAATATTGGATCTTCCTCCATTATAGAACCCTATCCCCTAATTCTCTACTTTACGATCTTTTAAGTGATAGTGCAATCTACAATCTATCATTGATTTGCAGGAGAAAACTGGATTCGATAGGGCTCACTCTAATTGACTTTGAAATCTCTGATCCCAAAGACATATGGGAAATTATCAGGAAGACTCTTACAGAAAAAGTGTTCTCGCCATGCTTGAGGCTGCAAAGCACAGCACTTGCTCTCCTATCCACTTAAATCTCCCTTTGTGTAGAGATTTCCAAAGGGATACATGGCAAATCTGAAGAAACATGAATTGTGTAGGCTGTTTATGTTGGCCAGATTCAACATGTTTCCTCGGTGGTAGTGAGAGGAAGATACTTAGCTATCCCAGAATCAGAGCGTCTCTGCAAATGCAGAAAACAGGAACCCGATACTCTAGAGCATATATTCTTTTCCTGTGATTTTGGTAGTTATGCCAGAAAACAATTATTTGAGGCCCTAAAAGTTAATAGACAGATTTTTACACAACCAACTGTTCAGGACCTGCTGGCGGACAGCGATGATCAAATTACTTTAATAGCGGCTGAATTTTTAAGTGCTGTCCATGAAGAAAGAATGGGCCATGATAAAGAGACTTAGTGGTTTTTAATGGTAGGTGATGTTGTTGTGTTGTATTATATTATCTATGTACATCAATTTATTTCTTGGAGTTAAGAATAGGACTGGGATAAATTGTGTTCGCTGAGCCCGTATTTTATACAGTCTGTATATGATGTTTGTTTGTTAGTGTGTGGTGTGCTATGCCTAATAAAGGAAGATGATGATGACCTAATGAATAATATTTTGGCAAATGGAAAGCTGCCGAAAACCTGGAAGGACAGCTTTATTACTCTTATCCACAAACAGGGAACAGACGCCTCAAACATGGCCAATTACAGACCCATTGCACTGCTAAATAACGATTACAAGATATTCGCAGACATTCTTGCAAATAGATTAAAAATGGTGCTGAAAGAGATAATTCATAAAGATCAAACCGGATTTCTTCCCGGATGATTTATGCAATCCAATATTAGATGTGTGATTAATGTATTAGAATATTTGGATATTAAAATTGACAAACCAGCAGCTATTATGTTGGTGGACGCTGAAAAAGCTTTTGACAACGTGCCCTGGAAGTTTATGAAAAATTAATGGGAGAAATCGGACTGGGAGAAAATATTTGTAAAGGAATAAATGCCATCTATTCGGAACAATATGCAAAATTGATAATCAACGGAAGAATTACTGAGGAGTGCAAAATAAACAAGGGAACCAGATAGGGCTGCCCACTGTCACCAGTGATATTTATCTTGGTGATGGAAATCTTGAACAATCCGATAAGAAAGGATCAGCTTGTTAAAGGCATCACTCTGGGAAACAAAACATATAAAATTAAAGCTTTTGTGGACGATTTACTTGTTATGACTGAAAACCCTAAAGAAAGTCTGAAAAAGTGCTGGAATTGATTAAAGAATTTGGAGAAGTGGCAGGCTTTAAGCTGAATATAACAAAAACAAAAATGCTTGTTAAAAATGTAACCACAGAAAAAAAGGACGACTTAGAAAAAATATTGGGCCTGAAAATCTCTTCAAAAGCGAAATACAGTGGTGCCCCGCAAGACGAATGCCTCGCAAGACGGAAAACCCACTAGACGAAAGGGTTTTCCGTTTTTGAGTTGCTTCGCAGGACGAATTTCCCTATGGGCATGCTTCGCAAGACGAAAATGTCTTGCGAGTCTTGGGATTTTTTTTTCGCTTTCCCCCCCTTTATCTAAGCCGCTAAGCCTTTAATAGCCTTTTAGCAGCTAATCCGATAAGCCGATAAGCCTTTAATAGCCGCTAAACCGCTAATAGCGCTAATCCGTTAAGCCGCTAATAGGGTTGCTTCGCAAGACGAAAAAACCGCTAGACGAAGACTCTCGCGGAACGGATTAATTTCGTCTTGCGAGGCACCACTGTACTTGGGTATTTGGATCACCCCCCAGAACATAAACTTATTTCAGGATAATTACACCAAAACTTGGTTAGAGATTAGAAAAAACTTTGAAACCTGGAGTAAACTAAAATTAACATTTCTGGGTAGGATTTCCATTATAAAGATGAATGTGCTTCCAAAATTAATCTTTTTATTTCAAATGATTCCAATACTGGGCGAAGCAGGTTGCCTCAAGATATGGAAAAGAGAAATTTCCAAATTCTTGTGGGAAGGGAAGAAACCTAGGATTAAACACCTGATCTTAATAGACATAAAAGAGAGAGGAGGCTTTTCCCTACCCGACCTAAAACTTTACTACGAGGCAGCCTGTTTCACCTGGCTAAAAGATTGGTGCACGTTGCAGGATCCGGACCTCCTGGACCTGGAAGGTTTTGACAACTGTTGGGGGTGGCACGCCTACCTAATATATGGAAAAGCGAAAATTCATAAAAATTTTACCAACCATATAATAAGAAAATCACTCTTTGCTGTATGGGAAAAATATAAAGACCTGATGGAGCCTAAAGTCCCGTGGTGGACTTCTCCAGTAGAAGCCATAGCAGTAAAATGGAAAAATACTCAGGAAAGCTAGCCAACATATAAAATACTTCTAAAAATGAAGATAACCAAATAAAATTAAAAACTTTGAGGAAATAAGAGAACACATTTCAGACTGGTTCCAATACCATCAGTTATTTGAAAAATTTAAATCTGACAAACAAAAGGGGTTCTCAACAGAAATTTCCCGATTCAAATCTGATCTTATAAATTCTAAAAGTAAAACTCTTTCCAAAACTTACCTCCTCCTCCTTGACTGGACAGTCAAGGAGGAGGAGGTAACAGTGGCAATGGTGAGGTGGTCCCAGGATTTTGGCCATTCAATAACCATGGCCCAATGGGAAAATTTATGGAAGATCAATTGGAAATTCACAAATTGTTACACGATTAGAGAGAACTTTCAAAAAATGCAGCATCGATGGTATCTAACACCATGGAAACTTTCAAAAATGTATAAAAATGTGTCAAGTAATTGTTGGAGATGCGGAGACTCAGGAACATTCTACCATATGTGGTGAATATGTAGGAAAATACAGGTATTCTGGGAGAGTATACATGCAGAACTGCAAAAATGCTAAAGATCTCTTTCAATAAAAAACCAGAGGCCTACCTCCTGGGAATAACAGATTTGGATATTCCACAAAAGAGGAAGGGTATCTTTCTATATGCGACGACGGCAGCAAGAGTTTTGATCGCAGCAAAATGGAAGAGTAATGAAATCACCTCTATACAAGATTGGATCCAAAATCTGACAGAATATGCTGAATTAGATGGTTTATCAGAAAAATAAAGACTAAATCAAAACAGGAATTTGTTTCAAAATGGGAGGTTTTCAAAGAATATCTGAAAAATAAATATAGTAGTTTAAATTCTGTTGCAGCATTCGAGGAACTTCATTAATAGTTGCAAGGTAGATATAAGAAATTAGATTTATTGAGAATAAGTTTAATTATGAAAAAAATGTGTATTGGCAATAAGTATGTAAAAAAAATGTGTATTGGCAATTTGAAATATGGAATAGACGGGAGGTTGGGTCTTTAGTGTTAAGACCAATAGATGTTTTATTGTTTGCTAAGAAAAATATGTGTCTATGGTTATTTTTGTAATTTGTGTGTAATTTGGTATTTGTGGGGTTTTGTGTGTGTGTGTGTGTGTGTGTTTCTTGTTGTATAAATAAAATAAAAGTCTTATTTTTAAAAAAAGAGAGAGAGAAAAGTGAAAGGAAGGAGCCCTTGAGATAGCTGAAGATGGCTATTGTATTATATTTCCCCCCAGTCTCCTCCTCTGCACACGTTCCAGTTTGTCAACACCCTCCTTAAATTGCAGTGTCCAGAAATGGACACAGTTGGTTACACAGAGTCATCATTGTAGTCACAACAGGAAAACCTGTTTCCCCTTTTACACTTCCTTTGCAAACTCGCCCTTTCAGCTCTTCGGGATGGAGGGTCGGGAAATTCTAGGCTTTCCTGAGCAGTGGCGTACCATGGGGGGTGCGGGGGGGCCGGCTGCACCGGGCGCAACATCTGGGGGTTAGGGTTAGGGGGCGCAAATCCATGAGTTGGGGGGCGCAAATCCACGGGTTAGGGGGCGCAAATTACTTGCCTTGCCCCGGGTGCTGACAACCCACGCTACGCCGGCACAAAAACCTCCGAACGGACTGCGTAAAATTTGGCAGGCTTAATCCAGAGAGGCTCATATTTCTGCAAATTTCTTCCACTTTTCTCCAAACCCTTTTTAGATTCCCCATTATATTGAATGAGGGGTGAGAGCTTTGGGTGGTATTTCTAGCAGTGCCAAGAGAACCTTCTGTCAGCACAAGGGAACATTCTCCCCCTCCCCTCCCTCACGACCCCCAGAGGGATTCTAGGAGTCTCCCCAGTCAAACAAAGCCATTCTTATATTATTGTAGAAATGTTCTTTCTTCAGCCATCAACTCTTCCTCCTCCCCTCCTTCTTTCCCCAATCTCCCTCTCCCCATCTCACCCTCTCCCTTTCCTCCCCTCCCCATACCCCCCATATATTGTAGAATATTTTTCTATTTTGGCAGAACCACAAATTTTGGTCTGAGGATTTGTGTTTTCCCTCTGGGTTTCTTTCTTTCTTTCTTTTTTTAAAAGCCACCTTTTGGAATAAGTCTTCTCTGTCCTGTCCAGTTACTGTATTTATTTTTCCCAATTTCAACTACAAATTGGTGATTTTTTTGAGTCAAAAAGAGAGTACCCCTAAATATTTTTTAAGACAAAGAGCACTGCTTATATTATTTTAGAAATGTTTTTTCTTCAGCCCAAAACCCTCTCCCCCGTCCTCCTCTCCTTCTCCTTTCCCCAGTCTCCCTCCCCATCTCACCTTCTCCCCTTCCTCCTCTCCTTTCCCCAGTCTCCTCCCCATCTCCCCATCTCCCCTTCCGCCTCTCCTTCTCTTTTCCCCAGTCTCCCTCCCCATCTCCCCATCTCCCTTTCCCCCTTCCCAATATTTCTTCCTCCCCCAATATATTATAGAATTCTTTTTACCTTCTTGCAGAATCAATCTAGCAGCTATGTTCTGCAGTGCAGGAATAGATATCTGCTGCTGACCAAACCCACAAGAAGCAAAACAGAAAGAGTTTTCAAAGCGATTGCTTCCTGCTATTCATCTCCTCTTCCTCCCCCTCCCCGCTTCCTCGCCAGTGAAGTCCTTGTCAACAGTTTTTGACTCCAGCCCCACCCAGCCTTTAATATCACCTCCTCCCAGCCTGAATCTAGAGATGGTTTCAGTTGCCCAAGGTCTTCTGCCTTGCTTCAGAGAACAGTGCAACCCTTAGAGGCCTAAGACCTTCTTGGGCACAAAGTGTAAAAGAATTTTTAGCATGATTTAAAATCAGCCCCACAAACAAAGGGCAGAACATCCCAGCGGGGAATGTGATCACCCTCAATGTGCAAAGTTCAATGTTCAAATGTACTTTTGAAAGTAACAAACCTAACCTACTCATGCACCGGAGAGTCCCTGTTTCTGCCTCCCCAAAACCTGGGAATCATAAGAGTCACACACCACTTTATTGTAAAAGCCTCAGAGCGGTATACAAAAAGATAAAACAATAAAATCAGAAAACCCTAATTTAAAACATACAAAAGTAAAAATATTAAAGCAGATTATAATTATGTACCTCAGCTTTCTAAGCAACTTGTAGGCTTATCTACAACATAATGTTTTTAGCTGGCGCCAAATTTCCGTATACAGGCTCGTTGGCAGCAGCTGCTACTAAATTTCCTTGATTTCTGGAACTGGAACTGATTTCCTGGAATTGTTATTGCAGTAGTTGGTTTGAAACCAACAGGGCAAGCCAGAACTAGAAGGGGTGGGATTTCCTTCCCTGCCTCTCCTTTCATTTTTCCTGGTCCTGCCTTGCCCTCTGGCTCAGCATGAGGACTGTTTATTAAACTGATCTTCATAAGAATATAAGAACATCAGAAAATCCTGGCTGGATCAGGCCAAGGGCATATGGAGTCCAGCACCCTGTTCTTACAGGGGCCACCCAGATGCCTGAGGAAAACTCACAAGAGCGCTCTGCCCGTCTGCAGTTTCCAGAAACTCAGAAGGAGGCAAACCACAGACCTCATGGCTAGTAGCTCTCAATAGCCCTCTCCCCCAGAAACCTTTCTCGCCCTCTTTTGAAGCCATCCAAGTGGGGGATCATCACTGCCTCCTGGGCGAAAGAGCGCCATAGTTTAACCATGCGCTGGATGAAGACGAACTTTGTTTTCTCCTGAATTTTCCAATGTTCAGCTTCCATGGATGTTTCCGTGGAGTTCTGGTGTTATGAGAGAGGGAGAAAAACTTCTTTCTCTCCACTTTCTATGAGGCTCATTCTATCTTGCATAATTATTCTTTTTGCCTCCTTTTGGGATTAATCCAGCAGCCAGTTTCTGCAGTTTCTGATGCTGGCAAAGCCTTCAAGACGACTGCTCCTTGGGAGAAAGGCGATGGCAAACCTAGACAGGATCATTAAAAGCAGAGACATCACCTTACCAACAAAGGTCTGTGTAGTTCAAGCCATGGTTTTCCCAGTAGTGATGTATGGTAGAATTATGATGCTGGAGGAGACTCTTGAGATTCCCATGGACTGCAAAAAGATCAAACGTATCCATTCTTAAGGAAATCGGCCCTGAGTGCTCACTGGAAGGACAGATCCTGAAGCTGAGGCTCCAATACTTTGGCCACCTCATGAGAAGAGAAGACTCCCTGGAAAAGACCCTGATGCTGGGAAAGATGGAGAGCACAAGGAGAAGGGGACGACAGAGGACGAGATGGTTGGACAGTGTTCTCGAAGCTACAAACATGAGTCTGACCAAACTGCGGGAGGTAGTGGAAGATAGGAGTGCCTGGCGTGCTCTGGTCCATGGGGTCACGAAGAGTCAGACACAGCTAAATGACTAAACAACAACATAACAATACCAATTTATAATACAACCAACTAATCAAGGCAAGGCATTTGGGAAGCTCCTATTCCACGCCTAGCTTTCCTCCAGTTTCCACGCCTACTTAAATAGCCTTTTTTTGTTCTGAGGAAAGGAGCTGAAACGCGCAAAAGCTCATGTCTGCCAAAATGCCTTGTTGATTTTTGACTCCCAGAAATGCTTCGAATTCTTTGCATCTGTGATCAGTGATTCCACTTTGTGGGAAGGCGTTGCTATTTCCTTTTTGCTATCCTTTTTTATTATTATTATATACTTTTATTTTGCTTTAAACAAATACATATAAATATATTTATATGTATTTGCTATCCTTTTTGTCTATTGAGATCGGATGCATCCGTGGCTCAGAAATGAGTGAAGCGCGTGCAGAAACCAGGTGCTTTTTTTTTCTTTTAAAAAAATGTTTAGGGGTACTGTCATTTTCCTACTCATATTGAAATACTGCCCCTCAATGAGGCCAAACTTAGATCCACAAAATGTTTAGGGGTATGCTTGCCCCTGCGTCCCCCCAGAAAAAAAGCACTGCAGAAACCCATCAGCTCATATGGCTTCAAAGGAGTTTAGACAAACTTATATGGCTGTAATTGCTACTGGACCATTTTCATGTTTTTATTTATTTATTTTGACTGCGTCAGACGAACATGGCTACCTACCTGAATCTTATATGGCTGTGTTCAGTTTCCACTGCAGCCTCTGAATGCCAGTTTCTGAACACCAGTTTCTGGAAATCACAAGGCTTGCCAGAGGCATCTAGTTGGCCACTGTGAGAACAGGATGCTGGACTAGATGAGCTATTATTGGACTGATCTAGCGGGACTTAAAAAAAAAATCTTAAGGAAGATTTAAGGAAGAGAGGGGCGTTCTTTTGTCCTTCTCTAAAGCTGTGTTTATCTTATCTTGAGGCTGCAGGTTCAAAGCAGGAAACGCATTGAATTTCCTGACCACCTTCCCCCCCTTCCTCCCCCCCTGGACTGCAAGAAGATCATTCTCCATTCTTACGGAAATCAGCCCTGAGTGCTCACTGGAAGGACAGATCGTGAAGCTGAAGCTCCAATACTTTGGCCACCTCATGAGAAGAGAAGATTCCCTGGAAAAGACCCTGATGGTGGGAAAGATTGAGGGCACAAGGAGAAGGGGACGACAGAGGACGAGATGGTTGGACAGTGTTCTCAAAGCTACCAGCATGAGTTTGATCAAACTGCGGGAGGCAGTGGAAGACAGGAGTGCCTGGCGTGCTCTGGTCCATGGGGTAACGAAGAGTCAGACATGACTAAATGACTAAACAACAACAATAATATATTAAAGGGGCAAGATTCTCACCTGGAAGAACCCTTGTCTAGTGTTCCATGCATCCGATTCTCACAGTGCAGGCCAATGGGCAGCCAGTAAGCAGCCACTCTCCCCACTTCTGATTCTCAACAAATGACATTCAGAGGCATACTGCCTCTGGCAGCAGAACGAGACTAAACCCATCATGGGCAGTAGCCATTGGTAGCTGTCTCCTCCATGAATTTGTCTAATCCTCTTTTAAAGCTGTTATGTACTGAGTTGAATAGGCTCCAAACTGCAGCAGTCTGATTGGTCCTAGAACAATAGGATCCAAATTGCAGCAGTCTGATTGGTCCTAGAACAATAGGATTCAGAATGCAGCAATCTGATTGGTCCTAGAACAATGCAGCAGTATGATTGGTTGGCAGGAACCACCCAATCATGCTCCAGATAGAAGTGAATCCACAACCTGTTTGGCTTACAGTAGAAATCCAGAATTAGCCAATCATGTGCAGCCCATTGTGTAAATAATGTATATAAAGCAGATACTTTGAGGGGACTTGCATTCATTCCTCCTCACCACTATGAGCTGAATAAAGAGCATGAAATCACTTTGCGACTCTGAGTATATTTCAAAAGCCATCCCAGTTGGTGGTCTTCGCTGCATCCTCTGGGAGTGAGTGCCACAGCTTCCCTATGCACTGCTTGAGGAAGTATTTCTGTTTTTCTTCCCTGAATCTCCAAACATTCCTCTTCATTGGGTTGCT